TTTGGAGGTATGAATAATCTGCCCTAAGTATGAAAAGTTCCGGCCCCTATTACGAAAATCGAGTTGCCCGTATTACGAAAAATTCCGAGCCGAGGGTTCGAATGTTCTCTAAAAACACTGTACTGCCCTGAATTTCTCCTAGATACTATTCTGTTCTGGCCAGTCTACTGTTTCCGAGCGTTGTAGTATAAACCCTTAACTCAATACGCCAGGATACTATATTCTTCAGACCATACTCTCCTAGTACTCTATCGCTGGAATTTGCCAGTCTCTGTACGGTCCGTAGGAGTGACTACATGACATCCCTCCATAGATTATGACTATATTTGGTGGTGCTTTCAAGACAGCAGGAATTTCAACCGTTCTCTATCACTTACCCAAGCAAGTAGAGCAACCTTATCGCCGACTATTCACGATCTCTCGCCGCAGAAACGCCCACTCTTGCCGATTTCTCACGAAACTACCCCGTTGACGCCACTCTACACCGGTCATTTCACTCATTATATGTATTGTTGATATTTCATAGCCTTCAGGCCGTTCCAAGTGCTCCAGGAGCTTAAGCCTCTTCCCCGCTGTCTTGCTCCTCTTCCTTGACAGCCTTTTGGTTCTCCTCGCCATTGTCCACGCGTTCCGCCCTGGCTTCCGTCTTGACCTTGCTGGTGGGTGGCCCATCCAATGCGGCCAATGCTGCATCCACTTGTGAAACAGACCCCACCAACTTCGTCCAAGCCTCCTCAGTCAACGAAATGCCCTTGGCGCCTGGTCTTTTCTCGCCAGACGCCTTGTCCACGTAGAACTCCCGAATGTCCACCAATTTGATGTTCTTGAACTTTCTGATGGTCACCCTCTTCTTGCTGTCCAACTCAATCACCACCTCGGGGCCGCTGGGCCCGGAATCGGTCGATTCGGAGCGTTCTCTCTTGTTGTTGCGCTTGTAGGCCATGAGAAGAGTGTTGTTAACGCGTAGTTCTCCAGTGCGATATTGGGCATTGTATCAGAATATGAGCGTGCTGCCACAGTCAGGTTAGGCTGCTTCAAAGCAGCTTGTTGTAGCTTGTGATTGTGCTTTCAGTCCTACGTCATGACAGACTTGGAAAAACCGCTAACGCTGGGTGGCTTCTGAAGAACGGTGTTATTTGCAGCCCTTTGCCGCAGTGGACGAATTCTGGCTAAGAGATTCTGGCTTAATGAGATCAGCCTCTGGTTATTTCTGGCCAAAGCTGTGCTCCGGTGAGCAAACTTGCTTGTACGTCTTGCAGTGGTTCTAGAAAAGGCGTTGGTCCAGCTTTTGGGGCCATTAATTGGGACATTTATGTCTCTTTGATCTTCACGCCTTCGCTTGGGGATTATGCCACTGGTGGTTTGATAGCGAGAAATCAATACTAGTCCGTATCCCCGGTTACATAGATCTGAGCAATGTGGCCATATAATGGTTCAAACCAGTATTGCAAGCTTGAATAATAGGATCCGCTTTACAAAAACAAGGCTAATGTACGTGAACAGATGTATGGGTACGTCCCCAACGGACTACCCTGCCCCTTGTACTCTATATTTCAAAGGTTCTAAATCATATCTTCTATAAGTTTATCTACGCTATTAGCTTCTATCTATTCCACTCGGCCACACTTCGTTGAAGTGGTCACCAAGAAGCTCCTTGACTTTCTGGAACAACAACTCGTCCTTCTCGTTGATACCACCGATGTTACGTTTGACTTGCCAGTAGCTTGAGATAGCTACATCCAATTCCCGAATACTGCTAACACCCAAGACTGTTGAAGTCACGGCATTCCACTCATGCTCTTCAGAGTCCTCTGGCTGGACTGCAGAGTCAAATAGCCACTTCTTGAGGGCAAATCGGGTGGCAAGATCTGCTAGCTCGACCTGATGTTGGGATTCCAAGTACTGGGCCACCTCGGCAACCTTATCCTTCAAAGTCTGGGCAGCAGGATGGAAAGAGAGAGTGGAGCCAGACCTCAACAATGACATACTCAAAATGGACCCGTTCATCAACTTCCCAATACCACATTCCTTGTGGAACTTGTCATAATAATCAAAGAGTGAAACATTCTGGATACATCCGTTGGAATACGAAAGAATGGCGTCCAAAGCCCCTATTTCAGGGTCCTGGTAGCTTCCTAACGCAATTTCGTAAAGGTAGTCCACCGGGTATCCAGACACCCCAAAGTTCTTGATTAAGCCTTCCTGCTTGAGCTTCTTCAATTCCTTCAAAGCCTCATAAATCTGAGGTGCCTCCACGAATTCGATGTCATGCATGTATACCAAATCAAGATAGCTCGTCCCTAAACGCTGCAACGATCTAGCCACCGAAGCCCGGACATTTGCCCTGCTATAGTCAAATTCATTCAATTTGATTCTGCCAGCCTTTGTACAGATATAGTACTGGTCTCTGGTAAACAGCAAGCTCTTCAAGGCATTACCCAACAATTCCTCGGATGGCCCATAATACGGAGAAGTATCAATGGCGTTCAATCCCAACTCGAAAGCCTTGTGAAGAACTTGTGCGATGGGAAGGCTCTGTGGATTACTAGTATACTGAGTATTAAACACAGCGCCACCAATAATCAACGGGGGAAGGTTCTTGATGGAATAAGGAGTAGCGACCACTGTGGGCCCGATTGGAGCTAGATCAGTCATGATAGAGAAGTCTAAGCGAGTGTCTTGCTGACTGGAAGACATATCAAATCACGTGGCATTACCTATGACTCTGAGAATCGCGATAACTTTCTAAGAATGAATCGTTGCGTGGCTGCAACTTTAGATCTATCACTCAATAATATGATTTAGTCAGCGAAATACTACCACAAATTCAAAACTACGACATTTGAAGTTTTTCACGAACAATAATGGACTGCTATTTTCAAATAATTTCTATCTTACAAACTAACCCTTGGGTCACGAAACTTCCCTATTAATACTATTAACGAATTGAATTCCTAAAACACATCATTGCCCTCTATAAGATAATTTCCTGGGACCAAACCTACCGCACCAACTTGGTCTGAGCAGTTGGCACCCAATTCACAGAAAAACCAGTTATCTTCCTGTTTATGAAGAATATAAATATTCCATCCCTTCTTGAAAAAGAGCTCACCGTGGTGCTGAGGTTTATATGTGTACCTGGCCTTGGCCTTGGCCACATATGGCCTTCCTGATACCGGTGTGACTTCTGGTTCTATCATTGAGTGGAGGTTGGTGTACGATTTGGTAGGTGATTTCAGTAAAGTTCTCCTTGGGCGTTGGTCGGTCTTTACTATGCATGTGGTGGCCAGATCATCGTGCTCTTGATACGAAGGCTCGAAGGGGTCCAACATCGACTTGGGCCTTTGCATCTTTGCGGAATGGTTGGTCTGGGGCGTGGAAAAAGGTTCGAGCATAGACTTTGGTCTCAGGGTGGCCGCATTATAGCCTTGACCTGGTGCGGAGAAGTTAATGGACTCATAACGAACGGCAACTTCGTCACGATCGTCCACGTAGTCCGAAGATGGCTTGTATGGGGTAGCTGGAGCAGACTTGGAGCTTGGATTTCTTGATTGTTCCTCAGCCTTGGCTCTACGGACAGATCTTCTGTACTGTGAGATATCACCATTTCCACCGGAATTTAAGTCTTCCAATGCTTTGGCAATGAAATCAATGGAAAAGTCCTTCATAATAGGAACGGACTTGTTGTTTTCCGCTGCGAGCTTTGGTATGTGAGAAGACAATGTTGGAAGTTCCTTAGACTTGAGGTTTATTTGTTCCTGGAATTGGTTTAATTGTTTTTCCTTTCTTCTAGGAGATGCCCAGTGTCTTTCTGTGGTAGAGTAGTTTGAGGAATAGTTGGTTGGGTTTGAATAATTGGATGACCCATTGCTTCTAGACAATTCGTCTTCATTCTTATGCATCGAGAAAACATCGTTCTTATCTTCTGGAGATGATGAATAGACTGAGCCAGTCTTTGGCTTCATGGTAGGATAATCATGGAGGCCTCCCTGGGTAGGAACAGCAGTGCTTTGTGGTGGTGGCTTTCTTGAAGGTGATGGAGTCTTGGGGGGAGAATAAGAAAATTCGGGTGGTGGTAAGGATACGGCAGGAAGCTGTTTGGCACTGTTTGGAGGTGCCAATGGAGGTAACTCCTTCGTGGAGGAGTGATTAGCTCTGGGGTTAGGCGAAGCCTGTGATGCATGTGAGTAGGTCGAGTAAGTTCTAGAAAGAATTGGTTGGTAATCTGGCGTTGCATAATCGGCTGTGGTATAGTTTTTAGCGTTGGCATCCTCGTCATCATATCCTTTCAGGAAGTCAATGAATCGAGGCTCTTGGAAGATTTTGTCCCCAGTTCCATAGGTGATTCCGAAGTCATGAAGGTCTTTAGGTGGCTGGATCTTTGCAAAGATGGATCTTGCTTCGTCAACCGACTGATCATTGTCCACACACAATGTGGCGATGTTGTTGCAGAAATTGAAGCAGTTGACTTTGCACAACTGGATCTTCTCGATTTCCAATTTGTAGAAATCCTGCAAAGCAATCGACCAGTCGTTGATGTAAATGTCGTTGAGTTCCTTGTACTGGGCCAAGGCCACTTGGTAAGCCTTCTTGGATTGGTTGACCGACTGCGACACCTTGTTGAGCTTGGCCTCGTTCTTTTCCAATTCCTTGCCCCAGGTGGTCTGGCAACTGAGATGAAGTGATTTGATAGCAATGCAGTCCTCCTGGTACTTTGACTTGGTGGCTTCGAGGGTCTTCGCAGAGTCGCTTCTCCGCGAGATCACCTTGCTCATGTGGTGGTCTATCTTGGACACCTTCTTGCTATAGATGCTATAGAAGTCGCTCAAGTTGTCGTAGTTGATGTGGCTGATGGACTTGACGAACTTGTTTGTGTGTTTGGACATTTGTGTGTTTTCGTGGCTCAACTTGTCGAGTGACTTCTTGAGAGACCCTGTTTCGTGAGACCCAAGTGTGAGTTTCTGGTTCAACTTATCGAGTTTCTTGGAGTATTCTTTCTCGATAGCCATCCGTTCTTGGTAGTAGTTGAGCAATTCCTGAAGCGTCGAGAGTGAGTCTTTCATCTTGGTTTGGATTATGCGGAAGCCTGAGTCTGTGGGACCCCAGAAGTTGTTGACAAACGAGTTGTCCTCGTTCCGAATAGGTCCTGAACGGCTCATGGTTGCGATCGACTCCGAGTGTGTGTAGAGGGATGGGCAGGTGGAAAATGGAGATCGTGGGGAATTTGTGGGGACGTGGGGGAGGAGTCCTGGAAAGAAGGTTGGTGATAGAGAAACAGAGGTTACAAATGGTTGCTTATTTGTTGACGATGGTTCATGGCCTATACTGGGGTTGCCCGATCGGGCACCATCATAACACTGCTTAGTCATCGCTTATGTAAGCGAAGATCTAGGTCGCTTTGTGGCCGGATTGGAGTCTAACGGCTAGAGTGAGAGAGCTCACGGGTTTATTAGTGTTTCAGAACAGAATGAGACAGTAGCATTCCAATCCGGGACTTGACATATTTTTCTTTGGAGATGCTATTTCGGACTGAGTTGATTCCAATTATTCAGGTTTGGTTACTGAAGCCGGTGCTTTCTCAGTTTCATATCCAGGCTCCACTTCTAACTTACTGGATCCACACTGGTTAGCTAAGCATGGACCGGGAGTTACGTAAGCCACTCATCCGTCCACACGCCCTCTGCATTCCGGCTGGTGTCAATGCAGGGCCCACGCGAAGATGTGGCTGCTGGTGATCCCACGGCTAACTCTCCCCCAACTTGGCACTACTGGAGTTGTGATCCGAGGTGGTTTCCGGCATACATCTCCTCTACCACTCGATCCGAAACTGAGACTTTTCGCGGGCATTTGTTCCGGAACGCTTCCGCACTCATGGCAATCACAAGTTGCAACCTGCATACACACCCTGTCAGAGATATAGCCGTGAAAATGAATGATATGGCGAAATCATCGGGATTGTCACTATAAATTAGTTACATCTGCACCCTTTCGCTCCCATCCAAGGGTACCATCACACGATACAATGGACAAGCCGCATCCTCCAGAACAAGCGCATTCGTCGCACACGGTGCTGGATGTCTCCACGGCAGAAGACCCTGGGGTCTCCCCACAGCCAGTGGCTCATCACTACAAAGACTCCAAGGCGTACTCACGATTCCGAGCTGTTCGCTCGTTCTTGATCGCCCAGTGGTTCTTCATCGGGTTGGCGATCTTCGTGGTCATCGCCCGCTTTGCTCCCCTGTTTGCAAAACAGGGAGGGCTTATCCGAGCCGAATACACCATCGGATACGGAGCCGTGGCTATCATTTTCTTCATTTCAGGGCTCACCATGGGCAGTCGGGACTTGCTCAAGAACTTCTCCAACTGGCGGGCCCATATCACCGTGCTTTCGCTCTCGTTCCTCATCACGTCTGCCATCATGTTTGGCATCGTATCCGGGATCAGAGCCGCCCACGATGGCGCCATTGACGACTGGGTGCTCGTGGGCATCATCATCACACACGCATGTCCCACCACCGTGTCGTCCAACGTGGTGATGACCAAGCAGGCCCACGGAAACGACATCCTCACCCTTTGTGAAGTGTTTGTGGGAAACATCTTGGGAGCATTCGTTACACCTGCGTTGATCCAGATGTACATGCGAGGCGTGTGGGAGTTCGGCAACCCCTCGCATCAAGACACCGACGTGCCCATCCTGGACTTGTACAGAAGCACCATGAAGCAGTTGGGATGCTCTGTGTTCGTGCCCTTGTTTGTGGGCCAGGTGATCCAGAATATATGGCCCAAGCAGACCAAGTGGGTCAGTTCCAAGTTCTACTTGAACAAAGTGGGCTCGTTCATGTTGCTTTTGATCATGTTCCAGTCGTTTTCTACCGCGTTCGCCCAGCATGCGTTCACGGCCGTATCCCACGTCTCCATCATCTTTCTCGTCTTCTTCAACATCGGCATGTACTTGTTCTTCACGGCAATTTCCTACTGCTATGCCAGGCCATGGCCCATCAAGTACTTCCTCAGCACGGTTCCTGACGAAAATTCGACCAAATTGTACACCTACACCTACAAGATCTTCAGGCCTTTCTACTACAACAGAAGGGATGCCGTGGCTGTGATGTTGTGTGGCCCAGCGAAGACTGCAGCCTTGGGGGTTTCGTTGGTTTCGTCTCAGTACGGTGCCCATAATCCACGCTTGGGTATATTGCTTGTGCCTTTGGTTTTGTACCAATCAGAGCAGGTTATCACTGCCCAGGTATTGGTCAACTTCATGAGAAAGTGGGTACATGCTGAGGATGCTGTTGCCAAGGACCACGAGTCCGCATTGGGGAGCGAGCCGCCAGCCTCAGGGAAGGCCGTGGCGCCAGAGGAGGAACAGAGCCACCAAGATGAGAGAGTCAGCCAGTCGACGTTTCAGAATGAAGGTTTTAGCGAGTCTGCATCGGAAGATGTAAAGCCGCATAGAAATTAATGATCACGATTATTTATTAATATAGATACCACAGGAGAAGTGTAGAGAGAGGCCAAAGAAGTGGAAATAGAACGTGTTTTAGTTGCCTGGGGCGTCGCAAGACCACGAATGCTTCTATGAAAAATTATTGAAGTTAGAGCGATGCAAGCCCACTGGAAGAAACATTCAAAGTACCCACAGTATTGGGAATTGAGCATGCAAGACACAAACAATATCCAATGAAAAGTGAAATTGCAAAGTCCTTTGGAAGACAAACAGTATCTGTCTGAATCAAGATTGAGCAATACAAGAGCTCTAGAAGCATAGGTCCGTCTGCAATTGGCAGGCTGTAGTCTTTCTACCTTGCTACTCCTCTGGAAAAATTAATTGCTGCCTTCTGGAGACTTATTTCGTTTCTGAGCCATAGTCTTTGTCTAGCAACCTGGCTTCGTGGGCAAAGTGGGTGTGATTTCCACCCAGAAAATCTGAGGCCTGTAGGAGATTTGAGTCCAACGTCAGCCTTATTGGTATGACGTGAATCACTGTAAGGTCTGTAGGAGTCCAGTCTGAGCCTTAATGCTTTAACACGAATCCATGCATCGCATTTGCGTCCGAGTCCAGCACTGCAAAATTGCAGGCCTTTTGACATCAACCCTCCAGCACTATACACCGACCTTGATGCTCTCTTCTCTGGCTCGAAGATAGCCTTCGCTGCCCTACACTAAATACCAAATTGCATTTATTACCTAGCTGAATAAATATGAGGCACGCCAGCCATGGACAATCTAGTCCAACTTCTGGACCAAACCTTCCAACACCTTGCCGAAGTCCAAGTTGGGGTCTTCCCAGTTGATGGCGCCCTCGGTCTTGGTGACCTTTGGTGCGTGGAGCTTAGCGTACTCGGCCTTGGCCTGTCTGATCAACTTCTCCTCGTGCTTCCATTGCTTGGTGGCGTGCTCTTCGTGCTGAGCGCTTTCCAAGCTGTATCTGTGAAAGGCCCCGTAGAAGAGACCAGCCCCGAGGAATGAGTATCTTAACACGTTGAAGGTAGACATGATGTTGTTGCCAGTAGTCTCCAGCCAAAACTTCTTTCACTCAGGCAGCCAATTTTTCGCACTGCGGCACATGATTGGCCAGCGGCTGCACCAATATGAAAGTGACCAGAGTAATAGCCCTAGTCATATTGTCGATGTTGTTATCGTTTGTGAGCAAGAGAAGCGTCCAGGCCGTCCGCCAAGGGTCCTCCAAGCGCATGTTCAGCTGGAGGGGCGGTTCTGCCGGCTTTGGTGCGGGCAGCACCGGCAGGAGCTCATCCACCATCGCCAGCGGTAAACGAGCAGGGTTCTCCACGGCTGCAGCGGCAGCCACGGCAGCAGCGCTGTCCACCAACTACGAGGACCTCACCGTGTTGTCACAGTACACCATTGCCGTGGCGTACCAGCCCAAGGATCGGGAGGAGTCCAACCTCTTCAAAAAGAAGCACAACCAGCCGCTGCCAGCATTGGAGTCGCCCACAGGCGAGGACAATGCGTTCGTGGCGGTGCACCAGGACGGCTCAGTAGCCGTGGGGGTCGCTGACGGCGTGGGTGGCTGGGCAGATGCTGGCTACGACTCGTCTGCCATCTCCCGTGAGTTATGTGCCACCATCAAACACCAGTTCTCCCACGACAGCCAGGCACAGCCCAAGCAGTTGTTGGAAACCTCGTTCCAGGCGATTTTGGAGTCGCCCAAGGTCGAAATTGGCGGCACCACTGCGTGCTTGGGAGTCATTTCCAATCGCAAGTTGAAGGTGGCCAACCTCGGTGACTCTTGGTGTGGTGTGTTCAGAAACTACCAGTTGGTCAACGAAACCGCGTTCCAGACCCACAAGTTCAACACCCCCTACCAGTTGGCCAAGATCCCGGCCCACATCCTCAGACAGGCCGAGTTGGAGGGTAGAAGATACATCAGAGACACTCCCGCACAGGCTGACGTTTACGAGTGGGATTTGCAGAAGGACGACGTGGTCCTCTTCGCCACCGACGGTGTCACCGACAACGTGGTGCCCAAGGACATAGAGATCTTTTTGAGAGACCAGTTGGAGGACAAGAAGAGCGACTTGGGCGACGTGGCCAAGCTATTTGTCAAGGAAGTGGTCAAGGTGTCGAAGGACTCCAACTTCCCCAGTGCGTTTGCACAAGAGTTGTCTACCTTGACTGGCCAAAAGTACTTGGGGGGTAAAGAGGACGATATCACGGTTGTGATGGTTAGAATTAACTAGAGGCCACCTGACGAAGGCATTGGCCAATAGGCCCACCCCAACAAATAGGTGATTATCCAGCATTTTCCAAAGCCATTGGCTTGGAGTTGTGCATTTAATGTACAGTAATGATAATGATTACGAGTAGAGAGTGATTTACATGCACAATCATCGGCATGTAGTTTTAAACCCCAAGACCAACTTGGAACAAGTTTAATATTTGGGAGCTTGTATATTCACTTGCAGAAGATGTTGCAAAGCAATTGCAAGCACAAGATGACCAGTAAGACATTTAGTGCCATTTCCTTGTTCAGAAGATCAGCAACTGGCTACACCAAAGACAGATTACGATGAAAATTATCTGGTATGGAATTAACCAAAAAATACTTGGATTTTGACCAATTGAGCGATAATGCTGTATTCAAATTAACTAATTATCTGGAAATTAGCCAATTAATCTCTGTTGTGAAATAATCTAATTCGCATAAACTAGAGATAGAATACATTTATCAGCATAGTTCGTAGTGTTAAATAAATCGAAAGTTTGTCGAATCCTCCATCTCAAGCTGTAAAAATTCTTGAATTGCACAACCACGCAAATGCTATCCACGGTCCACCCCAGATATCCAGAAACTGTAGCACTGCCGTATACTGCTGGAATAGCCGGGATAATCTCGCATCACGTGACCCAATCTGACCAGAGTGACTATTACGTAATCGCCATCTCCTCTCCCACCCCCAGCATGTCTCTAACCGTCAACAAGTCGTCCAAGCGGATATTGGGCTCTCCATTCAAGTCCCCGCAGCAGGACTCTTCCCATTCCAAGAATAGTGCCGGTCTCCAGCATGAAAATGACTCATTTGTGGAAGAAAGTCCTACACCAATACGACCTAACTCTATAGGACAAGACGACGACAATTCAAGCAAACAGGCCCTGTTCCAGTCCCCTGGTGGCCCAGAATCTGGTGGTGAAGAGATTGACTGCTCGTGTCCCATGTGTGGCGAATCCATGGTCAATTTGTACCAATTGAACCGTCATATTGACGATGCCCATGGTGTGGAGACTACAGACTCCACCAATGCCATCACCAAGCTCATGAAGAACGACTTCATCAACAACGACATCAAGAAGTGGTTTTCCAGTAAGATCGTCGATTCCCCCACTCCTGTGAGCCCCCTGAAGCGCAAGAGTCTTAATCTTGATCTCTTCGATAACAATAAAGGGTTTGGACTTAGCGATGGCGAGGTGCTGGAAGTCAGTCTGATTCAGCACGCAAGGTCCCAGAGCTCTTCTCCCAGCAAATACAAGAACAGAATTATACGGTCCCACTGGAAGCTCCCGTCGTCGACTTCCAGGTGCTCGTATCCAGGGTGTGACAAGACGTTGAACGTACGAAATGGAATAGTGAACTGCAGAAAATGTGGCCAGTTGTTCTGCAACGACCATACCCATCACAAGATCCGGTTGCGGAATCCTGTCAAGACAGACGACGACAATATCCCCCAATATGACACCTCCAAAAATGGAGTGTGGTCCCGGAGCTGTATCTCGTGCTACAACAATAAACCCGACCTCAGAGAAGGAACTGTGGTGAACAGTAATGACTTGACCAAGCTCTTCATCAAGAAAAGACAGGAAAAAGTGGACCATCACGAGCTCGAACGCAGCAAGATCATCAAGAGGTTCATTAAATTATCCAACACCCTAATAGAGAAGCAGCTACAAGAGAAGCAGAGCCTCTGGTCCAGCTTGGCCTCGGCTTACACAAAGGACTTTGCCTTGTTTGACCACGATGATTGGGATGACAACAGCATCACTAACTGCACCATTTGCCTTGTCAAGTTCAATCTTCTCATCAGAAAGCATCACTGTCGCCTTTGTGGCAAGATTGTGTGTGATGATCCCCAAGGCATGAGAAAGAAGTGTTCAATTCTCGTGCCGTTGAGCAAGCTCTTGGAGAAATTGCCAACCTTGAATTACTCGTCATTTATCAAGGACAATTTTGACACAGTGACCCAAGACGAGCTGGTCAGGTTCCGCTGCTGTGTCAATTGCAAGAACTCGTTGTTGTATGAATACAAAATCGAGCACCTCAAGAGTGATGATGATAACGAAGTGTTGAAGAGGTACGAGATTTTGTTGATGATGAAGAGCCAGGTGCAGAACTTGTATCTGAGATATGAACAGTTACTCGGCGATTCATCCCTTGGTTCTGACGAAAACATCAACAAAGTGAGGAACAAATTGATGAAAGCATTGAAGGATTTTGAAGGCGCCACCATCACATTCAAAAACGAATTTTTTGCTCTCGTCGACAATAAACTCCAGGTCAAGCAAGCACACCAAGGACAAAGCAGATTGATTAATAACATGTATCAGAGTCTCATATTGTGCCTTCAGGAAGTATTGATGGATTTCAAAACGGTGAACAATAAAGTTCAGCAGCAAGAAGAGAAGAAGCTCAAGGAAGCCCAAGAAAAGTCGAAAAACCAAGTCATGGGAGAGTTAGAAAAGGAAGGCTTAGTGCTGGCAGCATCTGAACCCGAACGAGATGCACCACGGCTTACCAAAAAGCAAATTAGAGAATTGAGGGAGCAGCTTATGGTAATGAATGAGCAAAAGTTTTTGGTAGACAACATGATCCAGGACTTTACAAAGTTGAGAAAGTTTGACGAGCTAGACTCGCTCATCAACAATAAGAACGAATTGAGTAGTATGATTGAGGAATTGGAGAAACAATTAGGTGATTATGGTTTTTGAAAGCAGCATTACTTATTACCCTGCACAACTGGCAATTCGAGTTATCGATGGATGCTTGTTGGAATGGATGCTGGAAGTGGAAAGCCCTTACAAATTTGCCAAAGCGTTAATGTGCGTTTATTTCGACTTATTTATCTTAAGTGGCTCCAAAGGCCATTCTAACTTATTTCGGCCAGTTAAATGATAGAATATCCAAGTAGTCACTTGTACAAAGAAAACCGTAGTTACATCCTTTCGGATTTACTGTGCCAAATTAACTGCACTTAGTCGAAAGGTCTCATGTGTACCTAAAATTTTAAATTTATGACACAATTACACTTTTACCGCAAATTTAAATACAAAACAAAGGAAGTGAGTTCAACCAAGTTCATTCTTCACAACCAAACCATCTCACTCCCTTAATCCTTCAATCCCGGCTCCTAACCCTTAACCCTATTTAACCCACGGTACTTCTACCTATTACATTTGCACCCACACCAACCCCACATTTTCGCGGCACGTGATCTCAAATCACCAAACCTCGGATGACTCCAGTTTACCACAACTTCCAGCAACTCACCACACTATCCAATTCCCCGTTCATACCACCATCACCACTATGTCGAAGCCCATCCCACGAGCCTTGCCATTTGCTGATGCCGCAACCATAGGTACGTCACCATCACAGCACCTCCCCTACACAAATACTAACATTCAGTGAGAGCTCACCAGAAAGACGCTTACTTCGAGTCGTCGTACCGTTCGCAGGTCCAAGATGTGCTCCAGATCATCAAGGGCCAGCGGTTCATCCACACACACCCTGAAGAAATCACCGTGTTCACCAAATCATTATACTTGGCCCTCACCACGCTTATCGGAGCCAGAACCCTAGGCGAGGAGTACGTGGACTTGATCTACGTGCACAAGTCGGGCAAGGGTTTGCCGAGGATCATACCGAGGGCAGGGTTCATTTTGTCCTACGCGTTGGTGCCGTACGTTGTGTCGAAGTTGGTGAGACGTTTCCGACCCAAGGAAGACGACGACGATGCCAACGACTCGCGAGGCGTGGTGGTCAAATTCTTATCGTCATACCGCAGGGTGCTAGACACGTTGATGAATATCCACATTGCCATCTTCTACTTCCAGGGTGAGTTCTACTCGTTGTCCAAGCGGATCTTTGGCATGCGTTACGCCTTTGGCCACAACAAGGACCCCAAGAAGCTCCGCAAGGCCGGTAACTACTCGTTCTTGGGTGCTATTATCCTCATGCAGTTTCTCGTCAAGGGTATCATTCACCTCAAGAACTACAGCGACGAAAGGGCATCCAGAACCAACGGCAAGAATGGGTCTCCATCTGATGACACCAGTTCGTCCTCGCTCCAGATCACGGCCATTGACCAGTTGAAGGGCATAAACCTCCAGAATACCAGCTCAGTCGTGGACCTCGACGACCCTACCCAGTTACCCTACCTTCCTTCCAATGCACGCTCGTGTATGCTATGTCTTTCGTCCATGGTGAATCCAGCAGCTGCCAATTGTGGACACCTATTCTGCTGGGACTGCATTGTTGATTGGTTGCGAGAGAATCCGGAGTGTCCATTGTGCCGGCAGCTGTGCTTGGAGCAGAACTTGCTTCCTTTGAAGTAGGTAGGTACCTGTCTGGGTTTGTCGAGATGCTACAGACGAACCTTCCAAGGCGCATATTTATTATTGGCAGGGGTACCAAACAAGCCTTGAAGTTTTTGGGGTAATTATAGCTTAATTAGGTCAGGAGGGTAAGCTGTCAAAACGATGACAAACAATATGATAAATCAGCCACGGCTCGTTCTTGAAATAGTGTGTATGAGTGCGCTCGGATGTTTCTTGCTATTTAAGAATGGTTTAACTCCGAAGTTAGTAACTCAAGCTGTCTTATTCTTCAAGAATTATTAAAAGGTAAATCCCATTGCCTATAATTATTTTTGAGTGAACAGCTACTCTAGGTGCAAATAGTGCAATATGTATATTATTATTGACACAGAATACTGAGCAATGCACAATTTCCTACATGAGGATGTACAAGTGAAGTAGGTAAAAATTCACAAGTTCTCTTAGAGGAAGAATGAATGGCTAATAATAGCGTTGAAGTAGGGGACACGCTTATATGGACTGTTTTAGTATAGTTTCCATCCGTCATTTCGCTGGTCAGTGTACTTTCAGAAGATACAATACGGGAATTCTGCTCAAATTTTGTCACCACAAATTGTAGCAAAAATCCTTCACAACTCTTGAAAACGTTAACTACTTCTATTTAACCCGCAATGTCTCCAGCAGGTGGTATTCATCAGAAATTAATCTTGTCTAAGCTTGCGAAAGCCATACTTATCCCAAAAAAGCTCTAAAAGCATTGAAATGGACACAAAAAAGAAATAACCCATAGTATACATACCTGTACCTAAGACGTATACACTTGATTATTGTTATGTAGAATAGACTATTAAATTCCAATATTAAAATAACAGACTCAGGCCTTCCTTGAAATGATGATATCAAGTTTGTTTTGCTTACTATAATATAGCTATATCTTTATGAGGCGACCGAGTGTTCAACCCGTTGTATAAATCATTCGTTTAGCTTGAGAGACCACAAACCTTTATTTAAGTTTCCTCATAGCTATTAAAAAAGCATGCTTACTTTTTATTTGTATTTTAGCCCATTGAACTAAATTACTCTATATGATCAATCTTCCACCGCCTCCAGCTGGCACAAAAAAATTATCTAAATTCAACATAATGTTCTCTATCTCAAGCTATTAATCTTTGACCGATAAAGTAGTGAAATAATTCACAGAGATCACTCCAGGAGTTTTACATAATAATTTTTACACAATAATCCAGAATAGCTTTTTGGGGACTTTATAGTATTCCACAATCTTTCAAGCAGTTGTATTATAACCGCAAATGATCCATAGTAGGACAGAAATACATAAAATAATACGTATACACAGAAAATACGAATATTATTGGACATACAAGAACTATACAAATAATATCCATACAATATTTCCCCTTCTTCGCTAGGGGATATGACACGTCCAAGTGGGCATCACGTGACCGGATCTGATCGCGACGTTGAAAATCCACACCATCAAACGCCCTATCGCTATTAACACTCTCCGCTACCACCTGGTCACCGCACCGATTCTGAACTCCCCATGGCCTCCAACAAAGGGTTTGCGTTGCCGTTCACCCATCTGAACGATTTGGAAAAAACCGACGCCATGAATGCCGAGTACTCCAAGACATTCAAGCCAAACAAGAAGTCCAGCTGGTCGGCTAGCGTGAGCTCGATAATACAACAGTTTGTCCGACCCTTGACGGAGTTCGCGTTGAAGTACAAGAAGCTCTCGATCGTGTTGTTGACGCTCGCGTGCTTATCGCTCTTGACGTCCATACCGTTCGTACCCCACTGGCGAACTGCCAGCCCCAAGGTGGTGATCATCTTGGCGGCCAACGAAGGGGGCGGGGTGTTGAAGTGGAAGTCGCCTCAGGAATGGTCGGTTGAAAGATCGTCCATCGCCAACAAAAAGCATTACGCCAAGGTGCACGGGTACGGATTGACCATCAAGGACATGACCATCAAGAAGCGGTACTCGCACGAGTGGAGGGAGTCGTGGGAGAAGGTGGATATCATGAAGCAGACAATGAGGCAGTTCCCCGAAACCGAGTGGTTCTGGTGGTTGGACTTGCACACCTACATCATGGAGCCCCACATCTCGTTGGAAGAGCATTTCCTCGACATCTTGGACAACACCACCTACAGAACCTTGGACACCTTCAACCCGTTGAACTTGCCCACCGACATCCCCTACACCGACTACCAGCAGGAGATCGACATGATCATCACTCAGGACTGTGGTGGCTTCAATCTAGGCTCGTTCTTGATGAGACGCTCCAGCTGGAGCGAGATGCTTCTCGACATCTGGTGGGACCCTGCCATGTACGAGCAGATGCATATGCAGTGGGAGCACAAGGAACAGGACGCGTTGGAGACCTTGTACTCTACCCAGGCGTGGATCCGTGAGAAGGTGGGCTTTTTGCCCTTGAGAAAAATCAATGCATTTCCTCCAGGGGCCTGTTCTGACAAGGCCGACGATCCCCAGTACTTTTACCACGATCATGACTTTGTCATCAACATGGCTGGGTGTGAATGGGGCAGAGACTGCTGGGGTGAGATGGAGCACTACAAGGCGTTGTCCAAGAAATTCCAGAAGAGATGGTGGAAGTTTTGGGCCTAGTTCTGCACCCGTTTCTCGATTATACATAGCCTCTTAATAAACACTTCTAAATCAGTCGCGAGTAACATAACTATCTAGCAGCTTAGGAAATACTAAACAGATATATTACACTTGAGTTTCATCCAATTCAAGGTGAAATGGTTATATGTTTTATATTACTTACGGCCTACTTGAAATACCCATGGGCGAATCATTTCGTATTTCTCGCATATACCACTGTTCTCCTTATCTTGCATTCATCTATTGGCGATTCACGGGCTTAGGGGAAATTCGAAAGTTCTGGAGAAATTACGGCACACAATTACAAGAATATGCTGTATTTGTTCATATTCATTTTCGATCATACATTGTGAGGGCTAGACAATATTAGCACTAGCATTCAAAATAAAGCAAATTGTGGGAGTCTGCGTGATACTCTCTAATACGGAATACCATTGGTGAGTCTTTGGAACTCGTCATAGCCTTTGGTGTAATAACTCTCCATCGACTTTCTGATCAAACCTCTCATGTGCACACTAGCATCCTTTTCACCTTTGCTAGGCACAAATCTGCTTCTAAGATTCTTAATGGTGGTCTCTTTGAAGCATGGCAATCCACTCTCCAACATGGGTGTCACATATCTAACAATCGTGTCCATATATGGGCGACACGCCAAGTATCCTTTGATACACAATTCCTCAAACCATCTGAAAACCTGGGTGTTCTGGTTTCCTCCCATCACCACAATCATTTCATATGTAAGCTTGAATGGCGCAACCTCAAACTTAACTCCTCCAGGAACTATATCGAAACAGAAACCAAAATCAATGTGCGAAACGTGTCCTTGATCGTCGTACATAATGTTACCATTATATCTGTCTTTGAATTGGAGTAGATACGATGCGATCGAGTATGCGGCGAGGAATTTGATGAAGTTGTTCTTGCTTCCTGGAATTCCATTGACTCTTCCGGTCCGAACTTGGAAGTAAAGTATTTGAGTAGCCATTGAAAGAATTGGACTGGTATTGCTGGGAGTATATGGCGTTGGAGTAGATCTCCATATTGCTTAAGAAATCAAAATTATCGATCAAGGTGTCGAGACTCAAGAATTACTTGAAGTACCTGGGGAAGTAGGCCAAGATGTCAGATTCTTGGAGAGACCAGATAAGCAGCCCAAGAGGGTGAAGTCAAGGACTTGTTGGCAAAGAACGAGTCGTTGAACGCGTGGAAAATGTCAATCGCCTGATCAATCAACATATGGTTCAACTTTATGCCGAGCTGAATTATGGCTGTGGTCAAGCTCTCACTGATAGTGAACCATGGCGTGGACGAAGACGAGCACTTGCTGACGATGGTGGGCGAGAACTTCTGGGCGGGAAACTCCAAGAAGTAGAGCCTGAACTTGTGCAACAACGCCTGCGCATGGTTGGCTGACTTGAACTCCTCGTTGGAGGATTCGCACAACGCTACCAACACCTCGTACTCTTTGGGGGCATTACCACCTTCGACAAGTTCTTGGGATTAAGCACAGCTTCCTTGTTGGCGGAGGAGAGGAGCTTGGCGAAGTTTTCGGAGGCGCTGTCGGCCTCCTGGAGCGACGTCGAAGACACTCCCACCTTGAGCTTGGCTAGCTTTCTCACGGCGTCTAGGCGGATGGTGCCTCGCTGGATGCCCTGATGCGTTTCGCAACAAGTCTGGTGTTGAGCCCGCTGATTGAACTTGCAAGATCACACACTCAAGCCAGCATCCTTAAAAGCTTGTCTTGGGAAGTGGTTGTAGTTAGCTGCAAAAGTATGGATGCTAGAGCATATGATCGCGTATGGATAAAGTGCAGTAGAGGTCGCGGGAAAAATGGTCGTGCGCAGCCGCGCGCTCGCCAAATCTGCCGTCTTCAATCCCTCCCCATAACACCAATCCTATTCACTAGTCCTACCAGGTGTCCCGTCTACGATAGCAATCCCGTCATGTCCGACAACTTTTGGTTCAACGACAATGCGTTCCTGAACGGAGGCTCCAAGGCCAACGACGTCAATGACGATTTTCTCAACAATATCTTTGACCCCAACCAGGGCCAACAAACCACCCCCACCATGAATGCAGGCATGGCTTCCCCCAACATCAATCAAGACATTGGCCCAGCACAGCTTCTTGCCCAGCAGCAGCAGCAGCCCCCTCAGCAGCAGCAGGCTCCGCCTCAGGCCCATAATCTCAACCCACAGATGTTCATCAGACAGGCCCAGGCCCAGCAGGCTCAGCAGGCCCAGCAGGCGCAACAGTCCCAGCAACAGGCGTTGGCCCAAGCACAGGCCCAGAGCATGGACCAGGCCAAGAAGGAGCAGCTCACCAAAATGAGACAGCACATCTTGCAGCAGCAGATGCTACAAAGACAACAACAGCAGCAGCAGCAACAACAGCAACAGCAGCAGCAACAGCAGCAGCAACAGCAACAGCAACAGCAACAGCAGCAGCAACAGCAGCAGCAACAACAGCAGCAACAACAGCAGCAGCAATCTCCCGCGAATATGAACCTCATGAGCAACAACATGTCCCCACAGGCTGTCCAAAACAGGTCTCAGATGCCTACGCCTACGAACCAACAGGGAACTCCCATGATGAGTGCCCCAAACATGGCACAAGCGCCAAATCAGATCCAGCACCAGATGCAAAACCAAAATTCATATGGTGCCAGCCCCGTCCACATGATGTCGCCTCACCAAAATAATGTATTATTAAACCAGCAAGCACAACAGCAGCAAGCACCACAGATGAACATGGGATCTCAGGGCCAGCAACAACAGAATCAGCAGGGTCAACGTGTCAACAAGCCTCCACCTCCGCAAGTGGCCCAGATGCAGTTCGAATTGTTTGGAACCTCGCTTTACGATTTTATGACTCGCCGTGGAACTCCAATCACCCAACCTCCTATGGTCAACAACAAGAAGGTGAACTTGTTCTTCTTCCATTTGTTATCGCAAAAGTTAGGAGGACCTCAGCAACTCGTGAAATGGGTTCAACAGCCAAACATGAATGCCCAGCAGAGTCCCTGGCTATTGATTGGTCAAAGACTTGGTTTGTACGAAGGAATTGATATCCAGGATCAAGGTGCCAGACAGCAAGTGGACCGTGAGATAGGAAACTGCTACGCTAACTATTTGTTTCCATACGAACAATATTCAAGCACGCCAGATGGCAGCAAAGACATTCAACTGAGAAAAGTGCAATTCCAGAAACAGATAATGCTCAGATACCAACAGCAACAACAGCAGAACCCTCAGGTTCCACCTAATCAGAATCAGAATAGAGCAAACACTCCACATGCCGGCTCCCAAATGTCTCCACCACAAGCGGGGATCCAATCACCAGCCATAAATAATGTGCCAACGCCAGGTGTCATGCCCCAGCAAAGTCCGCTGTTGTCCCAAGCTCCTACACCCCAACAACGTAAATTGTCAAGAGTCAGCAACCCTTCGACCCACAACTCTCCAGCTGCCACTCAGTCGCCATACCTTCAGAATCTGCAGGTGAACTCAAGATCTTCTAGCGTACAACAGTTGAATCTCCAACAGGCACAGGCACAACAGTTCATGCAGCAGAGGCAGGCTCAGCAGCATGTGCAACAGCAAGCTCAACAACAAGCGCAGGTACAAGCAAGACAAGCCCAGTTCCAGGCGCAAGCGCAAGCACAGGCTCAAGCACAGGCACAGCAATCACAGGCACAGTCTCAAGTCCAATCGCAAGCAGGAACTCCAACACAGACTCAGGCTCAACTCCAAGCTCAGAATGCTCAAGCCAAGGCCAAGGCGATGAGAGCTCAATACCAAGCGCAAGTTCAACAAGCTCAAAACGCTCAGATACAACAGGCTCAACAATCGAGTCAACCGCAACAAGAGCAAGCTCCGGCAGCTGCTGTTTTCAACGAAACAGACGGCAAGGAAGAGCCCAACATCATTAAAAACTATATACCGTTCAACAAGATCGTGGACACTCATGGTGGATACCCTATCAAGGAAATATCACAAATTGCCAGTGAAATTGAAATAACGAAACCCGTTTATTTGTTTGCGCCAGAGCTTGGTACAATTAACATACAAGCTTTGATAATGGGGCTCAAGAACTCTGCGGGACCCAACAGTGGAGATGTGTTCAATTCTTTGAACTCGTTGTTAGTAACCACTTCTGACGTCAACTACGCCTTCAAAATTGATGATTGTCTTGAGTTGATGGATACCTTGGCCAAACTAGGTCTTGATGTGTTGAAAAGAATCGTGAATAAGAATCAAGAACAACCTCCTTACATCTTTGAGGAGACTACTAATCTCAGCTCCAATTCCATTATTGAGGATGTGTTCAATAAGTATGTTAGCGGAGGTCAAGATGAAATGGTGGGAGAGGAGATCAATTTCGTGGTTAATTCATTGACAGGAGAAGTTGAGGGTGAAGAAGAAGATGATGATATGGAGGATGTATTTTTCAGTCCTTTAGGAAACTCGACAAACACCTCTGCTTCAAGCTCCCCAGAATCTTCAGATAAATCTCCAGAGAAAGAATTGACCTTCAACATAACAGATTATATGAGTGCACTTCAACTTTTCAAACAGGAAAATAAGCATCACTTTAGCAAGATCCAGACCAAAAGTGCCATAGATGACCAGGTCATGCTTGTTGACCAATTGATTACTATCACTATGATATTGAGAAATATTTCGTTCATTGATATCAATAAGCCTACTGCAGCAGAGAATGACCACTTCAGAACATTGATTTTCGAGGTGGTCAAGAATGTGGCAATTCACAAGGACTTGTTTGTGTTCCACAGAAAGAAGTTGTGTTTATTGAAGGACTGCCTCTTGATGTTGGATAACATTGCATACTTCGTGCACTTGAGAAGTCTCGAAGAAGCGTTCCTTTCCTTTATCTTGGTAAGTTCTTTCGGTCCCGCATTAGATGATGATTTTGCTATTCCATCAATCAGCTTGGAAACCCACTCATACTTGCCATTCGGAATTGATGCGTTCACCAAGATTATTGTGCGGGAGCCACACAACCGGTCTCTTATGCAAGCGGTCTTGAATGGTACCTTGAACATCACCACTGCCGCATACACCAACACCAAGCCATTTACAATCCAGCCCAGCGACCAGGAGCAAACCCGCAAGTTGGCGGTGGCATACCTCAAGGGAGACGAGGAGGGATTTAGAGCCGGGAAGCTCTTGACTAAGGCATTCCAGACCTACATGAGTATTATTCCATTCGATGCCAACAGCTACGAATTTTCCAAACTCATTTTTGTCAAAGCAACCACCATTTCGCAATCATTGTTTGGGGCCAAGCTCATCATCGACATGGTGTCGCTCGAAGAGACGTCGCCTACCCCTAACCTCACTGTGCAATGGCTCATCAAGAACAAGGAGCTTTTGTTGAGCAATTTCTCGAGGGTTTCCATTGCTTTGGTGTCGGAAACCGGTAAGTTTTCACGTGAGTCCAACGAGTTCAAGGTGTTGACTTTGGTACTCGTCAAGTCGTTGATTGTGGTAAACTCGTTGGTAGGCAACTTTGTCCAGTTGGTGGAGGCCTACCGCCAGAATCCCGAGCAGGAGCAGGTGTTGACCGGGGAAATCAACGAGATCAAGGGGCTTTGTCGAATCATGCCCGATGCCAACATGGCTCTCGACACCTTCCTCGCGCCCACCATCGATAACACCCTAGGTAAGGAGCTTATCCGGCTCTTGGAGTTGTTGCGGGAGTTGGAGCGGGCCCAATGAGGTAGTGGAACCCCTCTAGGGTGATAACAATGCTCGGGTTGTTGCGAAAAACTGCCCTGAAAAGTCTGCATAGCTCGACGGGCAATTACTCCACATTTGTCACAAACCATCCGCTGGATCGTGTGCCTATTTCCGCTGCACCCACCAGTTGGTTCCGCAGGACCCGTGGCCTGTATTTGCGGGGTCTATCTAATCTACGCTGTATTATACTCTTTTGAGATAAGGGGGATCGTGTTACCCGTTATGTAGTAGGCGCACTGTCCCAATCGGGAAGTGCGACCATGCGATAACGATTGCAAAATGTATATAAATGTGTCAACCAAAGTGACAGTTAACCACCACTCAACCATACCAATCGTTGATTAAGCACACAGCCAAACGTTGCTACTCCATCCGTACAGTAGTTTAACCAGTTTGAGCCATCCATCCATCCATCCAATCCTTCCAGAACCGTCAGAACTCTCAGTCCCAAATGGCAGCTGTCTCTGCTATCCCCCAAGCTCCCCCTAAGGACCCCGAGGCCATGGTCGCCGGCGAGCACACGTTGCCTGCTAGCTGGTGGACCAACGAAGCCATTTATGAGCTCGAAAAGAGGGCGATTTTCCACCGCTCGTGGTTGTTTTGCATCCACCTGCTGAGGTTCACCAAGGCAGGAGACTACTTCTCGTTCACGGTCGCTGGCATCAACTTCTTCATCATCAAGTCCAAGGTGGACGGCCAGTTGCGCGCCTTCCACAACGTGTGCCGTCACAGGGCTTACCCCATTGTCCGTAAGGAGCAAGGATCCTCAACGGTGTTGGGGTGCAAGTACCACGGCTGGAGCTACACCAGCGACGGCAAGTTGAACAAGGCGCCCCATTTTGACAACGTAGAGGGTTTTGTCAAAGAGGAAAACTCGTTGTACCCCATCCGGACCCATGTGACGGCCCAAGGGTTGGTATTTGTCAACTTCAACAATGCCGATACCGAGTCGTTCATCGAGTTTGACGACTGGTTTGCCGGCTTGAACACCGAGCTCAGCGAGTTTGACTTCGACGACTACGAGTACCATATGTCCTACGAGTTAGACGGCAAGTTCAACTGGAAAACCCTCATGGATGGGTACCAGGAGTGCTACCACTGTCCCACTGCTCACCCCGGCTTGAACTCTGCCTTCAAGATGGAAACCTACAAGGTGGTTCCCAAGACCCGATACTGTCGTCATTATGCCGAAATCATCCGTCCTGAAGCCCCAAAACAGCAAGCTGAAGAGGATGGGTCGTGGTTTGGATTTGGCAAGAAGGAAAAGCCACCAGCTCCATCCAAGCAGACCAAGGCCAACCCTGGTGGCGAATTCAATGGACTCTGGGTATACTTGTTCCCCAGCAACGGTATCAATTGCTACTCACCTGCGTGGTACTCCATCAGAGTGTTGCCCCAAAGTGCCCAGCACACCATCTTGCAGTACGACATCTTCACCAAGAAGGGGTTAGATGAGGCTACCAAGAAAGAGTTCGTCGACTTCTTGCAGTTGGTCGAGATCGAGGACTTCAACTTGTGCCAGAACACCCAGAAGAATTTGGACCAGGGTGTGTATTCTTCAGGATATTTGCACCCACAGAAAGAGAAGGGGGTTTTGTACTACCAAGGCTTGGTCCGCGATATGGTCAAGGAGCACTTTGCCAAAGAGCAGGCTGCTGGCACCCAGATCAAGCCAGCATCGGTGGCGTATCACAAGAAGAACAAGGACATCGAGGAGTTAGAGGCAATTTGCAAAACCGTTAATTGTGGCAGCGAGAAGGAATTCGATTGGTGAGTCTACAGGTAGATTTGATATAAGCGATATTTTTTGCGACGAGCGAGTAGTGCTTGAGAAATGATAGTTATAAGTAGCCATGATGTTTTGCCGTTAGCATGGATAATGTTAAAAAATTGAAAAAAATGTGAATTAAAATTGGTAATTCTGGAAATAAATGAAAGACGTATAATTTGTATCATTCAACATTTTTCTCATCCAAATAACAACATGTCTTTTACATGATAATGTATAACATCCGTACTACCCTCCTAAATTTCACAAATTTCGGTGAATATGATGACAATTCAATACCTTCATCATTCACCTCAAAAGCATACTACACTGTTATTCTCAGTTGAATTTTAAACTGCAACGAATACTACGTTTGGCTGGGATACAACCCATTTATTTCTCTGTAAGTTAAAATCTATTAATTTTGAACTGAATGGAATGGAGCCCTACAAGAGACCCAACTTGTCCATTCTAACCTGGACAGCATTTCTATGGGCCTCCAAGCCCTCGACAGCGGCTAAGGTCATCACCGCCTTTCCAATACTCTTCAAACCTTCCTCAGTCACGTCCTGAGAAGTGATGAACTTTTGGAAGGTTGCAGTGTTGACACCGGAATATTGTCTTGCATATCCATAGGTTGGTAAAGTGTGGTTGGTACCACTAGAGTAGTCACCACATGACTCTGGAGATAAGGCACCCACGAAAACAGAACCAGCATTTTCAATGTAGTCGGGTACGTATTTGGCTGCATCATCGATTTGAAGAATCAAATGTTCGGGAGCGTATTGGTTAGATAACTTGAAAGCTTCCTCATAGGTGTCAACCAACAAAGTATAAGAGTGGGCTAAGCATTTGCTGACAATCTCCTTTCTAGGAAGAACTGCAGCCTGCTTGGCCACAGCGGCTTCGAACTCGGCCAACTTAGCTTTGGTCAAACCCACACCAATGAGAATAACCTGAGAGTCTACACCGTGCTCTGCCTGAGATAACAAGTCACTGGCAACAAAATCAGCATCAGCGTTTCCGTCGGCGACCACCAACACTTCGGAAGGACCTGCTGGCATGTCGATGGAGCATAAGGCTTGAGTGTCGTTTTGGACATACATCTTAGCTGCGGTGACAAATTGGTTTCCTGGACCTAAGATCTTGTCACACTTCAACACACTATCAGTACCGTATGCCATAGCAGTAACAGCTTGTGCACCACCTGCCATAACGATACATTTTGCACCCAACTTGTGGGCCACATAGACCACTTCAGGGGTTAATTTACCAGTGGCTCTAGCTGGAGGAGAGGCAAGAACGATGTTCTTACATCCTGCGACCTTGGCTGGAACACCCAACATCATTGCAGTCGAGGGTAACACGGCAGTACCTCCTGGAACGTACAAACCGACATTCTCGATAGGCTTAGCAAAACGAGAACAGAACACACCTGGGGCGGTTTCCACAGTCATGATCTTCTCCTTTGGTAATTGGGCAGCATGGAACTTCTCAATGTTGGCAATGGAAATATCGATGGCTTCCTTCATATCGTCAGAAATCTGCATCCAGTCTTCAGGGAAAGGTGCCTTTAAGACAGGAGTGTCCAAGGTAACACCATCAAATTTTGCCGTTAATTCTAACAAGGCCTTGTCCCCATCTTTCTTGACCTTTTCGATGATAGGCAATACCAACTTCATGATATCGGCAGTCTTTTGTACAGGTCTGGACAATGCTTTTTCAATAAGCGCTGGGTCGGTAGCCTTGTCTCCAGCATTAATAACTTCCATCTTGTATTCAAGCTCGGGCTTGCTTTCCTCCTTAGGAGTTTCCTTTGGAGCTTCCTTGGTGTCCTCCTTGATGTACGCGGGTTTAGCATCACCCTTGCGTCTGGTGACTTTGGAACTCTTGATGTCCAAGTTCTTTTCCACATCAGCCAATCTGACGCCATTCTTGATACACCAGACCATGGCGAAGTAGAACAAGTCCGCACATTCCCATGCCACCTCGTCCTTTCCATCCTTAGGAGCCTCGATTAACTCGTCGAGCTCCTCCTTGAGCTTGGCCACCAACAACTTCTCATCGTTGAACAACCTCTTGGTGTAGGAGCCTTCAGGTGCAGACTGTAATCTCTGGGCAAGGGTGTTGTCCAACTTGGCCAAACCGGAACCGAAGCTCTCACCCGACTGCTTCAACTCACCATCGCCAAAGCACGTGAAGTTGCTAGGGTGGTGGCAGAAGCCGAAACCGTCTCTTGGAGCAACCACAAACTTGATCACGTCGGAGTCACAGTCCTTCTCCAACCTGATCAACTCCTGGGTGGCACCACTGGTCTTGCCCTTGTACCACAATTCATCCTTACGCTTGCGCGACTGGTAGACCCCCAGCTTTTCCGCAATGGCAGTCTTGATCGACTCTACCGAGGAGTACACTACTCCCAACGCCGTGTATGATGGAGCAGGGGCAGTGATCAAGGTGGTGAAGAGTCCATCGGGACGGTCTGTGGTGAGAGTGGCGGTGAAGATCTCACCTATCGAGATCTTGCTGTTGTCAGACAAGCTGGTAGTCAACTTTTCTGCGCTGATAATGGGGAAGTAACCGCTAGCGGCTAACCTGTTGGCGGATTCCTGGGTAAGGTCATCGCTTCTGTAGTAGATGACTCTGTCTCCATCACGACCGTACTTCTTCAAGGCGTCCTGCGAGAGCTCTTGCGAGAATACAAATGCTGCTTGACTTTGCAACAAATTGTCTGGAACCGAATCCAGGGCAAACTGGACGGCAAATCTGGAGCTGGGCAAGCCGCTGTCGAGCGCTTGCTGGGCGCTATCGGCGTCAAGGACCACCTGTCTGACACCAGCGTTCAAGAGTTCCACGAGCTGGTCCACAGTGACTGAGTTTCCAGTAGCATCAATGTCTACCAGCACGCTGGAGGGGAATTGATGGAGAAAGTGCTTGGAAATTTGCACTGATTTCAACGGCAACAAGAGGTGGCCCACCACAGCGAGAGCTGCGATGGTTTCCTGGGCCGATTGGCCGGAAACTAGTGGTAATAACGGAAAAGTCATTGATGGTTGGTGGAAAATGGGTGCGCTTAATCTTATCTAGTCTGGAGAAATTGAGTCATAGCGACAGTCACGTGCGCCAATATGGATTGTAGCGCGATTGGGGATTTTTCAGGTATATGTAAAATGTAGCATGGATAGTTAATGATGATCACCATTTGAACATCCTTAGGTCCCTACTCTGGAAACACACCACTAGTTAAATTGAGAAGCTGGGTAGATGTGTGAAGTGATGTTTTACCATTTGAAGCCAAGTCTTTAGGACTGTAAACGCTATCACCTTTAATATGCACTCCCATAGACTGGATTCATTCGAGTCCCTATTGTAGGCCAGTTAATCTTTAGACGATGAGCCTGGAATCCAAAGTTGAGATGCAACTTCTCTAATCAGATGTCTTGTCCGCCAGGGTTGCGCTTAGACTAGATTTCTTTACTTGTCGTCACTACCAGTGATAGCATTATCTCTATGAATTATTGTGTCTTAATATTTCTGCCCCATCCGCGGGTTGTTGGAGCTGAGATAATCCATTTTAGTCAGTTTCAGTTCCCAGCTTGTGCTCGTATTAGTATGCGAACCGGATTCTCGAAATCATCTATTTATCATAATACCTACGTCTGTGAGCTAACCTATGTACCGGTGGTCAGCAGTTTGCAAATATAGTTTGTGGTTCAGAAGTTGAACTCGCCCTTGAACTGGTTCAAGTCCATTCCCGGTTTGACCAATTCTACCAAATCTCTTCTGTCCATGGCGATGAACGCCCTCTTCAACGTCTCGGTTAATGCAGTGGATTGGTTGTGGTTGGTGGGACTATAGTTGTCTTGGGCGCCCTCGACCTGGTGCATTGCCAATCCACTCAATAAGTGTTCTGCAGCCTCCTTGTAGCATCCGATGTTGATACACGACACCCCCAAGTTGTATCTGGCTCTGACAAAGGTTGGCTTCAAGGAAAGTGCCTTGAAGTAAGCGTCCACGGCCTCCTCAGAACGGTTGGAGTTTGCCAACGAGGCTCCCAATCTGTTCCACAATACCGCATCGTCGGGCCTAATGGTTAAGGCTGCTTTGAAGCAGTCGATAGTCTTGTCGAAATCTTCGTTCGCGTAGAATAAGACTCCTAATCCCATCTGTACATCTGCATCCATATTGGCCTGGTTGGGCGAGAGTTGGGCAGCCTTTATGAACAACTCGGTCACTCTCTTGTTCAAAGAGAACCTGTCTTCATCTGTGATGGCTGGATTTTCTTCACGGGCACGGTCTGCAACTTGGGGGTATTTCGTGGACATCCATCTCTCGAGGGTAGCGAACGCTGCGTTGTCATAACCTTCATTGATGTAGGAGATTGCCAAGGTCATCAAGGCTTCTGAGTTTTCGGGGTGCAATTCCAAACACCTTTCCAAGGCAGATATACCGGCTATTTCCTTTTCGTTTTGAGTCTGGACTTCTCCTAACTTGAGCCAGGCGTTGATATGGCCCTCGTCTTGCTGGATAGCGGCCTCGAAGGCCAAAGCGGCCTCGGAAAGCTTGGCCCCATTTTCCATCAACTGTAACCCTATTTCGTAGAGGTCGGTTTCCTTGGGCAAGTCCAAGAATTGGTTGTGTTCCTTGTTCTCGAATTGGTAGTCGCCGAAATGGGCTCTGGTGGATGCATATCTGGCGAAGTCCTTTTCCCACTGGCTCAAATCAGCTGGGAGTGGCTCGCGCTGGGTGTTCTTGAAGTCTTCGTACTGTTGGTTGATGAAGTCGTTCTCGACCGCTTCTGAGTTCAACCCGTCCCACACCTCCTGGAAGGTAGCCTGGTACTTGTCGTCAATGACGAATTCTGGGGACTCGGCACGTTCCACTGCCTCGGCCTCGGCCTCTTTGGCTGTGTTGGTCAACTCCTCGATTTCCTTGAAGTGGTTGTCCCAGTCCACCTGGGGCTCCTGGGCCTGTTGGGCAGCGCCTGCTGGCTGCACCTGTTGGTGGTGCAAGCCACCGCCCATCATGGACATACCCATCATGGGACGGTATCCGCCCATTCTCATCGAGGGCATGGTGGTGTATTGGGACTGGGGTGAGTGCATGGCCTGGTCCATGGGCTTCTGCTGGAACTCAGATGCCCACTGCGAGTTGATGGGGCTGCCGACCTTTCCAGTGCTTTGGTGCGACACTGGTGACGGGCTGTGGGTCTGGAATTCGCCACTCCACTGCTGCTGGGGTTGCTGGTGGTTCACAGCGGGTCCTGCTTGCATCATGTTCAACTCGTGGCGCATGGGTTGGAACTGGAAGCTGCTGGCACCACCGCTGCCGTTCATGAACTGTTCCATGTTCTGTCTTTCACGAGCGTTCATCAAGTTGTCCTGCTTGAACCCCGGGCCTTGGAGGGCGGGACCTTGGCCAGCACTCTGTCTCTGTAAGGATCTGTCTTCTTGGGTGTGTTTGTTGAATTGGGCAATAGCATTGCCGTTGGCTGAACAGTCAGCGCCTCCGCCGACGAAAGACATGATTGTGGTAGGATAGATGTAAGTAGTTGAGGTGGGCGGCTACGGGGAATGGCTGTCTTATAAATCAGTGATCCAAGTGGGGGAGGACTGGGTGCAGGATTAGATTTCACGTGCCGAGGATTCGGGAGGGGTGGCTGCAACCGGTGGGCGCACGCATGGCTGCGGAAGCTGTGACAGGTAGATTCATGGAACATTACAAGTAGCATTAGAGGCAGCACTCTATGGATGGAACATAATTGCAGGATAGATCTAGGAGCTTGGTCCACGAAACGAGTCATACAGAATGCTATATCGTGACAACAGGATCATATTACAGGAATAGGCATTGTATGTTGGAACTACATCTCCATTTACGGACTCACAGATACCAACAAGCAATCCTGTCCGGAACGACATGAACACGTTGAATTCGGGAATTTGTGTCTGCTCATTATTATGATTGGCAAATATCTTCACGTATCGTCACACACACTTTAAATCTCCTCAGAACCTTTGTTCGGCTATTGAAATAGTATTCTGGCATATCCGCTTCACCGGCTCGTTAGATTCATGAATTATAGAGTTCTGGTTCAATGTAACGAAACAAAAGGTTATTAGTGTTAATTTTTACATTCTTCAAATTCTCCATTCACGGAACATCTCTCATTACTATACAGGTATACTATGGACAGTGGCTTAATGGTCAGCCTTGGGGGCGTTTGGCAACACCTTCAACGAGGTTCTGATGGCTTCAACACCCTTCAACAAGTCTTCCTCGGAAATCACCAATGGAGGAGCAAGTCTGATGATATGGTCATGGGTGGGCTTGGCCAAGATTCCGTTGTCTCTCATCACCATACACAAGTCCCAGGCGGATCTACCGTTGGTCTTGGTGTCGTCAATGACAATGGCAGACAACAAACCCTTGCCTCTGACCTCGGAGATAACTCCGTCAAATTCAGCACGCAACTCTTCAAGCTTGGAGGTCAACAAGGCACCCAAGGTCTGGGCTCTTTCGACCAACTTCTCGTCCTTGACCACCTCCAAGGCGGCAATGGCAACACGACAGGCCAATGGGTTACCACCGTAGGTGGAACCGTGGGAGCCTGGAGTCAAGGTAAGCATGATTTCCTTGGAGGACAACACAGCGGACACTGGCATCACACCACCGGAAATGGCCTTACCCAACAAGATCACGTCAGGCTTGACGCCTTCGGAGTGCTCGTAGCACAACATCTTACCGGTTCTACCGATACCAGTTTGGATTTCGTCACAGATCAACAACACGTTGTGCTTCTTACACAAGGCCTGGACCTGGGACAAGTAGTCCTTGGGTGGCACCACGATACCGGCTTCACCTTGGATAGGTTCCAACAAGATGGCGGCGATCTTGTCGCCGGCGTTGTTGAAGGCCTTTTCGACGTCCTCAATGACACCGTATCTCAATAAGGTACCCTTTGGCTCGCCAGGAATTTGGGGTCCGACACCACTCAAGTATGGACCAAAGTTTTCAGCAGCTTCAGGGTCGGTGGACATGGAAATGACTCCCAAGGTTCTACCGTGGAAGTTGTTGACAGCAGACAAGATGATGGCTTCACCCTCTGGGATGCCCTTCTTGAGGTAACCCCATCTTCTGGCCAACTTCAACCCGGTTTCAACAGCTTCGGCACCGGTGTTCATGGGCAACACCATCTCGTAGTTGAAGTACTCGGTGATGTACTTGGCAAACACTCCGAAGACGTCAGAAGAGAACGCTCTGGAACACAAGTTCAACTTGGTGGCCTGGTCCACCAAGGCCTCCACGATCTTGGGGTGGCAATGGCCCTGGTTGACGGCAGAGTAAGCGGACAAGAAGTCCAAGTATTCCTTGCCTTCAGGGTCCCACACATGGGCGCCTTCGGCTCTGGAGAACACCACTGGCAATGGGTGGTAGTTGTGAGCGGAGTATTCTTGCTCGTATTCTCTGGCAACAGCGGAGGAGACTTGGAAGTTTGGAGACATGGTGGGGAGTGTCGAGTATGGACGGCAAACTGATGGAAATAGCGTCCAATTTATAGTTGGTTTTATCGCTAGCTACTGCCTATAGGTGTTGCAGTTTAGACGTGGGTGCCGCCGGGGGAACCCAACGCCGGCGACGGAAGTCGCTATAGGAAAGAGCAGGAGAACGCGGGGCACGTGCCGCGTGATGGAGAGTGGGGGGAGATCATGTCTGTCGTGGGGCCTCTGGAGGTGTGACGCAACATGAATAGTAGAGCTGAGAGATCCATGATTGAACGTATAATTTGCATAATTGGATCTTGAGACATCTTTACTTATTAGAGGCGTTGAGACATCTACAGTTTACACTTATGTATTAGAGACGTTCAGTATCTAATGATGATATCAGCATCAATGGAGCTCTGAAAAAATGTTTCTATTGAATAGCCTACGTGAATGCCTATGTTGCGGTACTTTCGACACACTTCTAGCCTAATCTATTGACCAAGCTACTTCGTCTCCAGTTTTTCAATATCTCATGGCTGCGACAGTTATCACCCACATAGAATCTCCGATCATGGCCATTGCCGGCACGTGATCGGGAGTGCGCCCACCACCTTCCTCCAAGCAAAATATCACCACTCCCTGCCATCCTCCACCATGACCATGAGTCAACCCAACACAAAGAGACAGATGAACCGCGGGGTTCAGCCCCAGCATGTGGACCCCGAAATCAGCGCATTGTCCACGATCGGAATGAGAATCAGAAAGGCCGTCGCCGAAGGCTACAGCCTGCCCAACCACGAACAGTACAGCTACAGCAATGGCCCCAGCCAGTTCCAGAGAGTGCCTCTTCCCGCCAACATGAGCCAGCCTCCCTCGTTGACCAACATGGGATCCACTGTCGAGTCGTCAGGCTCGCGTTTGGGCGAGTGGGACAGCCGCTTTGACATCCACAATGCCCCCGTGCAAACGTTACCCAACTTTGAGGTCAGCCACAAGAGAAAGCATGCTGAAACCGACGACGGGTTCGGCGGCGCAGTGCCAGATTTGGGCACCTTTAGGCTGAAGTACGGTGACTTGAGCTTCAACGAGGAAGTGTAGTCATTCGATATGATGTATGCTATGGGTGGATCCTGACCTTCATTTCAGTTGTTTATTACTAGTTAGTTATTGATTTTTGATTAATGAGTGTAGGCCGGGCTTCCATGCCAGGCTGGTGATCAGCCATAGTCGGGCTAATACCGGTAGTTCGAGCACCAAGGTGAAATTCCTGTCAGAAGCAGCAATTGACAATTGAAGAGGCTTTTTGGAGAATTGGAGGACAGGCTAGGATTAATTCCATCCACCAAGAATTCTATGAAAAAATGCATTAATAGCTAGCTTCTAAGAGCCGAACAGACTGGTCTTGGTGCTTATCTGTAACTCCGGCATCAGTTTCAACTATTCTCCGTTCAGGACATTAAGCAATTATTTTTGCACCTGGCTTCGGATTAAAACACCAATAATTTGTTTTAGGATGATTTATGAACCTCTAGTAATATGAATATTCTTCAAGGTGACCCTGGCCAGCAACCGCTTCATATCCTATTTCTGAGCGTCTTCTTGGCTGGCCCAATAATGGGGCCAATATTCGACTGGATGAGTACAAAATTACTACGCGGATTCAATAGCTTATAATTTGACAATTATGGCATCTCGCCTCTCACAAGTGTTGATTGTGAGAGCCAGGCTACCGTAATGAGTTCCTACAAGCCACGACTCTGAGAAACTCCTCGATAAATTAATAAAGTTCATGGTGAGAGCGATAATTGGGGGATATTATCAACAGTACAAGCAGTACGATTGCTGCTACTTCTACTGGAATATTATCCACACTTATCAGAGCCTTGAATGTCTGCTTGACAATTCAAATCTAATGTCCGTACTTCCACTGCTTTGAGAATTATTTTGCATGCCTCATTACTCCGTACTTATCGCTCTCATTACTCCATGCTTCTCGCTTCTCTTCACATTCATATCGCCACCCTCCTCATCGTGGCATTTAAGGACTGAGCCAACACCGAACCATTCCACACCCTTCTGCTCCAATACGTTCTCCATTTAATCCTCCTCGTTCTCCCCCTTCCATCATGTGCTGCAATTCCATCCATTTAAGCGCGCCAACTCACATTCATTGTATCTAAATTTACACTAATTTCTACACCACAACGATTCAACCACACCTCCACCACTCGTGATGCTAGCGACCCCCTGGCTCAAGATCTCCCAGCCGTTCACCAACCTCTCGGCCAAGGAAAGAGCCCTCCTCGTGCTCCGGCTCGTGGCAACAGGTTGCACCTTGTTCTTGACGCTAGTGGTGTTGATAGGACCCTTGATCACCACCAGAATGTACATCGGCAGGATCAACTGTGCTCACTTGGACGTGTCGTACGGACTCTACAAGTCGCTCAGGAACTCGGTGTCGTCGTCTCCCAGCATCCTTGACAGCGTCGACAACCCACGATATCCAACCGACACCACTCTCACCAACTCAGAGATCTCCATCCTTACTGAGTACGCCCAAGCCCAGGTGGCCAACGCGCCCCAGTACATCTTGACGTCGTTGTGGAGCTGGTGCTTTGGCAACTACAACGTCACCGACTACGAGGACGGACACGGTAACAAGAAGTACAAGATGCACAACCAGGTGTTGCTGTGTTCAAAGTCCAATAACCGGTTCGTGTTCGACTACCGCCAGGAGTTGGAGCAGGTTGGCTTGAAGAGTATCTTGGCCTACGCCTTGCACTCCAACGATGAGGACTCCGAGTACAAGAACGTCATCCGCTCTCGAGACCTGAAGTACAAGTTGGTGCCCCCAGCGTTGATCTTCTGTGGTGCCTCCCAGTTCATCCTCATCGTGTGCACCATCATCACCTACGGGAACAGAGAGGGTGCTAACGATCTATCGAAACTCCCTGGGGTGTTGCTCCACTCGCTTGGCTTGATCGCAGTAGCCTCATTTGCCTCCATCACCATCGGGGCAGGCATCATCACCAGGCTCTTAATCGACATCCGAAGCGAAATCAAATCCAGTTTGGGGTCATTTGGGGTGTCCTTGCACTTGGGAAAGACCTGGTTCCTGTTGCTCTGGGCTGTCCAGGTGTTTTCTACCCTCGCCTTGCTTTCGTGGGCTGCCCCTCTATGGTGTGCCAATCCCGACCACGACGACGAAGAAGACTACGAAGAAAATTACTACCCCAACAGAAAGACCTACATTCATGGAAAACACAGAAAGCACAATAAAATTCCTCAGTACCGAGATTATACTCCATTTAAAGATTTGGAATCAGAAATGATAACTGAGACCACTGATGAAAAACCAAGCTCTAGCTTGGGGAAAATGAAAGAAAGCTTGCATAACAAAAGCAAGAGATTCAGTGGATTCAGAAGCAAGTCCGATGACCTGAAATTCATCAAGCTCTTGGACGACGAATTCGTGAACGAGGAAGGAGTCCACAAAAACCGGTTCGGTTTTGGAAAGGGAAATTTCCATGCACATCACTCCAATTTTGTGGATAGAAAGGAGGAAGAATTGAGAAAGTTGGGAGAAACACTTTCTAAAAAGTCATCAGTAAGAAGAACGAAATCGAAAACTTCGAAAGTCAAGGTCGAGCCGTTTATCATTGAGGAAAAGGAAGCAAAGAATATTCTTTACCAGGACAATGACAAGTATTTGTACCCTAGAAGGCAACTCCTGAACCACTATAGAGAGGAAACATACGATGGATACACGAATACTCACGGATTACCCACTGGTGTAAATTCCCACGAGCAAGTGTCTAGAGTCAACCAGATAAGAGATACTGATGAGAACCCGTTCCGCGAAGGGTCCAGTGAGGCTACGTTGACAGCAAGCAAGGGTGCTTCACCATTTGACAGTGACAAGACTCTTTCAGCAGCTCCGATTTTCCAGAAACAGAGCCGTCGTCTCCCCAGTGGGTCCAGCGGTGAGCAGGCGGACAAGCGGGACTCGTTCGACCACTCTATCTTGGACACGGAAGAGATTGAGTTTTTGAACACCAACAATTTCATGAACAAGTTGTGATGGAAGAACGATTGTTACAATACTCGAATATCTTTCCCACGTCATAAGGTTGAAGAGGTCGAATTTTTGTACTCTAATACTCACGAATAGGCTGTAGTGGTTTGATACGATACTAACTCAGTCAATATAAGCATCGCACCATTACTGCAGCGTAGAGGTGTTTTCGCAACCACGACAACACAATCAGGCGTACACTTAGACCTGTAACAACTTGACTTCATAATCTATAAATTCCGGAGGATGTCACCGACAAGCATCTTCACAGGATACCACTTACCACGACAGAAGACTTTACTATCGATTACTATTCTCCCAATTACTATACCCCGATTCCCAATTAGGCCATCTGGCCTCGTGTTGGCGCACCAATTCCAAGCCTCATTATGCGGTTAAACCAGTTCAAACTGGCATAGTCCAGACACCTGGAAGATCCCAGAAACAGCCAATGAAGCATGTGTCGGCGTCTCCAGTGTCCCCGCCATCGATTCCTGCTTCTTGAAGCCAAAACCACCCATCTTTCGCCCTACTCCAGATGGGGCATATAAACCACGACATTGTCGCACTCCGCCAAAGATTGTTTGTGGCATTCTCCACTCATCATCCACCACCCCAGTGATCACTGCCCCAATCTTGCGTGCTTTCGCCTTCGTCCAGTCCCAGCCTTCTCCAGCCTACGGTGAACCCTTCTCATGCTCACGTGGCACTAGGCACTTTTACTCCTTCTAATATTCAATATCCAGCAAGGGGACTTCGATGGTAAACAACCCAGGATCAGTCGGCACCAGACTACATGCTGACAGCCTGTCACTCACACAACAACCTCAGTATGATGACGACGACCAATATGATCTGCAGTGGGGGTCAGGTACCTCGGCAGAAGTGACCCCATCGTCCATGGCCCTGGCGTTGGCCATGGACTCCAACGAGCCGTTGGCACTCAATCACAGCGACAAATCCAGCCCACAAGTGTATCGCTTGATGATCCTCTCGTTGGTTCTCTCGTTACTTATCTGCATCTTCAACTTCTTGGGCACTTTTTCATGCACAAATGATAGCTTCACCCAATGTTACCCCCAGCTCACCCTCAGGTTTCGTGATACCCCGCAAGCTAGACTCTATCTTGGAAGTGCTCGAGAAGGGCTTCGCATGGCGTCTTTCTTCGCCAAGGACTTCAGCGTTACTCTTAATGATGGACACAAGTTGTCGGAACGAATCCGTCATATCAACACCATCGACAGTCTTTCCGACAAAAACCTCTTCAAATTCAACTACAACGGCTTCTGCAGGAAAAGCATGCTGACTGGGGTCGAATCGTGCACGTACTCCCACGGTCTCGATCTCTTCTCATCGTTGACAAAGGATATCGGTTTGCAGTTGGGAGTTGTTTCGAAGGCCGAAAATCCGACAGAAATTGGCGACAGCTTGGCCACCGCGTACGGGCTGTCTCTTGACACCTTGGGCCAGTACTTTGGCTCAGGCAAGAAAAAGGTGGAGCACCACGTCGATCCACAGACGAACTCGGGAGCCAAAGAAAAGCAGAAAGAGAAGGAAGAGGAGTCCAACTTCATTGATAAGGCAAAGCAAATGAAGTACTTTGGAAAGTCCATTTCTACCATAACGTCGGTGCTGATGTTCGTGTCGGTGCTCTTGGTCATTGTCCAGGGAAATGTCTTACTACACTTGATAAGTAACAGAATGGTGAATGCCCAGTTCACGTTCCGGAAATTGATTTTGGTTCCTATAATCCTCACTTCCGTGCTTATCTTCTTGAACTTGCTTCAAGTTGCAGGCGAACTAAGATACTTCTTTAAGCTATATCGGTTTTTTGACAATGTGGACGTTGCAACCGTCATCAGAACCCTGGGATATTATTTCATGTGGATAACTACGTTGCTTAATATTGCATTGGAATCTGCTCTACTTCTTGTATTCTATAGAAAATAATTAACCATACACTTGTTTAAACGCCTGTTCGAAATCGCCAATAAGATCCTCGACATATTCCGTACCCACAGAAACTCTAATCAAGTCCTTGGTGACACCGGAAGCAAGCTTCTCTTCGTCAGATAATTGTTGATGAGTGGTGAACCATGGGGCGATAACCAAGGTCTTGGAGTCACCGACATTGGCCAAGTTGGAGGCGATCTTTAATGAGTCGACCACCTTAGGAGAGGCTTCGTCGAATTCGTCCTTGGCCTCGTGTGGCGAGTCCTTGACACCAAACGCAAACACACCACCAAACTTGTCCTTATGGTTTAAGTACTTCTGACTAGAGTTGTGGTCCTTGTGCGAAGGCAATCCCAAGTACGACACCCATTTGACGTGAGGAGACAGCTCCAAGTATTGTGCCAACTTCAAGGCATTTTCAGATTGTCTGTCGACTCTCAAGGACAAAGTCTCCAAACCTTGTAACAACAAGAAGGAGCCGAATGGGTTCAAAGCAGGCCCTAAATCTCTCAAGAGCTCAATTCTGGCGTGGCCAATGAAGGCAGAACTGCCCAAAGCATCGTTCAACACCAAGCCATGGTACCCTTCGGAAGGCTTTGAAAATTGTGGAAACTTTTCGGGGTATTGGGCCCATGGGAACTTACCAGAGTCCACAACTACACCAGCAATAGTGGTACCGTGGCCACCGATCCACTTGGTGGCGGAATGCACGACAATATCGGCTCCGTGGTCAATGGGGCGGATCAAATACCCACCGGCACCAAAGGTGTTGTCCACAACCACAGGAATGCCCTTATCGTGGGCAATCTTGACGATTTTCTCGAAGTCGGGCACGTTGAACTTCGGGTTACTGATGGACTCCAAGTAGATTGCCTTGGTCTTGTCGTCAATCAACTTCTCGAAATCAGCAGGATCGTCACCATTGACGAAACGAGCCTCGATGCCAAATCTTTTGAAGGCGACCTTGAACTGGTTGTAGGTACCACCGTACAAGTAGCTGGTGGAGACGAAGTTGTCGCCGGCGTGGGCCAAGCCTGCAATGGCAATGAGCTGGGCAGCCTGGCCGGAGGAGGTTGCCAACGCTCCGATTCCGCCCTCGAGCGCAGCAATCCGCTTCTCGAACACATCGTTGGTGGGGTTCATGATACGCGAGTAGATGTAACCTGGGGTCTCCAAGCCGAACAACTGGGCACCGTGCTTGGAGTCATTGAACGAGTAGGAGGTGGTGGCATAGATGGGAGGAGCTCTGGCGTTGTAGGGAGCTTCGACCTCTTGACCAGCATGAAGTTGAAGGGTGTCGAAATGGGAAGGCATGGTTGTGTGGTGAGTCAATTGGCCTGTAGTGGTGGGTTCAATTGGTATTTATAGGCCCCTGGTGGGGCCATGTCTTCTCCACTAATAACCACGATGAACACATCTCACGTGCCTGTTCCAAGGTGCTTGGCCAGTGGGCCAGGACGCCGTTGGAGTAGCGATTGTTGGGTGTGGCAGGAGTGCCGAATCTGGAAGTAAGCGCCGCAGCCTTGCCTGGGGCAATCGCAGCCCATGGCGCCAACAGCGCCTTAGACCCTGCAATAGGACCCTGGTAGAGCCTGCGCCAGCCGCACCAATGACCTGGTGGTCGCTCGCTAGTTAGGGGGCTATTTTGTTCCAGCCGCCACTAGAGTCACTTGACACCTCTTCAAGAACGAATCGGAACTGCTTCGTGGATGCTTCAAACTCCGAGGCTTGGGGCATTTGATTGGCCACTCTATTCACCCGACCAATGTGACCATCACTGTGCTGTTATAATTGGACAGTCCGATCCTCCTTGTCCGTACCAGTTCTAGCTAAGTTTGGCCGGATCACCACAGCCTGGTGCTACTTATAGGCCATAGTCCAGCCAGACCATTTCTGTTAGACCAGTGCTGCCAGACCGGTGGTCTGTCATGATCCTGACATTTCCTGCCAGCACTCTCTTCGCCAGTTACGACGTCCTCTGGCCTCTTACCTTCACTACTGCCTTGTAGTTGAGTCAACTTTTCCCTCTTTAACGCTCTCTTGGTGTACTATTCTATAGTCTACAGTCAGAGTGCTGCTAATTTTCCCGATTCTGCCAGTTTTTTGTTGCCTCAAATCACTCGCAGCCAAATCTCACGCTCAGCCAGCCTCCTTACCACCACTATGCTCTCTGGCGAACAGTGCCTAGGCATCACCACAAAGGGCGTTCGGTGCAAGCTTAGAGTCGACGATGGCTACTGTCGATACCACCAGAGCCAGAAGGGCGTGGCAGCCAAAAAACCAGCGAAACAGCTCCCCAAACAGCTGCCCAAACAGCCGCCCAAACAACCGTCCACAACATCGCCAAAAAAGCTGCCACCCAAAAGACCGCCACAGCCAGTGCCCACGGCTCGTCCCAGCACTCCTGCTGTGCCAGCTGCCCCCAGCAAGCCGGGCTACATCTACATGTACACTTTCGCTAGGCTCTACAATGGAGACAAACTGTGGCTCAAGGCAAAGAATCTTCCCGGGACGAAAAAGAAGGATCAGTGGCTCCCCTTCAACGCTAAGCACTCGGAGTACACGTTGATCAAAATCGGAATGACAACCCAAACTGTGGAGAAGAGGTTCAAGCAATGGCAGGACAAATGCCACCATGAGATCGTAGACATGCTGCCGGCCTCTGCACCCATGGCATCGCACTCCAAGATGTCGAGGCTCGTCAGCAAATTCTCCAGGCTTTCGATTAAGCCAGAACGGCTGGCTCACGCATACCGTACCTTCAGGCCTGACGAAAAGGGGTTCTACTGTCGGAATAATCTAGCAGTGGTCGAGTCAGAAATACACCGCCAATTGCGAAACATATACGGGTACGGAGATATTCTCTGCCAGGGATGCAACGAAGCTTCTTCAGGATACAAAATGCATATCGAATGGTTCTTGATTCCCAAGACACACATTCCCGGGGTCTACAGGGCGATAGACTCTATCTGTCTTCAGTATGGATAACTTTTATTAATACAAATCACAATAATGACGTTAACAGGATTAACGTTAGAAAAATATAGTACTTTTCAACCAACACTTCAACCTGTTCAAGTGTTCATATAAGTGGAAGGATCAACACCTTCTTCTGGGAATTCGGTGATCTTAACATCGAATCTAGATTGGATCTTTTCCAAAACTTCTTCGTCTTCCTTGTTGGAGACAAGAGAAATGGCCAAACCCTTGGTACCGAATCTACCAGCTCTACCAACTCTATGCAAGTATTGGTCAGCCTCGTTTGGCAAATCGTAGTTGATAGCCAAGTTGATTCTCTCGATATCAATACCTCTACCGAAAACATCGGTGGAAACACAGATACGCTTGTTGAACTCCTTGAAAGACTTGTATCTAGCGATTCTTTCTTCTTGAGGAATACCGGAGTGAACAGCAATAGAAGGGAAGTTACAAGCACACAACAACTTGTTCAATTCTTCGGCTCTGTTGGTAGACTTGACGAAAATAATAACTTGGTTGAATTCCAAAGAGTCCAACAAGTCAGACAACTTTCTGTTCTTTTCCTTCTCAGCCAACTTGATGTAGTATTGTTGCAAACCGTGTAAGGTCAACTTGGCTTCGTCATCAACATAGATTTCCAATGGGTTCTGCATGAACTTCTTACAGACGGGACGGATTTCTTGAGACAAGGTAGCCGAGAACATCATAACCTGCTTTTGGTGAGGAGTGCTACGGAAGATGTCTTGCACGTCTCTTCTCATGTCAATAGATTCCAAAACCTTGTCACATTCATCGATGACGAAGGACTTGACGTTGGCCAAACGGATGGCCTTTTCCTTGACCAAAGCGTGCAATCTACCTGGAGTGGCGACAACAATGTGAGGACAAGTGTCCTTGCTCTTCAACTTTTCGATGTCTCTCTTGATTGGGGTACCACCATAGAAGACTTCGGTCTTGACATCTGGCATGTACTTGGAGAATCTGGCGTACTCGTTTCTAATTTGGTAGGCCAATTCTCTGGTGTGACAGATAACCAAAGTGGAGATTTCACCAGCAACTGGGTCTAACTGTTGCAAGGTGGACAAGACGAAAACGGCGGTCTTACCCAAACCAGACTTGGCTTGACACAAGACGTCGGTACCCAAGATGGATTGAGGGATACAAACTTGTTGAACTATAATGTTAGTGGTATTCGTGGATGGGATGGAATGTGGTCCTGGAACACACAATAGAGTGGTGGAGAAGGGGAGCCAAGCTGTGGTGCCCGCTGATGCGTGGCCCAACGTACTGGAAGTGGCAGAAGACACGGCGATGCCTCAGACTGCCTGCCTGATTGTTTGCGGTGGCAAGCACGGTTTCTCGGCCTTGGCTAGATGCTAGCACAGATGGATTGCGGTGGAAAGCACCGTTTCTCGGTCTTAGCTAGATGCTAGCACAGATGGACACGCGTCTATTATGTGTACCGGGAACCCATTCCCAGGAGGTGGATACGAACCTTCAGAAGGATGTTCGAAACCACAGTCACCGATGGCTCTCAACAATTCTGGCTTCAATAAGAAGTCTCTGAAACCAGTGGCATGGATACCAACATAGGAACCTTTCTTGTCGGCTTCCTTGTCGTTTTCTGCCTCACCAGCACCGGCAGATGGGGCGGTGGTTGGAACGGCGATCTCTTCAGAGTCGGAGTAGTCCAATAATTCTTCTTGGCCTTCGTGTGACATTATCAGTGGAGTGGATAGGTGTTGACTTTTGTCTTGCCTCCAGTTTTTTCAACAAAGTACTCGTGGTGGATGGACGTGGGCCCGCGCACGACCTGGGACTGCCACCCGCCGCACGACTCATGAGTAGCAGCAAGTGAGTCCTGCCTGGGCTTTGGCACTATCCATACCATGTTCAGATCCATTTTGGCCACTAGCCGTCGAGGAGCTTCCGTGAGACCATTTCGCCCAGTCTTGCTCGCCAGACCGTTTTCTCGCACCGCCCCAGCCCAGTTCTTTGGAGGCAAGCCTACTGGCGACATCAGTGAGGAGCAGGCCAAGACCATTAGCCAATTTGGCGAGACCTTGAAGAACAACCCCGAGCTTGCCAAGTTGTTGGACGGGTTCCAGTCACTTTTGGCCACCAAGGGCATCGCTACTGGCGGCCAGCCACCATCACTCACCCAGATGATGAAGATTCTTGCTGATAAAGACATCCGCGAACACTTGAGCAAGTTGAAGGCCGTGTTGGATGCTTCCAACATCAAGATCAACCAGCAAGACTTGTCTGCGTTGACAGACCTCTACCTCTCCCAAAAAAAGCAATAGACATATAGACATGCAGTACTCCCAGCATATACATGAGTGCTGCTGTACACCGAATATACGGGTGATCCTAGTCGGATATGTAGATATCGAAGCTATTTTTAATTAAAGGCCATGCTGGGGAATATTAATGAATAATCCTACCAGGGTAGATCATCCTCCAGACAGGCGAATTATAATAGATTTTCAGCACCAGAACAGGTTTTGTGGAGAGAACAGAATGCAGGTGGATACCATGAAAGGCAGACTGGTAGGCATTCTACAATACATTGGAAGATTATTTTTGCTGTCCATCAAGTTCTTATGTACTACTTTTATTCCTATTAATATAGATCAGTATGTTCTTTTGGTGGTTCGAACCAGAGATCTGGAATACTGATTAGACTGTTCATTTGGGCGCCAGAAGAGCAAAAATTTGAAATCATAATGGATTTTCGTGTCAAATCAAGTTTTACCTGTATCTCTGTAAAAATTTACCTAATAATTTTAGCAATTGTCCTACAATCTCAGTACTGGCAACTACAAAAATGGTCTCCACAGAATAGAGTCGAGACCCTGTACATTTAGTAGCAACAACTATGTAGCGTTTTTCATTACTTTTTTCAGTGGTGATAGACAGGTTGTTTAATCCCATAGCTATACCAATTGAATGAATACTTACAATACATTACATCGAAAGAGATAATATTAAACATTTTAGCACAGAATTATTTACAAGCCAGTCAAGCTCTGTTAAATTATCTCATGAATCCATACTCACTACTTCTTTTTGGCAAAAGAAGCTGAAATGTTGGCTGCTTCCTCCACGCCTCTAGCGATACCTCCACGCACACCAGCGTCCTCCATCTTCAAAAGCCCGCCAATAGTGGTTCCTCCTGGAGTGCACACCTTACTCTTGAGAACGGCAGGATGGTCTCCTGTCTCGAGCACCATTTTGGCGGTTCCCTCCATGACCTTGGCAGCAGCAGACCGGGCAACGTCGAACGGAAGGCCCATTCTGACTCCTCCGTCGATCAATGATTCCATCATCATCAAGCAGAACGCAGGACCGGATCCCACAAGTGCCGTGGCAGCATCCATGTTCTTTTCTGGGATTTTGAAAGCCAATCCCACAGTGTCAACGAGCTTCATCACGAAATCCTGATTATCCAGACTAACTGCTTCAGAAAATGACACTGCTGCGGTACCACACCCAAACTTGGCAGGGGTGTTGGTCATGACTTTGGCCACATATTTCGAGAAAATCTCCAACTCCTCGATGGTGGTACCTGCCAACAACGAGATCACTAATTGGTCACCGTTCAACGAGTTCTTGACCTGCTCATACACTGTTTGGTACATGTACGGCTTGCACCCCAAAATGATAATATCAGCAGCCTCGACGGCTTTAGCATTGGCCTCGCCAAATGACACCTCGACTCTGTGGTCGTCGAACGCTCCTTGCAATGCCAGGGCCGATTTTTCAGAGTTGACACATGCAATGAGCCTGGCAGGAGCTGGCTCGACGTTGGACTTGAGAATGGCAGTGGCCACGGCAGTTCCCATGACCCCGCAGCCTAGAACAGTGATAGTGTAGTCCTTCATTGCTGGTTTTAGAACAGACTTGTTGTATAGTCCAGTCAAATTGGTGCCAGGCAAGTGATAATGTCGTCCACCAGCCGGTCCCGGCTGCCGTAAACGGGTGTCGCCCCCACCTTCCCTGGCACGACATCGATCTCCGATCTTCTCTCACTCCGGTTCCCGCGCACACCTTTCCGCATCCGGCAGTCTATGTCCAACCGAACTCAAACATGCGCCCTAATGAGCCCGCCCGGGCTACGTAACCTGAGTCCGCTAGTGAATTCTGGATTTCCTACGGGGTGTCACCCGATCTACATTCTTTCTTCACAGCCCATCCACCGCCGCAAAGTCTGCCTAGCTTCGCTGTACCCCGCTGTCTGTATCACCCCACCATCCTCGTCGTGCGAGCCTCTCTCCATAGGCTCTGGCAATTTCTGGTAATTTTTTTGCCAAAGATTCACATCGCAGGAGGGCAATATTAGCTTCCCGATTTTTGCAAGCCAAAAGCCCCTCCCACCCCGCTAGCTAGATACTCCTTGCTGCCAGGATTCCAACGTACTAATTTTTGTCGTATTTGGATAACAGAAAACCTGTTTTTGGGGTGATTTCGTTGCTGTGTCGGAAACCGAAAGAAATTCACCTTCGTCCACCATGTACGACAAGCTGCTTCTCCAGCCATGCCCTGCGCTTCGTCCTACGGCCCAGCAGTTCGAGGATCCAATCGGATACTTGTCACTGCCCGAAGTGACATCCCTAGGTGCCGAATACGGAATCGTCAAAGTGATTCCTCCATCCAACTGGAAACCTCCATTTCTGATAGCCTCATCCTTCAAGTTCCACACCCGATTACAAAAGCTTAGTGACTTGGGGTTGACTACCCGTTCCAGAAAGTTTTTCAGAGACAATGTCAACCGTTTCTTGAAGATGCGTAGAAAAAGACAGCTCAGATTGAGTTTCCCAGTCAAGAACGTGGGAAGAGACAGGGTCAATGTGTACTACTACGATCTCTACCTCGAAGTGGAGAAGTTGGGTGGACCTGAGGCTATGGAAGACCCCCAGTGGGAATCAATCAACACGAAATTCGGTGTAAAAGACACGAAGTCCAACACCATAAGAGACGAATACGAATTGAGCATTAAGGCATACGCCCTCTTTTTATCTCATAACAACCAAAATTATGACTTTCCCGACTCCGAGTCCGACGATGAATATGATAACTGTTTGATATGTGGCAAACACGATCATCCTTCCAAGACTCTTCTTTGTGACAATTGCGACAACCCATTCCACATGACATGTCTTGCATCGCCCTTGACTGCCATTCCTACCGGCACTTGGTACTGTGATAAGTGTTTGATTGGAACAGGTGAATATGGCTTTGAAGAACATGTAGATATCAAGTACACATTGCCCGAATTTTATCAAATGTGTCAAGAATTCGAGCAAGAATTCATCCAACAATACAACAAAAATGAGCCTTTGACGGTGGATATAATTGAACAGAAGTTTTGGGAGTTTATCGACATCCAAAAATCAGATTTGGAAGTCAAGTATGGTGCAGACATTCACAATCTCAAGCCTGGAGAAATCAGTGGGTTTCCAATGCCTAATACGCCTGGTATTCCATTGGATGACCCTGCAATCCAAAGTTACATTAATCATCCATTCAACTTGACCAAATTGCCATTTGCAAAGGGTTCATTGCTCAACTACATTAATACTTCTATTTCAGGAATGACTGTGCCATGGATCTACATTGGTACTTTGCTATCTACATTTTGCTGGCATGTTGAGGACCATTACACTCTTTCTGCTAATTATTGCCATTTTGGAGCTACCAAGAAATGGTACGGTATTCCTTCATCTCAGGCACACCAATTTGAAAAGCTTATGAAAGAAAGTGCTCCCGACTTGTTTAAGAAACAGCCAGACTTGTTGCATCAATTGGTGACGTTGTTGTCACCAATGACATTAGTGAAAAATGGCATCAAATGTGTGTATGCTGATCAGAATCCCAACGAGTTTGTCATTACGTTCCCAAGAGTATATCACTCCGGATTCAATTGTGGCTTCAATTTCAATGAGGCTGTCAACTTCACCATGGACGAATGGCTTGAACATGGAGCCCAATCTATTCATGATTACAAGTTGATCAAGAAAGAAAATGTTTTCAATCATTACCAATTGATAGAAAACATAATCCGTGAATTTAACAAGAAGATCCACAATAAAGAATCGGTTTCGCCGAACGAAATCAGGTTGGTAGGAAGGTGTTTGTCCAGTTTTGAGTCGTTCGCACAGAAACAGAGGGACACCTTGAACAAGTTGGACAAATCTAGATACCTCATTAAACACAAGCCAAAAATATTCAAACCAAGGAGTTTTGCGGATGAGCAGAAGGGAACCTTTAACCTGGATCAGACGGAGGAAGAGGAAGATTTATGTGATACATGTAAAACACACATTTCTTACCAGTATTGTATTATTAATAACAAGTCACATGAATTCGGTATCAGAAAAGTGGAAATTAAACAGGAGCCATTGTCACCCAAACCCGAGACCATCAACAAAACTGCTGTCAATATTATGACCACCCGGATCCCCATTCATCAACTCCTCACCCCAGAATCTTCCCCCTACGACCACCAGAAACCCGACAGTAATGTGGACTTGGGCAAGATCACCAAATCCGAAGCATCAAAGCACCTTTCGCAATTGAGCGAGCAGGAGAGCAAACTCTGCAGAGAGGCAGAATTCAAGCAACTTGTGGACCAAGCCAAACGAGCAGCTGTCGAAGCCGACGATAAGAACAAGCGTCGGAAATCAAGACGGTTACAGGAGTTGGAGGAGAAACCATTCCAGGAGATGAGTCGTATGCGTAGTAGCAAGATGTCTCTGGTGCAAGTGAAGTCGAGCCTTCGTCAATTGAATCAGAAAGAGACTATTAAACTTTGCTTGGACTGTTTGACCAATAACTACGGTGCCACAGGCAGCATGGCGCCAGAGGGATCAGTTTTGTTGTATGAGATTTCTCCATTGCAATTGGATTCGTTCATCGAGGAGGCCAAGGCCAATTTGAGAGCGAGTTCCTGATTAGTATTATTTGGAGTTGAAGCGTTCAGGTCAATGTTAAAGATGTACATTTCCCCTGTTAGTTTGGTCCAAATAGTCAGTTGAGTGTATAAAGGATAATGAATTACGATTACGGAAAGTGATGTAGGTCAAGAAGAAGTGATGTAGATGCAAAGCATTTTCAATTATTTATTGCATAGCACCGTAAATTGCAAAAAATTCACCAAAATGGCACTATGGCACAAATTGCATTTTGGGTTAATCCATTGATTAATTTCATTCGATAGCAAGCTCCATGCTCATGGGTCCCAGTATCAGTGTAATGTACTAGAGTGGCCAAATTGCATCAATCCATTAAGCTAATGGTGTGCGGTTCCAATCCAAAGGCCTGATTTTTCGCGGCCAATTTGTGCAATTTCCTCCGCAGCTACAGCGACGGCCAACCACGGTAGAGGAAAAGAAGAAACCATTCTATCTGTTCTTCTGACTCTAAGCAAACTCTAAGGTTACTCGTAACGTATTCTCTGAAACCCCACGCTCCCTGCGGTGCATTGAGTAATATTGCCACTTCTTTTCCTCCGTAGTTCGGCTACCGTTGCGTAGCATTTGAAAAAGGATTCCGCCCAGCCTCGGTAGCTATGCGTACTTTTTACACAGCAATTTTCGGACGTTTGTACATTCCGTTTGGGCGTCCAAATGGCGGAGACTGGCCACTAGGCTACAATTCACTTCCCCAATATAGCAACGAGGGGACTTCTAGAGGACGTCTGGATTCATCCACTATACACCAGTATGTGTGCATCTCCCTGCACCCATAATGGTTGTATAGTCAATGGTTATTTCCCAGACTTCCTTTATTTCGCCGGTACGTGCCGGGTTTGTAGGTGATTCTGGGGTACCATTGGATAGAGCCCGGTTACGTAAGCCTCGCCGCCATATCTCTGGCAACGCGAGGGGCCTCAATTGCGCTGGTAGTAACATTGCGCTGGTAGTGACAGATGATCCGTAGCACGACATCTGTCCCCAATCATCCACTTGCTCCTAAACCCACCCCCGTTTGCAGCTCGTCCCCAGACTGTCGACTGGCTCTGGCCCCGGTGGGCCGTTTTGCAGGTTACCTCGCCAGAACCGTGCGGTTCCGCCAGCCAAGGCGCCCTCACGTGCTCCGGCAGGGTAACCCCCTCCCAACCAATAAAATCCTATAGTTCGCACAACCACCGGAGTCGTCCCAATGAGAACGCCGCGTTTTCATTGGCTGGCCTCCCTCAGTACTACACCTTGTGGCCAACGAAAATATAATTGACTAGCGATTCCTCCACCAAATTTTTTCAAACCTTTTCTTCTCTAAAGAGTGTTTGACCAAAGTTGTTAACGATGGTTCTTCCTAAATTGTTTCACAATGCTTCACGCAGTGCATTCACTGCTGCCAAGCGTAACTTCATGTTCAACAGGGGTTTAGCTTCTGCTGCTCCTACCGCCGGTAAGGTGAGGTATGTACTTTGAGAACCACGAATCGATCCTCCAGGAATTGAACAGGAAAAGCGGCTCCCGCCCACAGCAACAGGAAGGCAATTGCATCGGGTCAGTGGCAGTGTCCAGACGACGCCGCTGGCACGTCTCCAGCCAATTCGTGGATTTTCCACCTGGCTGCCATCATCACCCACATAGTCCAATGCTGCCATTCCCGCCTGATCCGGCCTCCAATTGCATAGTCCCAAGGCGCCGGGCGCTGACGCCCTGTTGCAGTTGGCGGGTGTCGCCCTCGAGCCAATCAAATTTTTCATTTTTCGGACCTCGATTCTCGCATGTCCAATCAATCGTACTAACATTCACAGAGCTGTCATTGGTGCCGTTGTCGATGTCCAATTCGAAGAAGGTAACGTTCCATCCATTTTGAACGCCTTGACCTTAAAGAACGGTGAAACCGACTTGGTCTTGGAAGTTGCTCAACATTTGGGTGAAAACACCGTCAGAGCTATTGCTATGGACGGTACCGAAGGTTTGGTTAGAGGTACTGCTGTCACTGACACCGGTGCCCCAATTTCCGTCCCAGTCGGTCGTGGTACCTTAGGTCGTATCATCAACGTTGTTGGTGAACCAATCGATGAAAGAGGACCAATCGAATCCAAGCAAAGAAACCCAATTCACGCTGACCCACCATCGTTCGTTGAACAATCTACCTCCGCCGAAGTTTTGGAAACCGGTATCAAGGTTGTCGACTTGTTGGCCCCATACGCCAGAGGTGGTAAGATTGGTTTGTTCGGTGGTGCCGGTGTCGGTAAGACCGTTTTCATCCAAGAATTGATTAACAACATTGCCAAGGCCCATGGTGGTTTCTCCGTCTTCACCGGTGTCGGTGAAAGAACCAGAGAAGGTAACGATTTGTACCGTGAAATGAAGGAAACCGGTGTCATCAACTTAGAAGGTGACTCCAAGGTCGCCTTGGTTTTCGGTCAAATGAACGAACCACCAGGTGCTAGAGCTAGAGTCGCTTTGACTGGTTTGACCATCGCTGAATACTTCAGAGATGAAGAAGGTCAAGATGTCTTGTTGTTCGTTGACAACATTTTCAGATTCACCCAAGCCGGTTCCGAAGTGTCTGCCTTGTTAGGTCGTATTCCATCCGCCGTCGGTTACCAACCAACCTTGGCCACCGATATGGGTCTTTTGCAAGAACGTATTACCACCACCAAGAAGGGTTCCGTCACCTCCGTCCAAGCCGTCTACGTCCCAGCCGATGATTTGACCGATCCAGCTCCAGCCACCACCTTCGCTCACTTGGATGCTACCACTGTGTTGTCCAGAGGTATCTCTGAATTGGGTATCTACCCAGCTGTCGATCCATTGGACTCCAAGTCCAGATTGTTGGATGTCGCCGTTGTCGGTAAGGAACATTACGACGTTGCCACCGGTGTCCAAGAAACCTTGCAAGCCTACAAGTCCTTGCAAGATATCATTGCCATTTTGGGTATGGATGAATTGTCCGAAGCTGACAAGTTGACCGTCGAAAGAGCCCGTAAGATCCAAAGATTCTTGTCTCAACCATTCGCTGTCGCTGAAGTTTTCACTGGTATCTCCGGTAAGTTGGTCAGATTAGAAGAAACCGTCAAGTCTTTCAAGGATGTCCTCGAAGGTAAGTACGACCACCTCCCAGAAAACGCCTTCTACATGGTTGGTGGTATCGAAGATGTTGTCGCCAAGGCCGAAAAGATGGCTGCTGAAGCTAAGTAAACTTGATAGTCTGCTCAGATAGTCTCATAAAATACGTTTCATTAGAAGTTTGTATCCATGTAGTGAATTGTAGCCTCAGTCTTACAGTTAAACCCCATTCTTGAAGGAAGGGGGCTGTTTTGTCACACTACCTTGTGTCACGCGCGCAAATGGCACGTCCAGACAGTATATATGCTTCTGGAAATTAGCGTTTGTTCACCACCCGAAAATGTTTTCCTTAGCTGAAGTATGTCCCCATCACCAGTTGTCTAGCCAATACTAACCCCAGACCTTTTCATTCCTCGACAATCCCAATATCAATTGGAAGAATGTCATCTTGGGCTTCACCATCGGCCAAGCGGTGTTCGAGAACTACCTTGCCTACCGCCAGTACCAAGTGTTGAAGAGAAAGACTCCTCCTGTGTCGTTGAAGGCCGAAGTCACCCAGGAGACCTTCGACAAGTCCCAGGACTACTCCCGTGCCAAGGCCAGATTCGGGTTCGTTACTGACATCTACAATGTTTTGCAATTGGTTGCCACCGTCAAGTATGACGTGTTGCCCAAGCTCTGGACCGTGGCAGGCTCGTTGGTCCAAAAGGCCAGCCCCATCCTCCCATCGTTCTTAGGCGGTATCATCACTCAATCCTTGTTTTTCGTTGGTGTCCAAGAAGTTATTTCCGTTGTGTTGTCCTTGCCCGTGTCCTACTACTCCAACTTCGTGTTGGAAGAGAAATACGGCTTCAACAAGTTGACGCTTGGTTTGTGGATCAGCGACAAGCTCAAGAGCTTTGCATTGAGTGTCGTGCTTGGCTACCCCATCCTTGGACTTGCCTTAAGAATCTTTGACTTCACCGGCGACTCGTTCATTGCCTACATCATGATCCTTGTTCTTGCCGTCCAGTTGACTTTCATGACTATCTACCCGCTTTTTATCCAGCCTTTGTTCAACAAGTTCACTCCTTTGCAAGAAGGTGAATTGAAGACTGCCATCGAAAACTTCGCTGCTAAAGAAAAGTTCCCATTGTCCAAGTTGTACGTGATTGATGGTTCCAAGAGATCATCACACTCTAATGCCTACTTCACTGGATTGCCTTGGAGTAAGCAGATCGTCTTATATGACACTTTGATCGACCACTCCACCACAGAAGAGACTGTTGCCGTCATTGCCCACGAAATTGGCCACTGGAAGTTGTCCCACTTGGCCAAGATGTTGGTGTTTGCTCAAGCACAAATCTTCACCTCCTTTTCATTGTTTTCTGCCTTTATCCGTAACAGATCCCTTTACAACTCATTCGGTTTCACTACTGTCCAACCCACCTACATCGGATTCCTTTTGTTCGGCCATATTTCCACCCCTATCAACCTTGGTATCCAGTTCCTTTTCAATTTGTTATCCAGAAAGCACGAATACGAAGCTGATGAATATGCCAAGTCGCGTGGTTTTGCTGAACCATTGGCCAAGGGTTTGATCAAGTTGTTGAGTGAGAACTTATCTTCGATGGACGCTGACGGGTTATACTCTGCTTACCACCACTCGCACCCAATTCTTCCTGAAAGATTAAATGCCATTGGATACATTTCCAAGGAGAAGATTGCTGATATCAAACCTTTCAAGAATGATTAAATATATTATTAAATACGATAAGTTTTCAATCGATTGATTATTTTAGATACTTGTAATCCACCATGAAGATGGAACAAAGGTGGACTCAATCTATAAAAACAGCCCACTGAGATGCAAATTTTAATATTGCTATATTCTATATATGTGATTTCTTGTACTTCGAGTTCAACTCATCGTAGGCCTGCCTCATTTGCACGTATCCCAAGTGTATCTTTCCGATTAAGTGATCAGCCAATCTTCTATCACTGTCTAATCTCGATAAGTAGGCCCCACAGGCCTCGCAAACCTGTAGCTTCTGCTGTGACACCTGTCCGACGTTCTCGGCAATATTTCGGGCCGTTTCAGCCAATGTTTCTCTCTTTTCACACAACTCTTTCAATCGCACTGTTTCAAGAGTGGCTTTTAATGTTTGATGTTCGTGGATGAGGTAGTTGATTTCTTGGGTCATGAGTCCGATGTTGGTATCGAGATCGTCGAGCTCTTTTGTCACGGCTGCTATCTTTTCCTTTTCTTCTGGGGTTCTTTCCAACCGCTTTTGGGCGAACTCGATGGTACGGTCCAACTCGTTGATGTACTTTTTGAGGTTGAGATAGTGGGCATATTCAATGTCTGGGAACTGTTCACCCTTCTTGGTTCTGTATTCGTATTCCATCTTGTGTTTCTCCAAGTGCAATAGCGGGCATTTGCCTAGATCCTGCTTGGTTCCAGCTAGCAAGTCGTGGGGGCAAGGGCCCACCAAAAAGCTTCGACACACTCTGTGGTTGGTCATCTCGACCTCCCTGCGGCGTTGGGCCGGGGAAATGAGGGCCTCTTTGCCCATGAGCTGCTCCAAGAGCTTCCGCTGCTCCTCTGCCATTGTGGTATGGTGTGGTGGATGTAGCGTAGAGAGCGAAGATGTCGCAGAAGGCTATCGCATCACGTGATGTCGTGGGTGTAAGGTGAAGGAGGGAACAGCCAATGATTCAGGTGGCCACAGTGGTCACGGGAGCGAAGTAATGAGCGTATTATGTTCTGAGTGGTGGTCTACACTGAATGGAAGAAATTATATGAAAACTGGCGATTTTCCAAACTTCCACTATTAAACTGGACTAGAAGATGCCAGATTGCCACCTGTTACTGTAGTGCTAAATGATGTTCCAGACTCGATACTAGAGCGAGAATATCTGAGTCCCTTTCTTACCATAGCATTATTGGTTCAGATAACATTCAACTCTAATAAAGTAATTGAACCCCATTGATGAAACTTTTTATCCGATACACATGAAGCACGAAGTGTAGCACCTAGCAACCGTTTGGCCTCGAGATGCTCCTAAATTTCATCTCTTTCGGCCAGATCCGTCCATCCTATGCAAGGGCGAGCCTTCTTCCCATTCATCCGCAATTCCGCTGTGCTTCTCGAACGCTATTCCCCCAGGCTATACTCCCCCAGGCTATACTGGGCCTCCACTGGTGGTGCCTGCTGATATTTCCAGATGCACACAGCCATGACATCATCACTCTGCCATCGTGCCGTATAGATCTCTGCCCAACCCGCCTGCGCACAGCGCATCGTTATCTTTGCCTGTTTCAGTAATGTCCGCCCGGGTTTTCAGGCGGCCGCTCGACAGCCACATCCACGCCCCAAGGCTAATTTTCCCATATTCTTCCAACACCATCGTCTGTGCTCTGACTCTACCCCGTGGGGCCTATTAAGTTCTACTTCTCTGTTCTTACACTCCATTCCCGAAGTTTGCTTGCCCAGACGATTCTTTCTGCTTATCCACCAGACCCCGTCACCCCGCCTTCGCAGCTCATCCCGCCGCACGGCAGACCCCATTTTTACGACATTGTTCCAGCCCAAGTCATCATCCCATCGCTGCCAGATCAAGCTCTGGCCCCCTCATAGTCCCTCACAGAGTCCCCCACAGAGCTCCAGCCGTCTCACCGCTGCTCCCGTCTCGTTCTTGCCTGCTGAGCCGTCGTTTCCGAGACGTTTAACCACCAATACTTTAAGTACGGGTTACTAAGAAGTGTGGTTCTCTTTCTAAATCATCCCAGAGTCCCTTTTCAAGCTCATCAGATCCTTCTTCCAGCAGTACAGCACACAGTTGCGACGACTGTGGTCTCCTAGCAGCTTCTCCCGGTTTCTGGCATATTTATCTGCTCCATCTACATCATAAACCATGGCTCGTTACCAGCTCATAGGCCGCAAGAAGGTGCCGAAAACCAAGCCTTCGCCCGTACTGTACCACATGCAGCACATCTGCGGACTTCCCCACGAGATTCTCCTTCAAATCTTCGATTCTCTCGACGAACGAGACCTCCTCAACTTATCGCTCACTTGTCTGCGGTTCAGAAGCATCATCAACAAAACCTACCTCTACCGTCACGTATCGTTAACCGAGGCGTCGTTCTCCAAGTTCTCCCTTTCCCATGTGCGTACCAGCTCCAAGAGTGCGTTGTCGAAGAAGTTCAAGAGCACAAGCCCCCTGTCCAACATCAACTACATCCAAGAGTTGACCCTTATCAACCCACCCATCCGTGACTCCGCAGACCGCACGATCTCGATTGCAGGCTCCTACGGAGTCAACAGCAACCTCAAAAGCGGAAGCCAATCCAACTACCAGAACTACGTGAGTTCCCTTCGGAACCTCCTTGAAGATGCATACGGACTCAAACGAGTGTCGATATTCGAAATATCCCCTCACTTTGAATTCTTCAAGGATGTGGTGCCTGTCCCCGCCCAGAAGAGCTTCTGGAAAAAGGCTGCTCCGTCCAGGTCCTTGGACTTCGTCGAGCTCAAACCTCAATCGGGGTGGTCCATCATATTCAAATGGTCCCATATTGCCATATTTTTCTCATATCACGAACACTTGAAAGAACTCTGCTTGCACAATTTTATTATAGATGACCTCAAGTTGGCCAATGCTCCAGTTCCTTCTGTGTCCATCGAAAAGCTCACGATTGATTCGTGTTCTTATGCTGATTCTTTCAGGAAAGTTAACCAGTCCAAAAAGCCTTGCCTACTTCTTGCTGATGTCCATTCCCTACAGTTACTCAATATAGTCCACGGGACCGATCTTTCCATGATAGACTACGTTAAACAAAACGGTAAACTACAGGAACTCACGTTGGATATCAATTCTCCTTTATTCTACCAGCAGCTGGAAGGCAACTTTCAGTTTCATTTTGACAAGTTCAATCCGTTTTTCCAATTACTTTGTGCTGGCACAGGAGGATATTCTTCTATAAAGCATTTGCAATTGGTCAATTTTGATCTTTTCCAGTACGCGTCACTAAAGGATATCAGTGATATCGACTCTTGGGTTGAACCTCCCACTGATACATTTGAGTGTTTCATGTCCTACATAGGGAGAATTGACAGGTTGATAATAACCCTCAACCAATGGCCGGGTGAAGTTTTGAAGTTTAGCAAAAATGTAACTGAGCTAACGACACAGGAGTGGGACCATATTTTGGAACCGTTGGTGACATCTAATGAATCCTGTGTGCTCACAATCAAGGACTATAGCATGAGAACCCTTTTCAGTCGCAAACCTGAGTTCTAGCACCCTTTTCAGAAACAACACAACATATTGCTTATAAGCACAACTGCCATTAAGAAATTGAAAGACTTGGATGGTGAAGCTAATAGTTAGTAGCTTGATTTAAAGAAGAATCTTGAAGTGAGAATCCACATAATTTTCAGAATCAATTGAAGCTGAAAATGAGCTGACACTCGAGATGATATACCTGACTTCAATACTTCTTTTTCCTCCAGAAAATCAGTGTTCCGAAATTCAGGTGCATCAATTTCTTACGTACCGTTTGCATGATTTGAAATTCGACTGGGCTTCTTTATTTCGGATCCGGACATGATGTTGATCAATTCGTTGACCTTTCGGGGCAATGGATAATCAGGGCCACCCGATCTCGAGACCTTATATGATGAAGTCAATTGATCCGGATCGAGATTGACAAATTTTCCTCTCTCCACCTTTACGCCCAGGTTAATCAAAAGATTTGCAGCCGTACTAGGAAGAGGTTTGGAGGTATCTAGGTTCTCATAATTCGCTTCACATTCTGGTAGTGAATAATTAAAAGTCCTTGATTTTGCCAGTATTTCATCGGTGTGTTCTAGGGTTGAGCTGGTAGTATACTGGTAATCTAGGGTTAGGATGTCAAATTGGGTTTTCAATTGAATGAAGTCTTCCAACAAGTTTACATCGCCATTTTCCATTATTTCTACTAAACCATAGTTGTTTGGCTCTTGAGTGAACTCGTACACCAATCCCCCAGCAAAGGTATCGGCCATGTCAGTGGAGTAGAGAGAGCGAACTTCCTCAAAGAGACGAGGTGATACTTCGTTGCAACCATATCTTGATGTTAGTAACTTCAGTAGTGTGAAATGTATAAACTTACTCCGAAAAGAAAACTGGTCTAGGGTAGTGGGAATAATCGGCAACAAGAAGATTGTATCCGCTGGTGTAGAAAGTTTGCTCGCCACACCATTGGTAAGAGTTTACCCCGTAAAAATCAACTGCATCAAGAGAAGAATCCTGAACGCAAGCTAAGTAATCAGCCAAGGGCATCCTGTAGCGTAGATCATCGGCTGCTGAATATCCAACTGGGATCACGCGGGGTGAGTTCTTCTCAATGTATCGTTTGATATCTCGAATCACCGCCTTCACGTACGTAGGACTATGGGTGGCTGAGCTGTTATCATTGATTATCTCGTTCCCAGCAAAAAAACCCAATGTGTTGTTGTAGTATGAAAACTGCTCCACCACTTTAAATACGTGTTCCAAGTAGTCCGTGGTATATGTAGTCCATGGCTCGTACCGATTGAGGTGCTGGCCAGGCAAAGGCGAGTTTACGTCCAAGACGAGGTAGATACCTGCAGTTGCTAGTAGCGACATGCACACATCGTGGTTCAAGTCGGGGTTGATGGAGTAGATCCGGATGGTCTGCTGTTAGTGGGCATTTTCGCATAAGATCGAAGTACTTACATTGATGCCTAGCTCCTGGAACAAAATCACGTCTCTGGCACAAGTCTTGGGGTCTGATAGAGGATCATTGCTGAGTGAAACGGCTGAAGAACCGCCCGGTTGGTAGTCGACGCCTTTTACGTAGAACTAGCGGTTAGTATGGGAAAACGTGCATCACTTATATACATACCGGTTCTTCGGTGACCGTATCAACGAAGTAGTGGCCATGGACTTTAATGGGATGCACAAAAGCCCAGCACATGCGCAAGGCAAATAGACAGATGATCCACTTCATCAATGGCCCTGTTGGTGAGTCTTTACAGTTGCAATTGGCGATTGTTAAATTGCAGCCGACCAGGTCGCAAATATCAACCTGCACAAGGCAGCGGTTGCGAATAGGCAATAATAGCAGGGGATGGTTGGTCTTACTATAGCCCAAACTGCCTCGATCCATAGCAAGGCAAGACGATACAATCTGAAGAGACTAATAGCCGTTATTTTCTAATATGGATTCGGAAACTATACTAAATGCCGCCACAAGAGGGAATATTCCTTCTCTATTGTAGAAATATCTGCACTATTAAATGCTGTAGTACTTATAGACAGGGGACCACACTTCCTCTTGGGAGAGTATTCCACGACAATGTGGGCTCTCAAGGTGCTCTTGGGAAAGCAGCACGAGTAAAAAAATTGAAATGTTGAAAGCACTAGACCCGAATTTTCTTGTGGGTGATGATTAGTACCTGATATCGCGGAACCTCTCGTGGTGCTAAGGCAGCAATAACTACATCTATTCTACAACCAAAGCCATACCCTTCCACCTTTCCTGCCCGCCAGATTGTAACTCTTTGCGAGTGCCCTCTGTGGCACCTCTTGTATTGTACGGCATCAACTTCCGAGACAAAAAATCACTACCTATCAGGCCTCTCACTAAGTCTTGGCTAGAGTTCGTAGACCGCGTTGTGCCTAAAGGATTTTGTAGAGTGCTTAAGCAATGAGAGTTCAGCACATGAGTGGTCTGGTTTCTTGTGCCTCTACGGCTACCACCAGCCCCGTCTGGTCTTGCGTACAATCCCCTATTTATCACTGAGCCTCTTGTCGCGGTAATCTCGCGGTCCACAATGCCAAGTCTGGACAGCACCAACCTGCAAATTGCCAGCAACCAGACTGGCGAAGTGGAAAGTTCAAGGAATGGCATGGATCTTGAGATTCAACACAGTATCTGCTTCGCATGCACTGGTGTGGCTAGAATGCCCTCCATCGCGACTACATTCACCTGCAATCCCTGTACATTTCCACAATAAAACCGCGCCTCTTATCACACTACCGAACTCGCACTGTTGCGTGTCTTTACAGCTTGTCCCTAGCATTACAGATTTGTTACACATTAGTCTACTTGGCCTCTCGTACAGTTTGGTTTCTTTACTCGACCCTCTCTACCCACCACCACACAAGGCAATAATCCCGCCAGTATGGTACATGGTCATGCCTACGAGCAGTTGGATTCAAGCGATCCAGCCATCCCAGCACATCCTCCCAACTACGCGGATCTAGAGGCAAATACCCAACAGGCACAACCCACTCACGCCACCCCTAATCCCCAGCATGACGACGACGATGATGATCGGTTTGATATCAATCACAATCCAAACCACGTTCACTTTGAACAGTTCGAAATAGGCGACGACGATGACGAGCAACCCCGGGACGGATTCCTTAAACGAGCCTCATTACTAACCAAGAAGTTTGCCACCAAACTCAACAATAACATCATATATCCCATCAACCAAATGGTGGATCCCATGTATGAGGCATATAAACATTTCCATATGCTTTATGAACAGTCCATCTTAAAAATCGGCAATCCCCTTGTCGTGAAGAGATTGTTCTATGTGTTTTTCATAACCATTATCGTTTTCTTCATAACGCGGTATGATACCAATGATGGTGTAAATGGCTCTAGTGGTGGCACTTTCAGCTCGGGCAAGTTTTACGATCTCGACAAGTTGGCGGTCTCCATCAAAGAATATATCGACCCTAAACTCATGCAAGAGAACTTGGAATACTTCTCACTAATGCCCCACATAACAGGTTCCAAAGGTGACCTCACTTTGGCAAGATTCATACAACAGTATATGGATAATAATGGGGTCAAAATTATAGATTTTAATGAGTTGCAAAGCAACCTAAACTACCCATCCAACAACAACAAAGACACATATCTTAAATTATCCGATGGATCATTCAGTGCCACATTATTCGAGTCCAATAACCAAGATATGGAATTTCTTTCGTTCAATCCAAATGCGTTGAACACAAAGAATGAAATTGAACAGTATTATGTTTACGGCAACTTCGGATCCCCCGAAGATTTTCAAAAGTTGAAAGAAAACAACATCGAACTCGAAGACTGCATTTTGCTCATCAAATATGGTGGGAATACCATTCCAGAAGCTAATAAATTGCAACTTGCTCAGTCGTTTGGGGTTAAAGCCATAGTGTTCATTTCGCCAGATTATAATGTGGGAGGAAATGTTATAGATGATGCTATTCAAAGGAGCAATGTCGGATTAACTAGAAGTAGTCCTGGTGATGTATTAACTCCTGGCTGGTCCTCGGATGATGGGTATGTAAACAGACTTCCTTGGTACAAGTCTTCTACAACTCCCAAATTACCTTCATTGCCAATTTCAAGTAAAGATGGAAATCACTTAATTTGGACATTAAAGGATGGTGTTAAGTTTGAAGATGGACATTACTCAGGAAGCGGAAAATCAGAGGCAAAGATCAAGATGAAGATTACCAACATACAAAGACCCACTCATCAATTATGGAATGTCGTTGGTTCGATCAAGGGAAGAGAGCAAGCAGAGAAAGGTATCGTCATAGGAGCTGCTCGTGACTCTGGATGTTATGGTACAATAGGTTCGAATACAGGTACTGTCGTCTTGTTAGAAATGATCAAGATCTTTACCTCGTTACAACGTCAATACCAATGGTCACCTTCCAGATCTATCTATTTTGTCTCCTTTGATGCTACAGAATACAATTTGGCTGGCCTGGCTGAATGGATTGAAAATAGAAGAGAACTGTTGAAGAGGGAGGGATATGCTTACATTGACTTGAGTGATGCTATCTCAGGAGATGATCTCAGTGTAAAATCGCATCCATTCTTGAATGAGGTTATAAAGAATTGTCTTAGAAAGGTTAAGATCAATGATGACTCAAGTTTGTATGACTTGTACAAGAAGTCTAACAAGAACAGTGATGAAATCTCCAACAACATGATAGAAATGAAGAATTACCTTCCATTTATTAATTTAGTCAATATGCCATCAATGGAGATTAAATTCACAGGCAAGAAATATCCAAGAAACTCTTGTTATGATAATTTCAATAATTTTGAAAAATCCAAGGTTGACCCATCTATGGAGAAGCATTCCCAACTTGTTGAGTTTTTATCGTTACTCACTCTACACTTGGCCGATGACCCAATCATTCCTTACAATTTCGAAGATCTCACCAAAAAATTGACCATGTTCACTGCAGACTTGGAACGTCACAGTATCGATATCAAGAACTCTTTGAACTCGGATAAACCAGCAATTGATGTTGGACAATTGAGGAAGTCGATAGAAGAATTTGGGCGGATAACGTCGCCATTCAAGGAATGGGTAAATGGGTGGAAGGATTATATAACAGAATCCGCTGAGATCGAACCTTCCATCTTTGCCATGAACAGATGGAAATGGCATGACAACATGTTACAATTCAACCAAGCCTTCCTCGCTCATAATATGCAGCAACAAAGACCAGGATTTATGAACTTATTGATGGGTACACCCTTTTCTGCGCCTGAAAATTCTGATGACCGTTATGAGTGGAACTCTTTTCCTTCAATCAGAGACAATTTAATCAATGGAGACTTTCAAAAAGCACAACAAGAAATTTTGGAATTGTCGGCCATTATTATTCGCGCTGGAAATGACTTCGTGGAATTTTGATTATCATCCTGAGGATTTTCGGGTTTTATCTGTAGGGAAAGCAGATAAGCAGTATAGTTTGCATGGTGAATTGTCCATGGATATAGATAATTCATATAGTAAGTAATATTAAACCAAATCGGTTGTATCACCTTGTAGGAATAGCTGTTATATGTGGGAGTATGGTCGAAAATGGGTATACTTGAAATGTTGCTTATTTTGAACTGTTTTTCTCAGATTTTGTGTGTGAACCATTCATCCATTTTGCGAAATCTTTGAAATCTTGCAAAAGAGACTAAAATTAATCTAATTGTGAAATTGAAAGATTCAGAGCTATCCAAACAGTAATTCATATTCTACCTTTTATCATGGAATGATTTAGAGAGACTGGTGTGATAAATACGCGCAGGAGTTGGAATAATCGAAAATTCGATCTGTTCATAATAAACGTAATGCTGCAATATTGCACTAAATTCAAGCCTGATTGATCCATAATAGGTCTAGTCTTGCGTATACTACTTAATATCAAGAAATTTGCGGTTTTAGAGCGATCTTTTGGTGCTCTTACCACATATATTAAATCTGTAAAAATCCCGAGAAAACATAAATATCTCTCGGTGGCCAAGCTGGCTAAGGCGCGAGACTGTAATGTTAACTCAAAGTAATCTTGAGATCGGGTGTTCGACTCACCCCCGGGAGACTTTTTTTGAATTTTCCGTACTACATGTACAGGATCTATTGACGTATATTAAGAATCGTTAGCTATTCTCTTTGACAATCTTAACCAAATCCTCGAGGTAGTAGTCTCTGGAGTACTTGTCGAGTTGCTGTACTGCCGTATGTAAGCCAAACAAGTAATCTTGGTTTTTTCCGCTTGGACCTTCGGAGTGTCTTATTGTTTTGGCAGTTTGCTCTATTGATTCCGGGCCTACGAAAGACACATTATCAATGGTGCCAATATAGATCATAGACTCAATGAAGAAGTCTCCGGTGGTGGGATCTCGTGGCACCTCTGTCAATGCAGGGTGCTCCACCTCGTGAGAATTGGTGATGTGGAAAGGAATTTGGTGCGAGGTGTACCCATCTTGTTCTCTAACGTCTAAGTAGTTTTTGATGTAGTCCACATCTTGTGGCTCAATGTAGTACGCAACACCCCAGACCTTCAAATCATCATTGGTCAACTCGTTGATCTTGCACTGGACATCTTTGATAGGTCCGTTATCTGAGGAGAAATCGGTTTCTGGATGAGTACCATTCAACTCGTACATGTGCAAAGTGTTGTGGAAAACATCATTGTTCTTTAAGTCCTCCAACGAGATTAGGGTCACAACTCGGCCAGGGGCTTCAGGCGTGCCTCTGTGATCCGAAGAGCTTTGCCAGAACCTTCTTATGAAACCTTTCAAGTAACCGTTCACCTTGAAGGCATACCTGGGAGGCGGCTTAAAGATCAAGGAGCCATAGCCTATCACCCACATTCCTTCATTGGTCATGTTTATCGTGGTTTTAGTAGATGAAAGTCAGGGAATTGAGTTTTTAGAGCATGGTTCTTTCGTGGGTGCTGATTTAGGTGCTTGTGTATATGCACTACTCGAGAGCCCCATGACGTCTTTCTAACCATGAGCCACGATCGCCACAAATCGTTCTACAAACACTCACAACCATTGTCTTCTCATAGAAGATATGTATGAATACATATATAAATATTGTAAATTATATGCCTGTTGAATAACCCGAGGAGTATTCTCTGCCCGGAACAAATTGATCTTGGTTCTATTATCGACCTGTTGGAGTTGAAATTTACTGCTTTTGATACTATGGTTGAAGTGATTCGCTCTTAGTAGTTAAGCCTCTGGCCAGAAGCCTGTCGACTACAAGTAGCTGATCTGGAAGGCCATCTTGATAGTTTCTCTCACCCTTTCCTTGAAGTTTATCTTCCTGAAGTTCACAAACTTGCTGGTGGCGACCAATGCTAGTATGACCAATGCTACCACGATGCCATTGTCCTTAAGGTAGTTTTTGGATATTCCATAGACATACATCAATTTCTTGCGGATTTCCTCAAACTGGCTGGTGGTCTTTGCAGGTAAGTTGCGAGGCTCGGAACTCTCCCCCGAGTACTGTTTCTGGATTTCTTTGATGGACTTATAATTCAAATTCTGACTTTTTTCCAATTCTTTCTGTTTCTGCAACTCCTTTTGTTTCAACTCCTTCTCTAACTTTTGCTTCTCCTTCATTCGTTTCTTCTCTGCATCTTGCTTGGTCTTCTTGGATTGTTTGATTTCTTTCAATTTAGCAAGGTTGGACTCCAAATCGGTCGAATAAAGCTGGTCCTCCCTGATAATAATCTCAGATTCGTCAAAGTTGTCATACGTTGGTAATATTTCAAACACATAAAGATCAATGAGCTTCTTCAAGTACTTGTCATCTTGAGGGCCTTGGTTGATCGACGAGTATAACCGACCCAACTTCTTAATGAACCAGCTACTATCAGCCCCCAAGATCAATTCCTTGTTGCTAATTATCAGCAAGTAATGGTTATACAAAATTTCTAGGGGAATCAAGTACTCAAACTGATACAAGTTGATCAATCTTTTGAGGACCTCTTCTTCTTTGATTGCATTGATGGTATGTGCCTTTCTGTCGTCACTAAGGCCAGGCTGAGTCAATGACACGCCTGTCTCAATGATATACAAGCTTATTATCTTGATGAAGAGCTTTTCAGTAATAAATCCATTCTTGAAGTCGCTAAACCCTTGCTGGTAAAGTTGGGATGTTAATCCGTACGATTTCTCGAAGTTTTTGTTGACAAAAAGCTTGAGAGCTAAGTTGTAGTTGCTCTCAATCAGCTTGTGTGACTTGAGGGTCGACGAGAGTGTCAATGAATCTTCCATGATGATGATGGTAGGATGAAAGTGATCAGTCGGTGAAATTTGTGGGGTCGCGATTATCACACCCTCGGTTCGGGGTATTACGTAAGCGTCATTCAGCTCCATGCGAATAGTCGAATATACGGCATGGATGGTTTATCCGTTAAAGTGTAGATTACAATACTACATAGAAACCAGCAGTTTGGTGACTCTCTTGAGGATTGGATTTTCAAGGTGGATATGTTGTTAACCAAGTTCAACGATGACGAACCAATACTACAATTATTCTGATTATCACGTACATTACCTATGTGCTAGCACATTAATGACACTTGTTACAAGATTCCTCCGTACAACACATTAAGTTGACAACAAAATAAATACAATACTCTTCTTCACTCTTCCTCGTCTCTGGCATCACGCTTCGAGTGTCCCAATGCAGCCAACCTTCTTCTCTTCTCCACCTCAGTTTCGTGCATATGCTCATCATCGTCATCGTCCTCATCATCATCGTCATCGGAGTTTTCAGAGTTCTCCGAGAGTTCCTCATCTTCTTCCTCCAGGAACTCCGACACAGTGGTAGGTACTCTATGGAGCTTGGCTGTGACGTTTGCATCGGGCTTTTTCAATTGGTTGTTGTTCAAGATCTGAGTGAGCTTGTTTTCAACCCTGCTAGTAATCTTTGGATCGTCAAGAGGTGAAGTTGGACTCTTTGAATCGTGCTCAACTACCAAAATGTTAGCATTGTTGTTTTCCGGTGAGCTCGAAACGTTGATGCTTGGAATATTGCTTGAGCCAGGGGAGGTTTGGGTATCCATGGGTATAACTGGTCCCTTTTGTTTGATTCCGACAAAAGACAATGCTTTTCCGACAATACTTGAAGACCTAGATCTTGCCTTTTGTGGATCAACATGGGGATTGACTCTATATCTTCTAATAATTTCACCGTCTTCATTTTCAATCACAATCAAATTGTCAACTTGATGGGCATAGACCTTACGATGACTAGGATCACTCTTTCTATAATATGCTCTCTTTGAACGGCTGTTGGTCTTTTCCAATTTTTGATAGATACTAGCCTCCTCACGTTCAGACGAGTGTGATGTTCCAGCTGAAATTGATGAGTATTGGGATAACTTTCTTCTCAACGAGTTTGCCGAATGAATACTTTGGACATCATTTCTATCGTCGAGCATCTTGGAACCTTCTTCTCTAAATTGTTTCATTGGAAGTGATTCTACAATCTCACCATGTTGATCCTCGATAATAATCTGTTCTCCTTCTTGGAAGGCAGTGGTTGGAATAGATTCCTTTTGTTGTTTCCGATCTGCCAAGGAAGTTCCGGTTGGACTAAGATCATCGAAGTTCTCGACCGGAGTATTAAACTCTTCAATTGGATTATTGAAATTCACAGGTTCCTCAGTGTTATTTGTAGGAATGACGATTTCCAATTTCTCATTTTGAGAAGAAGAGTCGTCATAGCTCTCTTTGGTTGGGGTATCATTTGAATGGGACGAAGCTGGGACGGCAGATGGGGTTCTACCCAACTGCAAAAACTCTGCTTGAGGTCTATGTCTCTCTGTAGTCGGCTCCTCTTCATAATCACTACCGGCATGGCCTCTGGATAACGTGTGCTTGAGGGCAGCAGCACCTCCGGTTCTTCTCTTCTTCTTTTTGTGCTTTCTTCTCTTTGCACCTCCGGCAGGTCTAACTTTAATTCCACTAGTTTCAATTGTATTGGATTTATTCAACTTTTGTGATTCATCAATAGACTGAGCATGTGTGTCAACTCTTTGTAAGGAGAATGAAGTGGAAACTTTGTCCAACTTTTGCAATCTGGACATCCAGTTTGGACCTTGATCTTGGGTGTTTGTAGCAGTAAAAGACATGGTGATTGCCATTCTATTAAGACGCTTACCCAAAGTAAGAACTGCAACCGAAGAACCATGCACAATAATTGAAGTTATAACCAAGAAGGATACCATTGGCCAAAGAGCCGAATAAAGTAAATAGTGAGGGTGATCTTCACCAGGTAACTGGTTGAGGGGGGTGGTTTCCTCGTGATAAAACTCAGACAAATGGCCACGAGCTAAAAGAACACCGAAGATTGCACCAACACCAATGGGACCGAAGTGACCACAGAAAATAGCCTCTCTCCAAGTCTTGACATCAGGAGTTACCGGTTTTAGCGCCAAGACCGCTGGTAATCTTCTTAAGAAGACAACAACTATGGCCAAGACGATAAGTCTCCAAACGTTCAAACCGATCGCAGATTCGTTGAACATGGGCCAAGGCACGATGGCTCCAAAGTAGACAAAGAAAGCCAAGTTAAGAAGCAAATCAATAACTGTGGACACATGCGATTCCTCGGTTTTCTTTGCAAAAGCACCGTTCCAACCAAAGGCAGTTCCGGCAGCAAATGAAGTCAACAAGTCATCGACACCCAACATGGAGCCGAGACCAGCGGAATTGAAAGCGATGAAGATGAAAATGGCCAAGAAGGATTCACGATCAATCAAGTTCTTCTTTTCGGCAAAGGTGACGGCCTTTCTGGAGACATAACCTATGACCACCCCCAAGAAACACCCAAAAACACACTCCCACAAGACGGTGTTTAAAAACCAATCCTTGAACACCTCGTGGGCGTTGCCAGGATGCAACACCAAATTGAGGGAAAGGAAGATGAACGGCACGGCCATCCCGTCGTTACTACCTGATTCGGCAGACAATAAGTTTCTCAAGTGACCAGGGACTCTTTCGGCGAACTTACCCTTACCCACGACGGCTGCAGCCAACACAGGATCGGTGGCAGTGACACAGGCACTGACTAAAAGGGCGTCGGCGTAGTTGAAATGGGGAATAAGGCACCAGATGAACAAGCCAACCACCAACCAGCCCATGGTCATCACGGGGAGCAAGAAGATGAACACCGACACCCAGTGCTTCTTCATGTACTTACGGGGCAATTCCACGGCCACCGCCACGATCTGGATGCACAACACAATCCGGGATATTTCCAACGTGATGTACTCGGCATCACCCCACGATAGGGGGTCGAACCAGTTGAGACAGTGGGGCCCTAGAATCAACCCGGCGATGGTGGCCACCGTCGCCTCTCCGATATACAACCGTTCCTTGACAAAGAGGGATAGAAGCGAGAAGAAGGTGCTAAAGATTCCCACACACGCGTAGGCTATGTGGGCCTTCTCCAACTGGAGGTTAGTATTTTTGTTTGGGGTTTAGGATATGAAAAGTCCAGTAAGAATCTCTTCTAGCATCAGTGCCAGAAAGACTTCTCAGCAGTTTGTCCACCGAGGAGTGAAAGGAACACCTCTACTCAGACTCTGGCCAGGGGCGTCTCTGTAGTAGCCGCCAGGTTGGAGTAAGGGTGCTCCACGGAAGACCTTCACGGAGGAGTGGCAGTCGCACGGAGGACCGGACGTCCGCCACGTTGGACCCACCACCACGTTCCAGACATACCAGTAGCTGTTCCCACACCATTATGTATTCTCGACAGTGTTGCTAGCACTCATAAAAGAGAGTAGATACGATGGAGTGTCAGCCAGAAAGTTGTTGCGAAGCCCGGCCTGTATACAGGCCAGGGAAGATCTACACCCAGAGCGCCACGCTATTGGTCAGCACCGAGCACGGGGGCGGCTGCCAGCGGCAGGAAGCCACGGGCGATAGCGGGCGATTGGCACCGAGGTGCTGTGCACCCGTGCCCATGATCAGCCGAAACGTCTTGGCACTGTTGGCGAGTCCGCCAGGTGCGGCGCCGCGACACCGTGCTGCGATAACAAATGTCAGCGAAATGTCGCGCTGCTCCACCGCTACTCCATGGGATGACTGGCCTCTTCGTGGACTCCCAGATCTCCAGCCAGGGCTCCGAGGGAGACAATGACACCCACCGGGGCACCTACCTGGCGTCGTTCTCCGCGTGCACCACCCAGGTGGCCCATCTAGCCGACGTGTTCTCGGCCATCACCACCTTGAACCCGCAGGCGTTGATGATCATCAAGCCGTCGGGAATCGTGGTCTACTCCGAGTACAACCATGTCAGCAACGTCCAGCTCAACGTCGACCCGTCACTCTTCTCGCTGTTCAGTTTTCTTGTACGTGACGCCAACGACGTGGTGATTCTGTCGCAAGAAGACCTCGACGTGCCCACCGAGCTCCGCTTGGGGGTCGACGTGTCGTTGATCAGCGACGCCTTCGCGTCGGTGGCTGCCTCCTCCCCGTCCACCAAGCTGAAGAACCCCAACAACCCCGCCAACAACCACTCAGACCCGGTCACCTGCTACTTCACCTACAATGGCGAAGGACATCCGCTAGTGATCGAGTTCGAAGACAACTTGATGAGCGAGAAAATCGAGTTTCTCACCTTCTACACCGACTTTGCATACCCCTACGACTCGTTAGGAGACTCCGAGCACGAGGAACTCGTCATCAACCACAACCAGATCCAATCGGAATTGATCTTGAAAAGTGACGTGTTTTCCAACCTTTTGGCCGATTTGCACCAGATCAACACGGTAGAGCTCTACATCTACCTCTCCAACGAAGCCAGAGGACTCGGAAAGTCCAAGAACTCCAAGATTAGGTTCACAGACTCCCAGTTGAATTTCATATCCAGGGGCCCCATTGGACACCTGAAGTTGATTTACCCCAGTGAAAGAACCATTCTCGAGAAACTCGTGCTATACGGTAAGGACCCGACAAAGAAGTATAATATGGTGCCCGTCAATACCTCACTAATTTCGTGCTATAATTTTGCCAACTTTATCAAAATCTTCCGGGCTGTTAAGCTCTCCTCAAAATGCAAAATCTTAAAAGACTTGAATGGAGTGTTGTCCATTCAGTTGTTATGCAAAAACAACATCTTGCCCACGTATGCCGGCACTTTGATCACATTCCACCACCTCGAAGTGTCAAGCTATTTGGATGAAGACTTCCAGAAAGACCAGGTGGAAACGGCAAGAAACTTTAACAGTATTTTTGATGATGAAAATTATGAATATGCCACTGACGCGAATGCCAAAGAAATAGCCATTGAAGAATACCAAGAATTGGACATGGAGGCAGAAAAAACCCGTTTGACTTACGCTTCCTTCATGAACCAACCTAATAGCAATTCTAATGGGGGGAAAATGGCCGACAATAATCGTGGCCAAGAAGGGTTACAGAAAAAGCGAAAAAGGGAAGACAAACTGGATGACAACGGAAAAGGGATTCACACTGTGGGCGGTGCAGTTGAGGTACCGTTGTTTCTATAAAAGGCAAGCCAAGGTGACGATGTTGATCGTGTAATTTCCAGGAAAAGGCTCACAAAGTGGAAAGGTCCTACACTGAGTCGTAATGCTTAATTTAAAGGTTATATAAGAGAAATAAACAAAGGATGGAACAAAGGGTCAGATACCAGAGTAGAAGTAGATGATTGTGGCATAAAATAATGAAAACAAGTAGCAGATGAAAGAAGCTGGCAATTATGTTCTATCATGATTTGAATTGCTCCATTAATTTATATTATCTTGAGCACTTGACCACAAGATTAAACACAAATGTATGATTCAATCCTGTTCTTTTGGTTTTGAGCAATACATTCCGCAATCCAGGTGACGTTTCTGATTTCTTGTTCCTTTGATCTTAACCAGGCCCAGACAGTCGATAATGTGAACTGTTGAGTGAAGGCATTCTTACAGTACTTCATTTCCAACAAGTAGAACCAGTCTTCTAAGTTCTTGCCGCTATCACCATTTTCACTGAAGATTTCCGAGTATTCTTCCACGGTACCAACGATTGCCCTCAATTGCTCAATCTCTTCTATTTGGGACAATTCATGATGGTAGGTTGGGTACAACTTCCCGTAACTTGGGAACAAGCTTAATTTGTCTTCAGAAGAAAAGTCAGGGTTGCCCAAGGTGTTGAGGGTAATATTTATCACTCTCTTGTCGGCTTCAAAGTTCAACAATCTCAACATGATTTCACGGTCTGGTCCACCGAACTCTTCGGATACAAACTGGATGAAAGCTTCCAAGTAGTTCTTGTACAACTTGTTTCTAATGATTTCGATGTTTAAGTCATCCAAGTCGTCTGGGGTCAAGCAATTCTTGAAGAAGGCCGCCAAAGGGGTGTCGATCAACACGGTGTTGTACAAGCTTTCGATATCGGTGGCAATGGACAAAGTGGGCAAGGTATCGAACATGCCCAATGGGTGGCACTTGGCCAAGATTTCATTTCTGTCTCTTTCGTGCAAGGTACCGGTGATCATCAACGAGACGTTATCAATCATGTAGCCGTAGCTTATGTAGTCCAAGAACTTGGTGAGGGTGCCGGAGGAGTGGGCCTTCAAGTATTGGAATTGCTGGTAGAGCTTCTTGGACAAGTTCTGCTGGATGACGCTGGTGGAGAGAGGTCCCGAGTACGATGCCAAAAAGTTGCCGTAATCGGTGGAAGACAACTGGAGCTTCAAGTCGTCAAGCGTTTCACATTGGGTCAAGTTGACGTACTGGGGGGAGCGCAAGAGGCCACTCTTGTAGCCTCTGACCACACCTTCAAGGTATCCGTTGTTGACGTTGAAGAATAAGCCTTCCATATTGATTGGTGTATGATGAGCGGAGGAGGGTAGTTGGCGTTGATATTTGGTGAACTGGGCACGAGGTCGTGCGCGCACACAATGGTAAAGGTAGTTAGCGGTTAGGCCAGGCTGGTTAGGGTCTGGACGACGACGAGTCCGCGGATTGACCAGCCGAAGGAAGGAGACCCACCACAGTGGTCAGTTTCTCCCAAGCCTGCAGTTCTGCCATCTTAACCAGCCACCATTGCTCTCCCTACGAGACTTCCAGCACTATCTAGTTGTCGCAGCCAGTCCGCGCGCCAGATCGTATTTACAGCGTATTCACCATACAGTGTCTGATTCACCACCATCCAAAGCTGGTTCATTAGTTTGCTCATTATCCACCGATTGGCTCCGATTGCCCCAATTTGGATTCAAGCACCATGTCAGATATCTTGCTTGACACGTTGGTGTCGTCACTAGACAGCGATAGCCAGAAGTACTTGGAGAACGACAGCCAGGTGCGCCAGCAGAGCGAGGCATTTCTCCTGGAGCTCTTGATCAACGACGACTTGCTCTCCACCGACATCTACACAACCACCACCACCACCAACACCACCAGCAAGGAACACAAACCAACGTTGATCGAGGTGATTGCCGAGCTCGAACTGAGACAGCGCCAGATCAACGTGGAATTGGCGTCGTTCACAAACGAAAACAAGGACTTGATCATCGAAATCAGCAGCGACTTGAACACCGTGGACTCTACCATCAAGAACGACTACGACCACGAGCTTTCCGCCATGCTCAATGTGTTGGAGGGCGGGCTGCCCTCCAAGTTCCAGGTGTCTATCAACGAAAAATTGACCAATTCCATCAAATCCTCCAATACCATCTTGTCCAACATCGACTCGGTGCTTGATTTCTTGGAGCTTCCTGCCTTGTGCAAATTGTGCATCTTGCAGGGCAACTACCTGGAATCCATCGAAATCTCCATATTAGTGCAGGCGTTGATAATAAGGTTCCCCAAGCTTGTGATATTCCAGAAAATCCATGAACAAGTGGTGGCCGAATTACGACTCATGGTCAAGGGTTTGATCAAGTTGCTCAACACAAACTTGAGACAAAACAGCATATTGAAGATTTTCCAGATCTTAAACAAACTTCAAGGTGACCCCTCCATTGGATTTTATGGCTCGAGCGATGAAAATGGCCAGAAAACGAGCTCCACTAAGGATAAGTCCAACAATGACAAATTCTTGAAGATCATATACTTGCATGCAAGGTTCAAGTTCATAGTAAATGAGTTGTCTAACTTGAAACCTTTAATTAAATTCAACAAGTTGACATACTTAAAGAGATTTATCGAGATTTATCGTGAATTCTTATTCAATTCATTGTCGATTTATTTTGCCATATTCAACCCCACTAGTTCAAATACTCATCTGGAGAGTCCAGAAGATAAGTTATTAGTCAATCAGTTCATCAGAAACTTAGCCAATATCTTATCGGAAGAAGTGAAACGTTACTTACCTGATATTTTGAGTCCCAACGATGCCGATGATGAAGACGAATTTGATGTTCAATCAAGAAAAGATGGTTTAATTTTACAGATTACCTATCTCTGTAAGTCTCTTTCAAAATATAATGTTGATTTCGAAGCTATAATGGTCTCTAAACTAGGATTTGGAGTCGATTCTTTGATCACTGAAGAAGATTGGTTGAGAAATTTAGCAAAGGTCAAGAAATTCAGACAGTAATGATATAGTAATACAAGCTAACTTGGGATTAAATGAATAGTAATACAATTGTGACGTTATTAAAAAACCGAACCAGTCGATAAATACTCCATATTGAAGTAAGTAGTGGTTTTACACTTTCCTTAAGTCAGCAAGCTATTCAAACCAAACAAGAATCCTAATTCTTGTTGACCTAATCTCGACACAGATTTCATGCCCTTTTCATCAAGAGCAGATTGGACCAATTCCTTCTTCCTTTCTTGTAATTCCATAATTCTGCTTTCCACTGTACCGGAGATTAAAATTCTGTGAACAAACACCTCTCTTTCTTGTCCAATTCTGTATGCTCTGTCCATTGCTTGTTCCTCGACAAATGGATTCCAAAATGGATCCATAATTATAACATGAGAAGCACAAGTCAAAGTTAAACCAGTATTTCCGGCTTTCAAAGATAAGAGTAACACCTTCACATTCTCCTGGTAAAACCTTTTTATGGTTGTGTTTTTCGCATCGAGACTCATTGAGCCATCATACCTCAAAAAGTCAATTCCTTTCTCATCAAATGCAAACTTTATAACATCAAATAGGACAGTGAACTGCGAGAAAATAATAATTTTCTCATCAGGCAGTTTAGTAAATATATCTTGTATCAATTCCATAGCTTTTCCAATTTTAGCTGAGATATTAAATCCTTTTTCTTCAGCAATAAGTTCCTCAATTAGAATGTTATTTCTTGGAATACCTGAAGGAGCATAATACTTCTTACAAAAATCTCCGATAGCTCCATATCCATAACCTTCATTGTGTACCTTTCTGAAGATCTCATAATCGATCAAGTCACCTTGGTGCACATTATTTTGACATTCCACACATTTGGCAAATCGGCCATTTTCATCGTCTGTTGAATGATTCTCAAAAAAAATGTCAATGCAAGAATGGCAAATCATATGTCCACATCTTGGCAAAATTGTAATTGATTCCGAGGGAGTCAAAACATTATAGCATATAGGGCAAGTTAGCATATCTTCATCATTTTGTAATGTGATTTCTGCTTCGTTCTCCTGGCCTTTGCTATTGAGAAGACTATCTAATAAATTGTTGGAATTTTGAACAATCTGCTGGTTATTAGTGGTCGCTTCTTGCTTAAATGAGTCGGAATGAGAGATATCCTCAATAATTTCGATTTCATCATCGATTGCTTCTATCTTTAAATTATGACTGATATTATTTGCCTCTGTCACTACTGCTTCGTTCTCTTCTAGCATTGGATGATTGCTATTTTCTTCCGAGCTCTCAAGTCCCTCAATCTGAAGCTGTTGCGGAGATTCGGTTTCTGAAACATTATTTGAAATCTCTTCTATACTCTTGTTTGACAGTTCGTCCAATGCTTTGATTCTTTCCACAATCTCTGCATCCAAAGATACAACCTGCGCATACATTTTTCTCCAATCTTTTGGGTTATTCAAGTCATCTTCTGACTTCTTACTCTGAGCTGATTTAATTTCACCAATTTCAACCAAGAACCAATGACAGCATGCCTGTCTCAACCTCAACAATAATGTCAAAATACCCGTTGCAGAATGCCTAGTTTTTGAGTTCAACAACTTCTTCGCCTTCTTTTGAATACCACTTTCCAATGCAGTATAATACTCCTTTTCAGTTTGATTCATATCAACATAATCAGATATCACATGTTTTTCGGGCAAGGATAAAATTGGTTTACCATCGATCAAAGAATCTTTAACCCTTCTTAGAAGAATTGCCTTTAGTAAAGCTCTTAACTTTTTGATACTTTTGCCTTTCTCAAAGTCATCATAATTTTCTGAGTTCGACCTAAGAGGTACTGAGATATCCAGCCTAAACTTGAACTCATTATCGTATGGTCTTATCTTCAAAAATCGTAAGATAGGATATAATTCGTCAACATTGTTTTGAATGGGTGTACCCGAGAGACACAATCTAAACTCCCCTTTCAAGTATGTCACTGATTTGGAAGCCAATGATGACTTGTTCTTAATATTTTGAGCCTCATCAAGGATGATTCTATGGAATGTCGATTCTTTACAAAAGAAAGGCGACTTATAACTTTTGCCTCCATCCTCAAATCTCGGCATGAATGTCGCAATTGAATCCTTCTTTTCAGATTTGAAGGATGCAATGGCTTCCTTAAAGTGCCGTTTCCATTCAGACGATAACGTTCCATACGAAGTCAAAAGAACATCAAAGGACTCTATATCTTTGAATTTGGCTAACGACTTCTTTACCCCTCCATGATAAATTGCTATTTTCAAAGCGCAGTTTGACTTGAGCTTTGATTCAATTTCGGCAGCCCATTGTCTTAACAAAGAAACTGGGGCTATAATCAAAGTTGTTTTATAGTCCAGATCTTTAGGCTTATTAGACAATATCAATGCTATAGCTTGAATAGTCTTCCCCAACCCCATATCATCAGCTAGAATTCCTCCTTTAGATTTCAGATCTTCCATACGCTTGAGCCAAGTTAATCCCAATCTTTGATGCTTCATCAAATTAATGGATAACTCAGCTGGTGTTTGCTCAACACCCTCCTCAAGTTCTTCGTCTGGCCTGATATTATCCAACAAGTCTTGGAGATCTGTCTGATCCGGATCAGGTTGTCCACCCGAATACACATTCGAAGCATATCCTGTTGGCTGGTATGGAATCTGTTGATGTATCATCCCAGGATTTTGTAATGCTCTTTCATTTTGACTGAGTTGTGATCTAACTGCTGCCAACTCTAAATCTAATTTCCGAGCACTGATTCTATTACTGTTGAGGATATGTTGTCTATGGTCTATTTCTCTCCTCAACTTTTGGTACTCAATCTCTTTGGCAAACAATGATTTCTGAAACTGGGCCATTAACTGTTGCGGGATATCGTGGGCTATCCGCAGCTTCAAATGATGGATAGCGTTGGTGACTTTATTCATGAGGGTACTGAAACCTGAAATCTCTTGTTCCACGGCATGGCTGTTTGAAACCACGTTGTTCAAACTATTTCTGTACAGCTCATAACGCTGCAACAATTGGTTCTGATTTATTAATGTGGCAGAGTAGTTTGGATTCATTACATGCGGCACAGGCGCAGGTTGATTGAACATGGACCTAGGTTCGTCAAAAGACGTAGGCTTGAAGTTAACTTTCGCGGACGCCACCTTTTCATCGATAATCATGAGGTCATCATCAGAGTCGGCATCTATCGGTTCAGGTTGGTTTTCTTTATCTTGATCAACAGGTTTGGTGGGAATAGGAGAACTGATCTTTTCTCCAGCTGAGTAATAGCGTTCGTCCTCTTCTTCGTCGGATATGTTGATGACTTCTATTTGATGAGAATCTCGGTCACCATTAGTGGTATGCAGCTGTAGTTCTTGTTCTGAGTTGAAACCTCTTAGCAATGAAAGTCCTTGCATTAGGCGAGACTCACTAGTCAAACGTTCATTATCGTCCTCCAAGCCGTAGTAGCCACGGTGAGGACCATTCAAAACCTGTTCTCGTACCCAAGGTGCTCTTTGTGGGTCGCTAGAGTCCTCAACTTGATCCTCTGAAAATTCATTGTAAATACGTCCACCACCATCATGGTTCTTCCGGTGTCCTTTTGGACTGGCAGGAAACAAGGATTCTAGCCTGATCCGTTTTCTTGGATTTTCCTGTGGAGCAGACTCTATCAGCTCGGGGTTCAAAGCTTCGGGAATACCAGATGGAGCCTCTCTATTATTGACACTCGGAGACATGCGCTCCTGGCTTGCAATGGGCTCGTGTTCAAATCTTCCCTCCCTCTGATTCTCCAAAAGTGGCAGAGCATGGTTTAATGGACTTGTTTGGGAGTTCCTAGGGGTATCTTCAGCACTCTGTGGCACTTGGTTCTCTGGAATGACGGTCTGATCTATAGGAGTTGCCGCAATAGGGGAGTGTGACGCTTCTTTGGGTGGTCTGGAGGTATTATTGTGTTCATTCTTATGCTCCTTATTAGATGGATCCGTGAGGGTAGTTGCTGCCCTATTCTGGACATAGTAATCGTCGTCGTCGTCTGACGACAAAAGATACACTACACCTGAATCTGGTATTGGCGACGCCATGTCATGTGTATTGAAGGAGATGGGGGTTTACAAAATTACAATTACGGGTAGGGTGATCTGAACTGTAGCGCGATTGCCATCATTGATGGAGGAACACGTGATCCAAATCACGTGGTCATTGATATTATGCCACTTATGCCACTAGTCAGCAGAAGCAAGATGGAAGCTATCGCGGTTTATGTGAAACCCTAGTGTTACTTATGTATTAGTTATCTAAAGGTAGTCCCCGTTTTCCTCCAAGATCTTGTCCAAGCAGATCTCCAACTCCGTTTGCAATCTAGCGTTGTCCTCGTCAAACGACAAGCCTCTCTGGTAGTCAGCCCTGGCATCCTCGTAGTTGCCCAAAAAGTAGTTGGAAACACCTCTTCTCAAGAAGTTGTCTGGGGTGCACATCATCATGCCAATCAACATGTCTGCGTCATTGAATGCCTTCAAGTAGTCTTTGGTTTTCAAGTAAGAGTCGGCCCGACTCATGAGGAACAAGCTGAGTTCTTGCAACGTTCCCTGGAACGATTCGAACTTATGTCTTCTGCTGATCATCTCGATACCAATGGACAACTGTTTCACTGCCTCCGAGTATTTACCTGCTTGGAATGCTTGTACACCACCTTCATACAACTTCTTGATCATTTTCGATAAGTCCTTGTTGAAGGTCTCGAGTGTTGCTGGGAGAGGGACTTCCGAGCCACTGGCTATGATTTCCCCGGTCAACACGTTCAACTGTTCAATTTCCAAGTTGAGCTGGGGCACAAGCGCAGCTGCCTGGGCAGGTAGCTGCAATTTTCTGGTTTTTGTGTCGTAATTGATGGCAATATTCATGTCTGTCCTGTATGGGTATGTGTGTATGTGAAGAGGGGGGGTGGTCTATGTGGAAAGGATGTATTGTACGGTCTGTATGAGGTGTTCTGTATTTTGATCTGGCCACACCCGATTATGCGGACCCGAAAATTTGTTGTTTGGTAAGCGATTACGTAACAGGGCTATTTGTGTAGTTGCAAAATATGTTCCCAGAATCTATCTGGATAGGGCAGTTTTAGCATGTCTTGTGCTTACCTTTCTGGAGATGCTGGAGAACATATATCTTTTGTGAGTGTTGCAAGTTCTAAATTTGTCCATCTATCTCCTTATTTTGAGTCCTTGAATCAAACTTGGGCATCGATCATGAAGCAGAAGATCCTACCAAGCATGGATTCATGGCATGGTTGGGAGCAGCTAAAGCCGCCAGGAGTCCTACCTATCAGCAGTCAATTATCTAACCATGAACTGGAAACAAGGAGTAATGAAGCTGTCTCCGAAGGGCTTGAGCCCAAGAAAGCAAGAACGTCGGTTCGGTGCAACAAGCCCATAGTACGTTCGGCACTATCAAAGCTATTCAGGTACAGCAAGACAAAAGTAGATCCTGCTGCTGTTATCAAGGAAGATTCAGTTCTGTGGCATAGCAAACCCAGTTATATTGAGCCCAGCATTTATTCAAGCCAAATCCTACTTGAACCTTTCCTGGACAAATTCCAGGATGGAGACTTGGAGAACTCGGTCTTCTCACCAGATTGCCACCGACCCCAACTCCAGGATGTTCCTTCAATACAAATTGTGGAAGAAGGCACTATTGAAACTCAGGGAAACGTCACTTCTAGTCTCAGGAAGTTCTTCTCGATGCCTACACCCAGTATTGGCCATTCCCAATCCAGCTTTTTTCATGACGTCAGAAAAATCGATACAACACAAGTCAAGTCCATTTTGTCCTCAGAGAATATTGAGCAAGGTGCTATCAATTGTAATTTTTCTAAAATTACTGCTCCCGACCTGCAACATTTTGATTCTAATGGAAAGGGCAAATCGGTGAGTTGTTTTAGTGCTGAGTCTGGTCTGTCAGAGTAGATTTCAACGAGAATGGATATCAAATAACTTTAGGAACTAAAGTAGCTTACAACGTAAATAAGTGTCACGATCGACAGGGGTTTTCACTATGGTTTTTATGTATTTTTTTATTAATTATTTCAAATGGCAACGGTTTTGCTGCTCCGTTAGTTAAAAAATGTAAACTAGCTATCGTTAGTAAAAATCATTTGAGTCATGGATATGTGCGTGTGCTCTATGTCCGCAAGTGTGGTTAATCACACACTTCTAAGTGGTTAAATAAATGGTATCAGGAGCAGATACTATCTACAAATACCTAAGAAAACTCGATGCTGGATGAAACGCCGACCTTTTAGCTGGTAGTAACATCCGTCCTCACCCTCACGCCTACCCGGTTATACCATCTATCTGTTCTCATATTAACCATCTGCTACGCTAATGCGCACTTATCCAGTTGCAGCCAAACGCGCACATGAGTCATAGATAATGAAAAAGTGATAGATTAGCAGACCAACCCATCTTTCATTAACCAATTGCACCATGTTCGACTTGAAGGCCATAGTCAGACCTAACATCTTGGGATTGCAACCCTACAGGTGTGCCAGAGACGACTTCAAGACAGGAATTCTCCTTGATGCCAACGAAAATACCCACGGTCCATCGTTATCCAGTGTTGGTGCGGAGGAACAGAAGCTCGAGTTGAACAGATATCCTGATCCCCATCAAATCGAGTTGAAACAGCAGATCGTGGACTTCAGAAATGCCAAGCCCAACCTGGCTGCTTCAGGCAGTCTCTTGACACCGGAAAACCTCTGCCTTGGTGTGGGTTCCGACGAGAGTATTGATATGTTGTTGCGGTGTGTGTGTACCCCAGGAAAGGACAAGTTGTTGATTTGCCCTCCAACCTACGGGATGTATGGCATCTGTGCCACTGTCAATGATGTGGAGCTCGTTAAAGTTCCATTACTCACCCCTTCGTTCGACGTAGACGTTGATGCCGTTGCAAAACAGGTCAAATCCGATTCCACCATCAAGCTTATCTACCTCACTTCCCCCGGAAACCCCACTGGAAAGTTGTTGGATGTCAAGGACGTGATCCGTTTGTTGGAAATTGAATGGAACGGGTTGGTGGTCATTGACGAAGCCTACGTTGACTTTACCTTCTTGGAATCCGACACCCACAGCCCATCAGTGAGTACGTTGGTCAACCAATACCCAAACTTGGTGGTGTTGCAGACCCTCTCCAAATCCTTCGGTCTTGCTGGTATTAGACTAGGAATCACTTTTTCCAGCTCTGAGTTGTCGTACTACTTGAACTCGATGAAGTATCCCTACAACATCTCTTCCTTGACCTCGAACGTGGCTTTGAAAGCTACCAATGCGAACGACGGTTTGAAAGTTATGTACTCCAATGTTGCACGTATCATTGAACAAAGAGGAATACTATTGGACTCGTTGTCAGCACTCAAATACGTGGGAAAGAATTTGGGGGGTTTGGACTCAAACTTCATTTTGATTGAGATATTGGATAAGGCTGGAAACCCTTCCAATGAGGTAGCTAAGAAGCTCTACGAGACCTTAGCCGTTTCCAACGGAGTTGTGGTCAGGTTCAGAGGTACTGAGTTGAATTGTACCGGTGGGTTGAGAATCTCAGTGGGAACAGCAGAGGAAAATAAAGCTTTAGTGGCCAAGTTCGAGAAATGTTTGAACGAAATCAATAAGTAGACGATAGAGTAGTTCTAGTTCTAGAAATGAACGAGACCGATTAGCAGCGTAGACTAACAGTATAATTCTGGCCATAGTATTCTGGCTATATATCACGTGATCCGTATTTCTCATTCCGGGTAACTTTTCCTCAACCAAAATTTTCACTATATTGATATAGATCTATCATTCAACACCAGCAATGGCGAAGTTAAACTTAGTGGGTCTTGTGGTGTCGCAAGGCAAAATGGCCAAGACCGTCAAGGTCAGAGTCCAGGGAAAAGTTTATGATAAAAGAATCCACAAAGAGGTCATCAAGAGAAAAGATTACTTGGTGCACGATGAAGGTAACCTCTGTAAAGAAGGAGATATAGTTAGAATTGAGGCCATACCTAGAATATCGGCCAGAAAGACGTTTGCCATAGCCGAAATCAAGGTCAACAAGGGTCAGCAATTCGCCTTGTACGAGACCATAGCCCAAGAGAGATTACAGCAGCAAGAACAACAGCTTACCGACCTTTCCATAAAGAGCAGACAAGAAGTGGAAAACACCATAACCAAGATCGAGGACTTGAAAATCTTGGACAAGCTTGTCAACAGATACCAAAGGGAGCCCGATGCTGAGGAACAGAACAAGTTGGTGTCGGAAGTCAACCGTATTAAGGAAAAGTATGGCATCAAGTCGTGGCCATCCACCGAGCCTATCGTCGAGTTAGAGCTCAATGCTGCTGACAGGGAGATCAGTGAAATCGAAAGAAGAACTGCCAACTTCGGGGCAATTTATGAAAAGTACATGACCAAGGAGTGGGAGGAAGAAAGAAACAGAATATTGAGTCTGATGACCAAGACCCCGGTCGACCAGCTTGCTAAAAACACGGCCAAGAACATCTTGAGAAAGTATGTATTGGATGTCAGAAACGAGTGTCCGGTGTAGGACGTTCCAGGGGTTCAGTTTGTATATAGTCTTTGATCTGAGATCCTGGCAACAGCGGGCAAGCCAAAATAAAATAGAACACACCGAAAAGGGCTTGAGTAGCCAGTCGTAGTGAAACGGGATTTATCACTTTCAAAAATAATTCAAATCCTACAAATGGATATTTTATTATAAGATATGTAAGTCGATGGCACTATGGATTAAGTCTTCAGTTATCACCACAAATATTCAACGCACAAACCATATCAGGAGTAATAGTATTCGGCATCGTACCATTGATTTCACCAGATGTCAGATTACCCCAGAATTAATTCTACCAGAAATACAGACTATCCTAAAAGAGTAGGATAGTTAGTAAGGATTCCACAACAAGTGGCTAGTCAGTATTAAACCAAGCAATCAATATGTTAAGCCAACTCAACATATCAACTGTAACTGTAAACTTCTCAAATTATTGAGTTGCACCAGATACACTATATTCAGGGCCGCTAATCCCGCGCCTTCACATATATTTAGGGGGCTGCTTCACACAAGTATCATACTAAACCATGTCGAAACAAGTCAAAGCTGTCACTATTAAGCGGGGATCTAAAGTCCCCGAGTACAAGCAAGTGGAGCTCCGAGCCCCTGAAGCCGACGAGGTGGTTGTGAAAGTGATTGCCGCTGGATTCAGTCACCTCGTACGAGGCAGGGCGCTAGGCACCCATTACTCGCTGGTGGTGTCTGCTGAGGAGAAGGCAGTGGGTGTGGACGGTGTTGGATATGTCGAGGATGAATTGGTGTTCTTCACCACCTTCTTTCCGGAGGGCGGTTCGTATGGCCAGTACATTGTCACCAAGAAGAACCAGGTGTACCCATTACCTAAGGACGCAGATGAGACATCAATCGCACGGGTGGCAGCTTTGGCCAACGGACTCATGTCGTCGGTGCTCCCGTTGGGAGGTAGAGTGCCCAACTTGAAGGAAGGCGCCACTATTGTCATCCTTGGTGTGACAGGAACTGCAGGCCAGTTGGCCATCCAGGCTGCTAAACTCGGCTACAAAGCTGCCAAGGTGATTGGGATCGCTAGATCTACCAAGAAGTTGCAGGAGCTTCAGGCATCGCAGCCTCTTCTTGATGAGATCATTGGCTTGGACAGTGACGACAGCGATATAGTCAAGTTGGATGCGTTGGGCGAGGTGGACGTGGTACTTGACTACCTCTGGGGCCCTCCAGCTACCCGGATTCTTAACATTGCCCTCACCACGAAGAAAGTTCCCAGCGATGCGTTGCATTGGGTGCAAATTGGCCAGATTTCTGGTGATGCTCAGATCCCGGTCACTGCTGCGTTTCTTCGAGGGAACAACTTCCAGATCCTTGGAAGCGGGCTAGGGCCCTTGAAGCAGGACGAGCAGTCTAGGCTTTTGGCGAAGACAGTTGAATTGCTTTCTAAGGGCACGGTTACTGCCCCATTTGCGTCTGCCAAACTCAGCAATATAGCTCAGGAATGGGACAGTGAGTGGGACTCTCAGATCAGAAAGTATTTCGTGGTCGAGCATTAGCTATGTGTTTACTTCTAGTGTTTAATAATGTTTATGGTGCAAATATCCACAGGCATGTAATTTCGCAGCCTTGAGAGAAGTGACATTAACCAGCAAGAAGGTGCTGGTCTATGTAGGCAAAATGGAAGATCATTATTGCCACCTTGACAGCACCACTGGTAGAGTAGTAGAATAACCACAACGATTTCTGGATGGGATCTTTGCTCTCATTGATGGCATGAAACACTTCTTTTCAATTATGTTTCGAGAATCAGAAAGAACCACTGAGCCAAGCCTGTTTTGGCCAACACGACTCGTATTGTTGAAACACCTACAGTCATCGCCAGCTATAAATACGTACCATTACATCTTCCACCGTACCCTTCCAAAACTGCACACAACAGGTGCCTCAGAGACGACGTTATCAGTGAAGCTCGCACGACCAAACATTGTCTGGCTCCTCACAACCACAACCTACCACTCTTTGAGTTACCCCACCGAGACCGTTACAAGCTGTCTTCCCGCCAGAAAGTCTCTTCCGTGCAATGAGAGAGGAGTACGACCCCATCGTGCTAAAGACGGGCTCCGTGCGTCTTTCACAGCTCAAATACTTCACCTTCAGTTTGGTGGGTATCGCCCTTTTATGGCCCTTCAACTGCTTCTTATCAGCCTCAGCATACTATGGAGAGCGGTTTGCCCATAGTCCCAGCCTCGTGAAGGTATACTCGTCCACCATGATGTCGGTTTCCACCGTTTCATCGACGCTCTACAACTACTATCTCTCGCAGGCCCAGGCAGGAGTCAACTACCAACACCGGCTCAACTTGGGCTTGGGAATCACTATTGTGGTGTTTGTGATCATGGCAATCTCGTGTATTTCGGACTGGTTCATCAGGATGCCCGACGTGCTCTTCTTTGGGATCCTTATGGTGTTGGTGTTCTTGTCTGCGTTGGCCACCTGTTTGGCCCAAAACGGCACCATGGCTATCGTCAACGTGCTTGGAAGCATATATGCCAACGCTGTCATGGTTGGGCAGGCAGTTGCCGGAGTGTTGCCCTCGCTTGCCCTTATAATTCTGATCTTGATCGTGGGAGAAGGCCCCAAATCCATAACAGAGCTTGCTGACTACGTGGAAAAGGACTTAGGAGTCTTTGTTTACTACATCACTGCTAGTGTTATTGCCGTTGGTTCGATCGCTTCGATATACTGGGTAAACAGCTATGGCTTGAACGGTTATCAATTGGTCAACGAGAACGAAGACCACGACTTTGATACCGGGATCAGCGGTCCTGAAGAACCCGAGGGTGTCACCAAAAAACACGTTCCATTCGCTACTCTCTGGTCAAAATTGAAACTCATTGTGCTGACCATATTCCTCACATTCAGCATAACGTTGATTTTCCCGGTGTTTGCATCAAAAGTCGAGTCTACACACGAGAGCAAAAATCGTTTCTTGCAGAAAAACATCTACATACCGTTCATCTACTTGATCTGGAATTTAGGAGATCTTTTGGGGAGAGTATTGTGTGGTTATCCAAGACTCAGAATGCTCATCAAGAATCCACGTACCCTCCTCACATACTCCATCGGAAGATTGGTTTTCATCCCACTTTTCTTGACATGCAACATCCATCCAGGGGTGTCAAAACCGGTGATTAACTCAGACTTGTGGTACATATTGCTCCAGCTTCTTTTTGGAATATCAAACGGCCAGTTGTGTACGTCCTGTTTCATGATCGTGGGGGACTACTGTGAGGAAGATGAAAAGGAAGCAGCTGGAGGGTTCACCACTGTATTTTTGAGTGTGGGTTTGGCAGTTGGAAGTTTGCTCAGTTACTTCTTGGTGATGTACATCGACTAGACCAGCTACAAATACTGTTTGCATTTGATAAAAAGAACGGTTGTTTTCTTTCATGAAAATTATTGAGGATCCGACCACTTCACACAACACTCACGAAGGATAATCTATTCTATGGATTCACTTTATTAAAATTCACGAAGTGTAATATATACTTAGTCGATCTCATTAAAACTTACGATGCCTTACATACATAGTGCTACCCCATTAAAAATGTTGAATTCATAGTTCCATTGGATAAACTCCATTAAACACCCGTCAAGTGTAAAATATATACCTTCAATCATACTTCATTAAATACTTACGGCGTTACCCTAGCCCTGGCCCTCCTTTCAGTGGTCCTCAGAAATACCAGACCATACAGGCCCACAGAAGATCTCAATGATCTTACGCACTCTATGCAGTAATGTACCTCAGTATGAGATTCTCCTGCACACAGCACCACGATACATTAATGATCACTGCCAGACTCCGACAGATCAACCACCACAATGTCTTCATTCTGGGATAACAACAAAGACTCGTTCAAGTCTGCGGGGATAGCCACCATAAAGGGTATAGGCAAAGGCGGAAAGGCGATTGGAAATGCTGGTGTCAGTGCCTACAAGGGCAGAAATGGTTCCAGCACAAGCACTGCCTCCGAAGGTCCTACCAACTCGTTTGACACAGGAACTGGGCCAGTATTGCAAAAGATAGACCATTCACAGCTCAAGTCTCTTCCAGCTCCTCCACGGAGAAACGTGGGTGCTGATGGCTCGCCTGTTCCTGGTGTGCCACCACAGTCCCAACCGCAACCTCAACCACAGGCCCAGTACCAGCCACCGCAAGCACCCGCACAACCAGCACCTGCTCAGCCTCAATTGGGTTACCAAACAGGCCACCAGCCCAGTACTGGTGCTGACGTTCCTCCTCCAGCATATCAGCAACAAAACCAGACCCAACAGTCTCAGGTGCCAACTCCACAGTATCAGAATCCCTCACAGCCAGCACCTCTACCCGGCAGACCCGTTCCAGCACCACCACCACGTCAGTCTCCAGCTCCTAGCTTGTCTTCGCGCCCTTCGGAGTCCGTGCTTGGTGCTGCTCCAGCACAGCCTGCACAGCCACCAGTCGCTCCCCCAGCCATAAGCTACGAAAACCCATACCACCAACCACCGGCTCCAGCACCACAATTGCAACCGCAATATCCTCCCGAAGCTTTGGAACAGCCTCAACCTACTCAGCCAGCACCCTTCAGAAGAGCACCAGCACCTCTTCCTCCACAATCTCCACTAGCCTCACCCGAACCTGTTGCGTCGCCTGCAGAAGAGCCCGAGAAGCCAAAAAAACCGTTGCCAGACCCTAAATCGTTCCCTCCTCCCGTTTTACATAAAGACAGAGCTAAACTTGCAAACAGCTCGACTGGAGAAAGCGAAAAATCCATCAGTGCCAGTAACACTGGTTCTAGTGCTGCAACCACGGGAGAACCCATTGAAAAGCCCAACCCCAAAAAGGCATACTCATTGGAAATTGATAGATCGTTTGCCCCGCCACCAAAACCATTCCGTGGACCAGGAGAAGAGGTGCCACCCCCAAAGAAAGCTCACCAGCCTGCTCCTTATTCTCCTCAAGCAGCAAGATCTACACCCCCTCCTCCATCTCGTGGATCTGGTGCACCACCATTGCCTAGCAGAGGGACTTCACAGAACAGCTTACCTCCAGTACAGGCAAAACCCTTACCAATTCTGACTGATTTCCCGCCACCTCCAAAACCATTCAGACTGGTAGCAGAATCCCCAAAAAATGCACCTAGTCCAAAGGCCACCACTGCACCGGAACCTCCAGCACCAGTTCGTGTTGAAAATGCTTCTGAGTTAGCGAAAAAGAAGGGACCTCCACCAAAACCAGCAAAGAAATCCTCCTTGGTTGTAGAAAATTCAAGTCAGTCACCACCTCCCCCATACACTGAAGAAGAGACCAAGAAGCCCGTGAATAGTATTCCAAATTTTGCTGAGGAAATTGCTCTTAGAAAGAGAAATAGTTCCACTACTTCTGTGAAAAAACAATTGAATGAAGAGCCACTAACCGAAGAAGCTCCCCCTCCTAAACCAGCACGCCCTCTGTCTGGTTTATCAGAGTTACCACCCCCCAAGACAACACGTCACCTGTCTAGTTCATCAGAGGTACCTCCCCCAAAACCAGCACGCCCACAACCAGCAGTAGAGGAATCTCCTCCACCAATGCCGCATAGACCAAGCTCCAGAACAGAATCAACTACTTCAGGCAAGCCTGTAAAACCGGAGAAGCCAAATAAGCCAGAAAAGCCTGCTAAACCAGAAAAGCCGGGCAAACCTGGAAAGCTTGACAAGCCTGGAGCTAAATTAAGTTCGGAAAAGCCTACCATCAACTCACAAGACGAATTTATTAATGAGTTACACAACAATTTGAAGAAGACAGTACCCTCATCGAGCGAGGTTGCGAAGGAAGCAGTGGTAGAGAAAAAGGCACCACCAAAGCCCAAACCACTTGCGAAGCCTAAGCCAGAAATACCTACGAAGGCACCAGCTATTCCACCCCCAAGAGTGGCCAGCAGAAATTCTGGAACACCTCCTCCACCACCTACCCCAAGAATTAAATCTCCTCCATCAGGAGTAGCAACTCCCCCACCGCCGCCCCCTGCTAGAAATTATAAGCGTGCCGCTGCTCCAGAGCCTGTTAATTTAAATCCTCCGGATTTAGACTTAGAGCTTTCAACTGGGTGGTTTGCCAACTTTGCGAAAGCAGGCATTTTGCCTCAATCGTTACAGGGCCTCAACATGAAATATTCGTACCAATCGTCTAGTATGGGCTCCATCACAAGACATCAGTCGAATTTTAGTTTCCGTTTGAAAGATTTGGCAATTATTGTCTACAATTTTACTTGGACAAACGACAACTACGCAAATGTTCAAGTTGAGATTCTGAGGTATGTTCCTTCACCAATAGTGGCCAACATTCCAAGCAAATCTGAGCTTGTTGGTTACCACCAGAAGTTTGGAGAGTATGTAGCTTCCTGGTGTGAGCACAAGCAAGGACAGAAGGTGGGAACTGGAGAATGTTGGGATTTGGCACGAGATGCACTTCTCAAGGGGTGTGGAAAGCATGCATTTGTATCTACGGGCACCCACCATGGATTCCCTATTTTGTCAGTGAGTGGGTCAGCCAATGGGGTGGTATTCAACCAAGACCAATTGGATGATATCCGGAGAGGTGATGTCCTTCAGTTTGAAAGGTGCTCCTTTTACAATGCTGCCACTGGAGCCTCGCTGACTGCGGGAGACCCAGATCATACCTCAGTTGTTATACAAAATGATGGTACAAAGATAACTGTATTGGAGCAGAATGTGGGAGGTGTCAAGATAGTTGTTAAGGGCCAAGTAATTCTCAAAGACTTAAAGGCAGGAAAGTTAACTGTGTATAGACCCGTACCCATAGAGTGGGCTGGTGAACTCTAGACAATATATTTTTTATCCACGCTATATTAAAGGTTTGCAGAGTATAGCAGTAAGAATCTTTAAGTGATTAATCTGCAGCCTCCAGTCTGGGGATACAGAAGCGCAATTATTCCATAATTATCACCTAACACTCTTTTTAATTCACAATTATATATAGTCCCAGAGTATTCAATACGGTTAGTAAAGCTAACACTCAATAAAACAGTCCCACAATAACCGTTCCACAGTTGTCTGGTCGTAGTTTGTAATTTGAAGAAAAAAGGACATCTTCATTATGAACCATGTAGAAGCTAAGCATTATCAAAAGGATACTTTATTCCGAATTATTCGGGGACGGGACTTGAGATATTATTCTAATCTCTTTAATTTCCTCTGTAGTATAGTGATGAAGGAAGACTACCCACATGGGTATCCTAAAGATGGGCTATTTACTATCCTTTCGAGGAGTTTTTTGTAAACTTTGTGTAGCAGTTTCCGGTTTAATTCAAGGGTCTTATGTGAACAAAGAGCCACGCTTCGCATCCTAACAATTAACATGACACTTTCCAAATCAGAGCTTGGTTGGTTGGAAATCCTGATATTACTATCGGTACTTATTTCTACAAGAGAAGTCCAGTATGGCTAGTATTTGCAATAATACTGGAAATAATTTGGTCTTCAATAAGCCAGGACATTTCATCCTCGATAATTATAGAGCATGAATTCTCTGCCGTTATCATAAATAAACGGTACTATCTAGTATATTAAGTGAACTTTAACTACCGTTAGTTTTAAAGGACTCATCCTCCGCAGCATGTCTCACTGTCAATTCACCCTTTACAGCCTAGATCAAATGTATCCAGACAATGGATCTCAAAATGAGTAGGTTGCCCCAATAGATATGGCACTGGTTGAACAAGCTAGACAACGACAATACTGAGCCTGGTTGAGTCCTCTGTGGCTTGCTCGATTTCCCAGTTCTTCAAATATGCCATGGTGCGACATCCAACGAAGATATCTCGATGCGCACAGCGATGAGTTTATCACCATCCATGTCAGAAGCACCAGCAGCACCAGCGCTATCAACACACCAGGACGATACGACGTTCTCGTATGACAAGGTCAAGGCGGTCGAAAAGGACCGGACGCACCTTAACTTGCCGCCATCGTACGACCATGACCAGTTGGTCCAGAAAATCAACCAGTACTACAGCGTGGATGAGATCATACTGAGCTTGAAAGAACAAGTAGATGGCCACAGAAAGTACAACAAGATCACGCTCCAGTTCCCCGATGAGTTGATCTGCGACTCTGCCACCATCGTGCACGAGCTCCAGCGACAGTTGGGGGCCACAGTCGAATCACAACCAACAGCCACCCACCAGTCCTGCAGTGGCGGCTCGCCATGCTCCAACAAGACCAACGACTCGTGCTGTAAAGGCGTACAAGCGGAAAGCTCTACATCCCAGAAAATCTATATTCTTGCAGACACTTCGTACTCGCCATGTTGTGTGGATGAAGTGGCAGCCGAACATGTCGATAGTGATCTCGTCATCCACTTTGGTGACGCCTGTTTGAACCCTGTCGACAAGCTTGTCACCTTCTACGTTTTTGGCAAGCCTACAGTCGACCTTGACCACTTGGTGGCGGAATTCAAGGCCAGATACCCCGTGGGAGAAGACAACAAGGTGATGCTCATGGCAGACTCGCCCCACTCACATCTTCTTGAAGGTCTCTACCACTCCTTGAAGGAGGAGTACCCCAACTTGGCCTACGCCGATTTGTACTTGGACACTCAGTCCAAGGTCAAGGTCATTGGGTACCAGCCCACCCGCTCCAGCCATCCACTGAAGGTGTTGAACAGGATCTTCAGCGGACTCTCTGATGGCGACCTCGACGATACATTAAGCCAGTACGACTTGTTCCACATCACCGTTCCTAAGAGTCCTAGACTTTTGCAACTCACCACCAGATTCGGTTCCGTGACTGTCTACGACCCCAAAGAAAGAAAAACCTCCCAAGGTCCGTTCCCTAACTTGATGCGCCGGTACCGTTTCATGCAAATGGCACGTACCGCTGGAACCATTGGCCTCTTGGTGAACACGCTATCATTGTCGAACACCAAGAACTTGATCAACAGTATGGGCAAGAGAATCAAAGACAGTGGCAAGAAGCACTACATGTTTGTGGTGGGTAAGCCTAACGTGGCCAAGCTCGCCAACTTTGAAAACGTGGACATGTGGTGTGTGTTGGGGTGTGACCACCAGGGAATCATTCTTGACCAGACCAACGAATACTTCAAGCCCATCATAACGCCATACGAATTATTGTTGGCGTTGAGCGACGACGTCACCTGGACTGGTAAATGGGAAACAGACTTCAAGAAGTTGTTGGACCAAATGGTAGACGAGGAGGCCAACCAGGAAGACGAAGGCAACGAGGACGACGAGGACGACGAGGATAGACCACCTGAATTCAACCCAGTGACTGGCCAGTACGTCAGCACTTCAAGGCCCTTAAGACAGTTGAACCACTTGAGAATTGCTGCCGAGCCCGAGGAAGAAGAGTCGGAGACCAGCTTGGTCAAGAAGTTCTCTTCCACCATTGCCATCAAAAATACCGTGTCGACGTCTGCGGTTCATCTTCAAAACAGGCACTGGACCGGTTTGGGGAGTGATTACAACCAAGATGGTCTGGACGAGGCAGGCGCATTGGTCGAGGAAGGAAGGGCTGGGGTTGCCAGAGGCTATGACTACGACAGAGAAGCCCACCAATGATCATGGCACCCATAGTAGCATCAATATTAAGAATACCACGAAGCACTGTTCTTACCGATTTTGTCCTGTTAATGTTGATGCTGCAGCAGACCACATGCTTAGTGTAGTATCGTACATAGTACATGTTTATAGACCATCAGCATTACAGCACCAATTGTGCTACATTAAATAATTTCAGAGTGAGCGCTCTAAGAATCACTTTCTGGATGAACAGTAGATGCCGTTCCCAAAGTACAACCTCTACAGTCTCTCATCCGATGCTTGAATCGGCAAGAATACATATGTCAAGTCATACTGGTAAGAAGCATCCGTACTGCCAACGAACCAACAGTACTGTGATTGAAACACCATCCTTTCTAACTATAGCCAAATTTCTCTGGTCTGTCAGCCGTGCCATTTCTGATCCAGCGCGTACAAACGTCAAGACTCATTCTTCTCCACAAATGGTCCTAAGCATCGACAGTCTCCTTCAGCAGGTGATACGAGCTCTGTGGTTGACTCTTGCTGTCAATGTACTTATAATGTAAGTGTCACATCAGACTTACGACAACGAAATCGTCACTAACTTCAGTCTATATACGCGCCAATGGATCCACACCATTCCAGGAGCAGTAATTTTGGCAGCATGGTTGGTCTACTATGCCAATCGTCGCTACAAACTCCCCAGAGACTGGTCCAAGCTTGGCGGTGACGATATAGCCTTGGTCACTGGCGGGTCCAACGGCTTGGGGAAGAAGATCGTCGAACTTCTTTTGGAGAGGAACGTGGAGGTTTACGTGTTGGACGTGGTTGAGCCCAGTTACAGCCATTCTAGAGCTACTTACATCAGGTGTGACTTATCGAGTGAAGGCCAAACAACGTCTTCCATTTCCAGCTTGGTCAAGTCACTCGCCTCCAGCAAAAGGCACATTTCGGTGTTGGTCAACAACGCAGGCATACGGCACAACCGCTCGTTATTGGAGCTCGAGAGTGACGAAGTGCATCGGTTGTTCAACATCAACACCTTGTCCCACATCTGGACGTTGAAGCTGGTGGTCAATAACCACATCCAGCATGTGCTCCCTGCGACACCCAAAGCACAACTCTACATTGTGTCCATATCATCGATATTGGGTGTCCTAGCACCTCGGAATCTATCATTGTACAGTGCTACGAAAGCCGCTAATATTCTGATCTACGAAGCATTGACCCAGGAGCTTGTTGCATTCAAATCCATTCGCATCCTACAGGTATTGCCAGGACAACTAACTACGGATATGTTCAAGGATGTGGCACCATCTAGACAGTTTTTGGCACCGTTGGTGAACCATGTCAAGTTGGCACACCAGATACTTGCACGAATCGAAACAGGCGAGATGGGGGTCCTTTGCGAACCATTGTATTCCAACTTTCTTCCTGCAGTACGGGCGTTACCTCTTGCAGTCCAGAAGGTCTGTCGATGGTTCTCCCAAATGGACGAGAAGGTGAGTTAAACTCCAAAATATTCAATCCCCAACCAGGTTTAGGTGACTCCAAATATATGTGTATTTATGTGATATTCAATCCTCATTCAGGTTTCCGTTATTCTGTTGATTTAGATACTCTTTTTGCCGGCCTTCTCGATTTCCACCTTTAACAACTTGGCAAACTCATCTCTGTTGAAGTATCCAATGATATCGAAAAAGCTCTTGAACTCCAACGCAGTCTGCGCAGCGTTCTTCTCGTTGCCGTTCACAACAACTCTTATGTTATATTCCGGAGCGAACTTGTCAGTCCAACCAGAAATGACTATCTTCTCGCCCTTGCTGGTCTTGCCCACGTATTTCACGTCCTTGTTTCTTCTGTTGATCAACAACAATGCTCCACTAATAAGGAAGTACACCACGACTGCAACCAAGTTGACGTAGTACAATTCCTGGAAGCTGTACTTCTTGTCAAGGTAATACAACAAACCAGCTATTATAACCGTCAGGTATCCAAGCGCCAACTTGGTGTCTACTAACAAGAACGATTCGTCATACCCGAACTCTGACAACACTGAGGACAAGTTCTCGTCGGTGGCTTGGCGCAAGTCGTTGATTGAGCTGCTGGTTAGCGGTGGTGTCGAGATTGGCCCATGGTACTTACTTTAAATTGGTCTTCTTCATGGTGGCTATAATGTTGGTGGTGAGTTGGCAATAGTAATATGTATTCCGGGGCAGTTACAGGTTAAGGGAAATGGTGACAGGCGGTTTGCAGGTACACCAAAAGACACCACCACGAGTCAGATCTCGCGATTAAAAGCCTCTGTCTATTAGGCCTGGGCCGCTATTCTACGCCACTGACTGTCGTGCTAGCTTCGTCCCATCTTCCTTGCTCAGCAGCCCTCGGTGGTGGGTTTAGACCCACATGGGGTTGACTCACTGTTTTGCAGGTTGCGCTGGGGCCCGCTTACACTTTATCCACCAACCCATCGTGATTATCGCTCCTCATCACTAAAGGGTCATCCGGTAGGGCTATAACCATAGGCCCTAGTGTTCGATCTCTGTTAAATAACACCTCGCCCCGTGGTGGTATTATGCACTTAGTCTCTGGTCATGGAAATGAATAACAAACCTTCATTGGGGACTATCACTCCCAAAGCCATTGACAACGACTACGTCAAACCTCCCTTCAATAGAAGCTCCACCAGCACAAGGAAATACGACCAAAAGAATACCAACCAGCATGTTGCCAGCCAGCCTCAGGCACAGAAGCAGCAACCCAGAAGAAAGCAGAAGAAAGGCCTCGACCAGGTCGCATCCCTGATCGAGAATCTTCCCAAGCAAACTAAACTGCATGGTCATGGCAGAAAGAACCAAATCTCGATAAACCACCTTCTTGACTTCCAGTCGTACCGAGACCTGGAGGAGTACCAGCACAATCATTCCAGAAGACGTCCCAGTGGCGGTTCTCGTCCTAGAAATAGAGATGTCCGTACTCGGAAGGTGCATTTGTCTGGTATGTCTTTCATCAATGTGAACTACAAATTTGTGGTCGATACCCGGAAAGATTACAAGGAGCAAGCGTTGGACCCTAATATCCCTCCGGACACTGATGACATCATCAGAATCATAGTACCAAAGGGTAATGCCTGTCCGATCTGTCTTTCTGATGATCCCATTGCTCCAAGAATGATCAGTTCGTGTGGACATATTGTGTGTCTTAAGTGCTTGTTGTCGCTATTGGAAAGTGAAGTTCCCACCTCCAAGAAAAAGGAAAGTTCAGCAATTGTCGAAAAGTATAGAGAATGTCCTTTGTGTCTTTCGATCATCAGAAAGAACGAAGTAAAACCCGTCCTCATAAACAACATTGATGAACGGTTCGAGACACCAAAAATTGATGACGATGTTGTCTTGACATTGATGACTAGGCCACTGCACAAGATATTGCCATTGCCACAAGCGATACATGAGTATCACGACGTGGTAGGCAATTTTCCCATGGTGAATCAAACCAACCCTGATTTCAATCAATACCTGAGGATATTCAAGGGTGACTTAGACTATCTTCTCAAGATGTACGCAACGGAAAAGCAACAGATTCTCGAGAACTATGAAGAAGAGAAGCTCGTTTACAATGAACCAGACACCTATTTCAAAATGGCCATTGCCCATATCGATGCTGAAATCTCCAATTGGTCTCACAAATTAGCCCAGCCCGTTGATCGAAAAGACAGAAAAAGAGATGTTGCAGACACAGGTAAAGACAATAGTTCGACCTTTTACTTTTATCAAACGGGATTTAATTCTAACGCAACTTATGTTTTGTCTCCGTTAGATATAAAAGTTGTCAAGGCAGCTTACCATAATAGTTACGAGGAATTACCATCATCCATAGTGGCTAAGATCGAGAACATCCGTTATGATGAATTGAGTCCTGAAACTTCCATGACCAAGTACAAATACTTGTCACATTTGCCTTCCGGAACTCAGTTGGGCTTTTTGGAATGTAACTGGAATAATAACGAGTTCTTGAGCGATCAAGCTTGGAACACGTTCAAGGATGATTTGTCAAAGAGAACGAAAAATTCCAAGAAGAAACTCAACCGTGAAGAAAGAGACAGAAAAAGGGCACAAGACGAAGAGGAGAAGCGTACCAAAAACTTCTATGCCCGAGAAAATGGCACCTTGGGCAACGAAACAGAAGAGTTTTATGAAAGGGGAAACTTTGGCACTTTATCTATTGTGGACCATCGCGAGTTGCCAGCATTGCTGTCTGAAGACAGAAGAGAATCGGCTGGTTCTGCTGATTCTGAAGCTGGTGAATATGTGTCTACTGTTTGGGGCACCAAGATACCCAAGGCAGAATTTGTGGACGATGTCTTCGAAGATGAGGATGACTGGGACGCAGAGGAAATGATCAGGAAAGCGAAGGAAGAGATGGAAAGACAAGAAGCAAAGGGTAAAGGTAAAAAGAAAAAGAAAAAGTTGGTTCTCTTGTCTTCGAACACCCACCGCTAATCGGACGTATCAGTTCCCTTTAAGGGTTAGCCAAAACAATTTTAGATTACACGAAACGAATGCATGAACTTTAGCAACATCTGTAAAATTTTCTATTGGAAGAATAATGCAAATAGTATTAAACTGAGTGGGCTATATCTGTGTCAAATTGACAATGCTAATTATAAAACTCTTCTTCGTATTTGATACTTCTAGGGTCCAGCCCTAACCAGGAATTAATGAAAGGGCGAGTATAGAAAAAGACCGCTCCTGAGAGCAATACTGTACATCCAAGTACTGGGAAACACCAGTAGGGAATGGCAAGCAGGGCAGCATTAGGTGGTGGCACGAATGGGAAGAGAGCCAAAAACAAATTTGTTAACAAGAAAATAACAACACAAATGTATGGGGCTGAAATGATCTTCTTGGATGATGGTGGTGCGGAGGCGGATTCGATGGATGAGTTTAACAAGGAATCGGTTTCAGTTTGATGTCTTTGGTGAGGAGACTCTTGTGATTCTTCGAAGTCGTTGGAATGAGCTTCATTGAGAATGGACGACGTGCTGACTTTAGGGTCCTCGGGGTTCTCGTGCTGGTCAATTAACTGGTAGCTTGGGTGGGATTTGTAAGATTCGTCCTCCATTTCGAAGTCCATATCTCTAGGGTTGAATTCTGCCCATGATTCCTTTTTGCGGTTTAACTTCAAGTAAATCAACCCAGCTGTAAGGAAAACGTTGATCCAGGTGCCTGGGTAAATGTATAGGTTAACAATGAACTCATAGATCTCGGCTGACGGAGGGGCTACCAAGATGAACACGGTGATGAACCAATGAAGGAGAAGTGAATTGTTTAAGTCCAGGAAAAATGCAGAAAACGGGATGTAATTATTCAACGCCAACTCTTGGTTGACCATTCCGTGGGCAAATGATACCACCAAAACATTGCCCAAATTCGACAACGAAATAAGAATTGGCAAAAGCCGGGAGGTGACACTTTGGCCAAATACCTTGTTGAAGAAAATCCCGGCAATCAACACTCCACTGCTGAGGATTTCTTCCTTGGGGATGACCACAAGATAAGCAAGCAAAACCAAAAAGTACAATACGGTGGTCAACAAAACTGCAGCTGGGGCAGCAATGGTGAGGACGTGGTAGGGGTCGTTGATCTCGTTGAGGACGTAGTTGACATTTTCCCACCCTTTGAACGAGTAGATCACCTCTAGCAAGCCCACGGCTATAGAGTACGAGTTAGGGGACTCGTTGTTGTGGAACTTCCACATGTCGGTGAAGTTATCGGTGGGAGGAACGTCCACGAGACCCACGTAGACAAAGAGGCCTATCATGATAATCAACACCAAGATCAAGAGCTTGAAGATACCAAGAAAATTGAAGAGCCTGGTGCCCTGCGAAGGATACCTGATGTGTAGTAAGATGCAGAAGGAAATGCACGCCACACCCACCAACTTGACGAGACTGGGACTGATATCGGAATCAGCATCGCCCTCTTGGTGGTCGGTGAGGGCAAACAACACGTATTTGCCGAAGGCATACGAGTTGCCGGAGCTGAACCCAAGAATGACAATCGAGAAGGCATAAACACACCCAGCCAATCCCTTTGGGTGGTTGAACACGCGGAGGAGGTAGTTCTTCTCGCCTCCGTTGCGGAACGGCAAGTTCAAGGCGTATTCCAAGTAGATGAGCATGCCGCAGAAGATGACAACGCCTCCAATGGCAAATAACGAGAGGAAGAGACCCACATTGCCATTGGTGTACTGGAAGATGGGCGACGGATTCAGAAAGATGCCTGTGCCAATGATCTTGTTCACGATAAGCGAAATGCACGAAAGGGTGCCCAATTTTTTGGAGACTGGGACGGCAGCGTGGGTACCTGCAGTAGAGCCCGAGTTCAGTACGGCAGGGAGCAATGTAGGAGCCATCGTGTGTCGAGGTAGTCCGATGGTGTGGTGGTAGATATGCTGGATCACCATGACAGAAACGCACGTGATGCGGACCACTGGCTAGGAGCCCTGATCCTGTCAGGGGAATCTATCTTGGTCGTACACGACCATAACGTGGGGGTTCCAGGAAACACAGCCCTGTGGATTTCCGAGGAACTACAGAGATGTAGACTGGCATGGGCGTTGAAAGGGTTTGGGCGTTTGAGTGGTCATAGCGCTTCCCGGATTTCTAACATTTACTTGTTTATCATTAGAATTATGGGTACAAAGCTTGAAGAAGGTCGATTATGGTACATCCTTGCAACCATACTGCCTTGGGAACATTCATAACGTCAATAAATTCATCAAGGTCGGGATTTTACATTTCTTAGCTCTGAATAGCCGCGGTTATCCAGTAGTAGGTACTAATATCAAAAGTTAACTGATTTATCGAGCCATCCGCAGTAGTTGCCTAATCTGCCAAAAAAGCATCGAGTACTGTCAGGATCAACCAGGTAACGACGATTCTTTACGTTGCAATCCGTTTTAAATTACATTCCTATCAATCTCCAATCAATTTGTGATATCATTTCTGCTGCAAAGATTGGGTTCTTTGCTTTAGTGGCATTTTATGACATGTAGCGTATCGTGTACTACTGTTAGTTTACTATTCATATTTGTCTATTACCGCTACTCTACCACGTTCTTCTCGGTTGCAAGGTATCTTAATAGTGGTATAATTCGTACGGGAAACACTCGTAGGTCCCTTGGACCTAAGAACGGTGGAGATGATAAGACAAACCCTCTCTACTTTCCGTCAGTCAGGAATTTTACTTGCTATCTACAATTTTTGCATCGAATGTCTATTAGGTATGATATTAAGCCAGACCAGCTGCTAACATCGACTCCACGTCTAGAACCAGCCTGTGGACACCGGAACCGAGCTCGGAGGTGATCACATTGACCGAGATGCCACATTGGCTGATCACATCATGCTCTGCCTGGTTGATAAAGCGCGAGCCTTTGCGGGCCTTGTTGTCCTGGTTGTGGGCAGTGGCATGCTTGTACTGCTTGACTAACTTGAGCTTGTCATCGGAGTACTCGTACTGGGGAAACTCGACGGTCTCGAGCGGTACCGAGTCTTGCTCCACCTGTCTGAACTCCATGGTAGTCGAGCTGGAGGTAAAGCAGCGGGAGTCGGCGTGGTTGAAAGAGGGAAAGATGATGTTGAGCGCTGTGGCGCCGTCGAGTGCCACGGAGTCGATGACGTGGGCGATTTTTTCGTTGACAAACTGGATGTTCTTGCCAAACACGTTGCCCTTGAAGAACGACTGGCCCTGTTTGGGCTCGATGTTGAAGTACTTCTCGTCGTGGTAGTAGATGTGGTGCGAGTCCTTGGTGGACACGGCGATGCTGGGGATGTTCTTGGCCATGCAGTAGTTGAGCATGGCATGGGTGGCGCCACGGCCGCGGTGGCCACGAGGGCCACCTGAGTCTGAACCCAGGGGGGTCCATGAGGGACCCTCGTTGGGGCCCACCACCACGAGTTCTGGTTCGAACCCGATCTGGGGCAGGATCACGTCCATGCCGATGACCAACGCGTCCAACGCACCCGAGTTGACGAACCAGATATGGTCGTCCAACGGGTCCTGGCCAAAGTGGTTGTTGGAGACGATGGACTTCTTGGTGTGCTTGATGACGCCTTTGGCGCCACGGGGGGCCTGGTTCATGTGCTTGATGTTGGAGTAGTACGTCTGGTGCACGGGGAGAAGGTGGCCAAACTCGCCTCCGTCGGGGATCTCTGTGGACTGGGGCGCCACTGGGTTTTCTGGGTCTTCTGAGGCATGTGCAACTTCCTCGGTGGGGTCGTTGCGGTTGTGGTGGGATCCCAGCGAACGCACCAGGCCCGGGTGGCGGCGGTTGTATAAGGGGGCCACCACGCGCACGTCGTGGCCTTCCTGCTTCAACGACTCGTACATGAATCTGACGTTCTTTGACACCCACGAGTCGGTGGAGGTGAGGAGGACTCTCAATGCAGCACACGAGTGTATGAGCACGAGGAGCACCGCGATTAACTTCATGGGGACGGTGGGGAGGAGGTGAGGACGACGGGGAAAGTTATGGATCACACAGGGTCGGCGGGATGTAGCTGTCGAGGGACCGCCCCCCAGGGACTCCTGGCTATATATACATTGTCCCCAATGAGCCCCGTGGGCTTATTTGGTGCAAAATACCTGCGCGACCACACATGCACATGGGATGTGCACCACGCAAAACGTGGCCGCGTTAACGAGAGAGTGTATGCAGGGATTTGCGGTATTAATCAGTTCCCAATTAGATGATAGACGGTGTGCAGCGAGTGTTTATCGCTTCCGATCAGGGATAGTAACCGGTGGTTGTGAGACCAGTCGCCCACGGTGGCCCACGGTGGTGGTGACGTGGTGGTGGTCGTGGCGGTGGTCGTGGTGGTGGTAGTGGCGGTGGTGTTCCACACTGGTGGCGGTGGCTTCCCAATACAGCCTGTACCGGCCCACAGGTGCGTTTGGCATGGTTCTAGCCGGCGATGGTCCGCTAATTTATTTTATACCGCATATTTTCCGGAGGCTCTGGTGGTGTCGTGTGAGTAAAAGGGAGGTGGCAGCGGTGTGTCAGTGGTTAGAGATCTGGGGCGTTGCGCGGGGATGCCGCAGATGGGAGGCTTGAACTAGCAGGGCGTTTTGAGGCAGCCTCTGGCTGGCAGTGGGCTAGGTTCCATCGATGCATGCATGAAGGACGCTGCCTTCCTAATTGGGCAATTTCTTACTGTCACGCGAGCGATTTACGATCGTATTTCAGTAGGGAGAATCTATTTTTGTAGTGAATATCTATATATAGTCAGCGTTGGCTGGATGGTTGCACTATCTCGATTTCGGGTCGACGGCTTATACGGAAGGAGTGATTGGACGACTTGTGCGATGGCCAGGATTAGCGATGGCCATAGCGACACACCATTGGAAAAAATCCTTCGCAGGGTGCCAGGTGTAGCCATGGGGAATCATCGAGAGGGTGTAACATCCATCGCATACGTGGCATCATGCAATGGATTACTCGCCCTTCGCACCTCGCCGTTACGTCGCCGAACCCAACAGATGCACTGTCACCGCATTGACAGCCGTAATGCCGCCTGCCGCATTGGGCCGCATCACATCACAAACTGGATGTTCATGTCCTGCGGGTGCGACGCACTCAACTGGGGCTTCTGCGAGTACTTCTGGGCCAAAAGTGTCCTCATGTTGTTCAACAACGACAAGTAGGTCTGGTTGGGCATCTCGTTCAACACCTTGATGAACGCCCAGCTCATGGCTCCCGTGGCCTGGCCCGCCTCCTGGGCATCGGCACTGGTCTGGTCGTCCTTGCATCCACTGAACGAGATGACGTCTGCAGGAGAAGCCTTGACCGCCTTGACCTGTTCCCTGTTGGAGCTGCCGCTTCTCAGCACATTTTTCACAATTCCCGAGAGCGACTTGAGCGCGCCGCCGATGTTACCCGACTCATACGACATGAATGCACTCAACGCACCCATCCCGGTGTCCTTCAACAAGTTGGGCTCCTTGACCACACCCTTGGTGGAGTACACGTACGGCAAGTCCAAAGCGGTTCCCGAGTGGCACGAGTCGTACAAGGCCGTCAAACGACACCCAGGAGGCAATGGCCGCACCATAATGGCGTGCATGTCGTCGTCCACGATGTGGCCCACCTGCTCGAAGTCGAGCGGGTACACCACGTCGTCGAACCCGCTCTCCTCGTCGCCATCCAAGTCCTCGGTCTGGCCTCCGTGTCCCGAGTAGTGGAACACCAACGAGTCGTTGGGACGCGCGTCCTTGACCAACCACTGCATAGCACGGATCATGTTGTCCTTGGTGGGGATTCTGGCGCGCTCACGCAGGTCATCAGTGAGAATCACAATGTCGTCCCACTTGTAGCCCCAGTGGTTGACCAAGAAGTTGCTCATGTTCTTGACGTCGTTGATGCACCCTCTCAACTCGTTCTTGCTGCCGAAGTAGTTGATACCCACCAAAAGCGCCTTCTTCTTACCCTGACAGTTGGAGTACTGGAAGGTCATGTTGGTGTTTTGGCCAAACGACTGAGGGGCGTTGGGGGGAGGCGCCATGGGACGGTTGTAGTCCTGGTGCGGAGTGTTGCTGTAGTGCTGAGGAGCACCGCCAGAGTGTCCTTGGGGAGCCCCGTAGTTGCCAGGAGGAGGGCCCTGCGGAGGTCCATAGTTGCCACCGTAGTTGCCGCCATAGTTGCCTGGGGGTGGTCCCTGTGGAGGGCCGTAATTGCCTCCGTAGCTGCCTGGTGGAGGTCCCTGTGGAGGGCCGTAGTTGCCAGGTGGAGGGCCTTGGGGTGGGCCTTGGTTGTTGTACGAATGGCGTCCTGATCCGGGGAACATGGTGATGTATGGTAGAGATGTTTCGTCGCGAAACGTTCCCCTGAAATTCCAGGTGGTGATGTGTACACTACCGTAAAGAGGCGATCCAGTGCAATGGGGCGGAGCCACTACAGTCTGGGCTGGGGGTCACTCGTGAGAACATCTACTCCATCAGAATTCTACTGTCTGTTTTATGTAGAGCCATTATATGTCCGTCATAGCTAGACGGACTGGATAATAGTTTTAATTTTGAGACAGACACTTAACAGTATTGTTGCTAACAGCTTTCTCATTTGCTGTATGTAGGAACCCTCATGGAGCCCATGGGACTTATGGGACTCGTGGGACATTGTTGGGAACACTAGTGGGAGCCAGTGTGGTGAACTATCATAGCCATTGGGTTGGTGTGCTAGCGTGGGGTAACGTGGGGTAATTGGGCTGAGTGAAAAATACGCTGAAGTAGAGGTAGAGTAAGAAGAGGAGGAAAAATGAATGGACTATACGTATGAAGTAGAGGGCACTGGGTGTGTGGATAATTGAGACCACTACTGCAAATGGACCGTGAACAGTTGCTATTGTTTGGCAAAGGTACAGCTGTAGAAGTAGAACCATCAGTTGAAGCCAAAACTCAGTTATTCATCAATTAAGCCATTGGACAATTTCTGTGCACTAGCCTCGGGTCTGCCAAAAACAATTCACTCCTATCACCTGCCACTCTGTCCTACGCCAATCTCATTCCGGCCTGGTTTCATCTAAATCTGGGCATTTTCATCTGATTCCGATCGCTGGAATGTTCAATGTCGATCGGTCATCGAAACCAACTAGAGTAAGACGAAAGCATATTCGACGCCTAGATCTCCCATCTCCATATCTAGTAGGTCCATTTTGGGCTCGTTTTAGCCTATTACACAAATATAGGATTTTCGCAACTTCGTAATATTGAATATATAAGCACCAGCACTGCTGGACACTCACAACTTGGAGTTGGGGTCGGCGTTCAGGTCCTTGATGATACTAGGGTACAAGTCGCCCATAAAACCGCCGATGTGCCAAGCAGCACCGTCCACGACGTGGATTTCTCCCGAAACGTAAGAAGCAGCGGGTGAGAATAAGTACACGGTAGCCTCAGCAATGTCTCTGGTGCTACCCAATCTTTGCAAAGGAATCTTGTTTTCCAATGGCACTCCACCTGGGGGAGCCAATCTGGAGAAGCCCTCGGTGCCGCCAATCATACCAGGAGCAATACAGTTGGATCTGATGCCCAAGGGACCGAGTTCGACAGCCAAGGCGTTGGACAACGCATCCACACCTGCCTTGGCAGCTCCGACGTGCAATTGGAAAGGAACCCCGTAGTAGTGGAGGGTGGCACTGACGAAAAGGATGGCACCCTTGTTCTTGCGCAACTGGTCGAAGGTGGCCTTGACGGTGTTGTAGGAACCCAACAAGTCGATGGATATCACCGACTTGAACGCATTGGATGACAAGTGGTTGAAGTCGCTCAAGAAGTTTCCTGCAGCACCCGCAATCACGAAGTCGATTCTGCCCAACTCATTGACGGTGGCTTCCGCGGCCTTGACCAACGAGTTGACGTCACGCACGTCCACGTTGCCCAAGCCAATGACCTTGGCGCCTGGACGCAACGCCTCGATTTCTTTGGCGGCCTTGACGGTCTTTTCTGGGTTACGGCCCAAGATGGCAGCGTTGGCCCCCAATAACACCAATGCCTCGGTCTGGACCCTGCAAATGGTGCCTGCTCCGCCGGTGACGAAGACAACCTTACCCTTGAAGAGGTCTGGTTTCCAGGAACTGTTTGTGACGAATGACTGGTCTAAGGTACTCATGGTATTGAACTATATAGCGATTTCAACGAGTGCCAGTGTCTAACTTATATACATTTTGTGGGGTGTGGAGTCGGACCGAGGCCTGGGTAATGTACAGGAAGGGCGCGCACATGAAAGAGAACGTCACGTGCGGGTGATTGGCGAAGCCAGAGCAGCCACGGTCAGGAAGGACAATAAGGAGATGTGGTTCCAGAGTGGAAGGCGGAGCCAGGATTCGATGCTTCCGCAAGGACATCACATGCAGCGTAGTGCAGGGCATCCTTGGTTCCAGAGTGGGAATCGCATCCAGGGTATGGGATTCAGTAGAAAGATATCCATCCCAGTGAAGGAACCGATGCTGAGTAAAGGAATTCGAGCTTCCGCAGAAGGACATAAGCTTCAAGTAGAAAGGCATCAATGCTCAGTAAGAAATAAAAGCTCAGTAGAAGGACATCCAATTTCAAGAACGTCCATGCTTCTGCAACATCCAGAGTAGATGCTTCTCTCCATAGTATCCGGTTGCTTCACATTCCCTACAATGCTCTTTCCTCTCCTGGACTGGTGTACTGGTCCAACCGCTTCAATGCGACCTGGTACAACAAGAGCATGATCGAGCTCTGGATCCCTGTCCAGATGAACCGAGGACCCACCCCCGAAAAAGCCCCCAATATGCCCTCGCTTTTGTAGATGGACGCCAATGCAGTGTAGGTCGAGGAGTTGGATAGTATTCTGGCCAACGGATTGGTGGATGGAGTTTGCACTACCGAGTTGATGGTGGTGGCAGTCTGGATTCTGGTTTTGATGACATCGAGAGGCGTGGTCAATGTCCCTGCCAACCCTCCGGCTGCAGCTCCTGTCAAGAGCTCCCATGACACTGGCAAGTCGGAGGATCCGTGTGAATAGATAGCAAGCTGTCTGAACTTCTCGTAGAATGCAAACTGTAATGCACTGAACGGAAGATCTCTGAACAAAGTCTCCTTGTAGCCAAACACAAATGTCTTGGGGCCCTCCTGCTTGCCTATGCGTATGACAGCATCAGTCAACCCTTTGTAGTTGTAGCCTGAGCCTTTGGTGTGGGGGTTGTTGTGTCTTCCTTGTAATTGCAATCTCGTTTTCAACACCTCCGAGGGCACATAGAAGACGCTGGACGCCAAGTCGCCGAGAACCCCGGCAACGAAGTACGATAACGTCTCGTTGATGCCGTAGTCGTTGATCATCCTTCGTTTGGTCCATTCGTATGTTGCGAAAAATGCTGCCGTGGATGGAAACGACCCCAAAATGGCTGGGGTGTATCCACTGTAGAGGCCTCGGAAAAAGCCCTCCTGCTTGAAGATGGTTAAATATGCTGGAATCATTCGTTTGTATTGGACCTTGTTGGGAAAGCCCTGTTGTCTGGTTTTCACGGTGTCTAGTGAGTGCATCAGGGTGTCACCAACCATACCACCGAGGCCACCAGCAATCATACAGTTGAAAATAGGCGACATAGCGTCCTCTTTGGTGTTGTCAGATGGTACTTCAGGAGTGGCACCTTTACCTGCTCCGTGGATCCACGGTCCTGGCTCGTGTTGTGCCCCGAAACTCAAGGGTATCGTGGAAGATGTGAAGACTTGGGACATTTTCTATGGAATTCTAATAAATAGCAGCTTCGTATGCGGGTTCGAAGCCTTATAATGTGCTGGTCAATGTGTCTCGTTAGGCCCAGGAAGGGGAGATATCGTGAAATTTGTTCTAGATTTAGCTGGTATCACTATGGACTCGCATGAACTGGGACCTTCAAATTAGTGCTCTAGGGCTGTATGTGTGTACCGTGTCAGAGCCGTCTCTGGGAGACTAGTTGGGATCGAGGACAGGCGAAGGGATAGATCTCAAACCACTATAATGGCGGGTTCTTACTGGAGCGTTTGATACCGTTTTTTTTTTGTGCCGCACACTTCATCCACGATGAACTAATCCACGCTACAAGATTGGCTCTATCAGCACTTGGTGGGTGTTATAGCGATGTACTGTTGCTGTGTGCTGCTTATGTTTGTTCTGGATAGGCCACTTGTGGTTTTGTGGGGCTTGTAACCGCTTTTCAGCTATAGTATAGCTAAGATAGTTGGCCGTGTCACTGCATATAACCCAGACAAATACGAGAAGATCGTCACTGTAGTCGAGCTTTGCAAACACACCTGGCCTAGCCTTAACTAACAGGAGACAGCAGTGGGGTATAGACGAAACATTTCAATTTGCCGGGGATTTTGTCATTTTCGAAAAGACAAAATGGGCAAACAATTAACTAATACAAAAATAGTTTTAGAGAAAAGTGAAGAGTTAATAATCGTGGGAAAATGGTAAGAAGGGTCAATTATCGTGGGATCAAATTTGGAGCGTTTAGTGTTCTAACAAAATATGGGATTTTCAACGTGGCTTGAATAAGTTGTCAAAATTTAAAAATATGACGAACCATCGCTAAAATTATTAATTCATTTTTGAAACCTGGCGGGAGTGTCATTATTAACAGCACAAAAGAAGTGGATTCTGCTTCGTTTCGCCACCGTGGAATATAGGTCTTTACAAAAATTACCAGAAGAACTTCTAGCTAGGATACCGATGTTTGTGTGATAATTATGTCCTGCACACAGCCAAATGCTCTTGCAGCCCATCTTGAATCAACTATCTGGAAACATCCATACAATAGCATGCTACGGCCGATGATACCAAGACTGGCCTTCCTGGCCCGCATGCGAGTATTCCGCAGAAACTACAAGGTTCTAGCCTTGGAGTCGTCGTGTGACGACGCCTGTGTTGCCCTTCTTGAGAAGGAAAGTCCTCACAAACCTCCCCTAGTGATTGACCAGTTCAAGAAGACTCTTCTGTCAGCAGAAAACGGCGGAATAGTGCCCACTGCAGCCCACGACTTCCATCATGCCACCATGGCACCCTTGGTTGACGAGTTTTGTCAAAAACACTCCCTTAACTTTGCAACTCCGCCTGATTTGATATGCTGTACCCGAGGACCAGGCATGACTGGATCACTCAGCTCAAGCATACAGTTGGCCAAGGGCCTCTCGATGGCATGGCAGGTTCCCGTGGTTGGTGTTCATCACATGTTGGGCCATATCTTGGTATCACAGCTTCCAAAAACAAGCCAGCCGCTTCTCGAACCACCCCAGTATCCATTTCTAAGTTTACTCTGTAGCGGGGGCCATACGATGTTGGTGCTTCTGAAATCCATAGTGGACCACGAGATTATCATAGACGTCAACGATATCGCTGCGGGAGACTCTTTGGACAAATGTGCTCGAGAGTTAGGACTCTACGGGAACATGTTGGGAAAAGAATTGGAAAAGTACGTGGATTCCATCCCCTTGGACACTCGCAAGGAGTACCATGAAATCAATACCAAGGTCAAAACCAACCCATACAACCTCAAATTGGGCCTTCCGTTCAAGGGTCCAAGGGACCCAAAGTATCCAGACCCTATTCACTTTTCATTTGCATCATTCAAAAGCTCTATACAATCATACAGGAAACAGCACCACGGCGATCAACCCTTCGACGAATCCACCAACCAATTCTTGGCGTACAAAATCCAAGAGACGATCTTTGATCATATAATAGACCGTATCAATACCGCGTTCACCATGCATGGATCAAATACCGCCATATATCCCGAAGCAGACTCCAAATTTGTGGGAGTAAGGGATCTAATCTGTTCTGGGGGTGTTGCAGCAAATAGCAGATTAAGGCACAAATTGAGTCAAGAGTTGAAATTTAATGAATGTTTGGAAACCGAAGATAAGCTAACATTCCATTTCCCCGATTTGCTGCTTTGCACTGATAATGCTGTTATGATTGGAGTTGCAGGAATAGAACTTTTTGAAAAGTTACGCATCAAAACCGACTTGTCAATGTTGGCAATCAGGAGATGGCCCCTAAATGAAATTATGAAGGTAGATGGTTGGACTGAGATCAACGAAGCCGAATTTAAGAGCATTACGAGATATAGGTGAGAGAGAAATACTTGTACATAGAATGAAAGGTTTTCTTAGGGAAACTACCTAGATAAACTCTTGAGCTATATTACCAGGAAGTGCGGTAATTAATCTGTAGTAATTGGCAGTGTTCAAAGTACTTGCATTCCAATAACAGGTATGTGACGAGTTTACATTAGTAAAACTGGTTAAAAATTGTAGTATTCTATGCTATTCTTTCGTGGTTCCGGTGTTTTTCTGGAAACTAACTATTGTAAATTGTCCTATTGTAGTCTGTAGTCCTTGATCAATTCCTTTATTGGTTGTAAGGTACTGAGTATTTGTCAAAATGAGCTGATCTAGACCAAACTAGATGGATATCTGAAGATTTAAAAAATCCTAAGAAATCGCTGGCATGAGCACGCTAGTTTTCGAGATCTTCTTCGGGGATGGAATCGGCCATCTCACCTCTTTCTCCTAGAAAAGACTCCTTAATGTCGTATGTTTTAATCAAATTTGCCCATGTGTTATAGTCCAATGACGCAACATGATGGTTGGTGGTGGTTGACTCACTTCTGTTTCTAACCTCTTGGAACTCCCACGGTTGGACTCCATCCACGTAGGGTATTCCATCTTCCACATAGAGCTTTAATTTAGCATCTTTGATCAAGAAGCTGGTGAAGAACAAGTTCTCTACCGACTGAGAAAATGAGAATGGATTAATGAAAAACTTGAAAAAATTGATACCTCCAGACAAATCCTTCTTCCTATACGTCTCGTAAACGCTTCTCACCATGTATGCGGTATTCTTTTGTTCCTGGTCCGCCAGGATTTCGAGGGGTTGGACTTGTCTAGCAGTGGTGGTGGAGCTCAAAGTCTTTGTATCATCGATATTTCGTTGCCTCAACGCAGGCTTCTTTCTCTCGGTGGAGAGGGGCCCATTCAAAAAGTCTGTCAGGACCACTTTTTTAGAAACGTTGTAGTAGAGGGCTCCGAGCTTCAACCAGTTGAAGGAATTGAACTTTTCTTCGCTGTTGTCATTTGTTTGTGTTTCCGAGTCTTGGTCGTTAGACTGAGGTGAGATGCTAGCATCGTAATCTTGCTCCAACTGCTGCTCGGTCTTCTCATCGTTCAAGTAGGCCTGTAGCCTGATGACAAAGTCTCTCTGGTTCAAGGAAATGCCCGAGTCTCCAACCTTCAAATTCTTGGAATTTGTGGCCAAGAAATTGGCTGTTTCGTGGAGAAGCTCCGAGTCTTTGAGATGGATGGTGGTATCGGTGATCTTGTCTTTCTGGACAGTGCTGTAGATGCGGTTCAACTCTTGGAGATGCTCCGAGATGAGGGCACCGGCTGTTCCTTTGTGGGCCTCGTTGTAGCCGTGCTTTATCTTTTGTTTCAAGAACTCATAGTCTTGGACGAGCTCGTTGCTGTTGCGTCTCTTTCTCTCTGGCTCCTCCATGGTATAATGTTGTAGCTGTTTTTGTTAGATGATCGAATTAATTGTTGCGATAAATTCTGATTCGGTCAAAAGCTCACTTGAGTCGTCTAACAGTACGCTGGCAGTGGTAGGTGGTCTCAGGGGTGATAACAGTTTCGTGGGCCTGTAAGAAACACCACTTGTTGCAGACTGTTGCAGTGCTTAATTATTCCTATCTGTTGCTGTGGGACACTCAGGAACTCTGAAGACTATACTCTGACAGCCTAGTAGCACCTCTCTGCTTCTCTTCCGGATATCCTGGCCGTGATCTATGGTATAGCTTTCTGATCCAGGCGTTTTCTGGAATGGATTTGTACGCGACATCTACACCCATCAAACTCCACCAAGACGCGCCATGGGAGCTATTCACAAGTTGGATGCAGCAGTCATCAACAAGATTGCGGCTGGTGAGATCATCATCCAGCCTGCCAATGCGCTCAAGGAGATGTTGGAAAACTCGATCGACGCCGAAGCCTCCATGATCGATGTGGTGGTTAAGGACGGCGGCCTCAAGTTGCTCCAGATCACCGATAACGGGAGTGGCATCAACAAGGAAGACTTGGGGTTGCTCTGCGAGAGGTTTGCTACCTCCAAGTTGGCCAAATTTGAGGACTTGGAGTCCATTGCCACCTATGGCTTTCGTGGTGAGGCCCTAGCCAGTATTCTGCACATCTCACGGGTTTCTGTCATCACCAAGACCAAAGATACCCAGTTGGCATACAAGGCGTTCTACACGGGCGGAAAGATGGTGGGGCCCAACTTCAAGGCGCTGGCACCAGTGGAGCCCAAACCCATCGCAGGAAAGGACGGGACCCAGATCATCGTGGAGGATTTGTTTTACAACCTCCCCTCCAGAGCCAAGTCGTTGAAGTCCAAGTCAGAGGAGTACTCCAAGATTGTGGACGTCATAGGCAGATACGCCATCCATTCTGCTGGGGTCGGAATCACCTGCAAAAAGTTTGGCGACTCCAATCATGTGATAGCCACACGGCCAAACCTCCCCATCAAGGAACGGATCAGAAGCATTTTCGGCACTGATGTGGCCAGCGAGCTCATCGAATTTGATGTAGAAGCTAACGAGGCCTTGGGTTTGGTGAAGGCTAACGGCGCAATCACTTCCCCCAACTATGGCAGCAAAAAGAAGGCACAACCGGTATTCTTCATAAACCATCGTTTGGTAACCTGCGATCCACTAAAACGGGCTATCAATTCTGCATACCAAATATTTTTACCCAAAGGAAATCACCCATTTGTGTATCTTAGCTTGGAAATCAACCCGAAAAATGTGGACGTAAATATCCACCCTACAAAGAGAGAAGTTAGATTCCTACACGAAGAAGAAATCATTGAACATATAAGCGGGGCAATCCATACGAAATTATCGGATGTGGATACCTCAAGAAAATTCAAAACTCAAACGCTTCTAGGGTATGCCGAAAAGAAAAAGAATGACGACTATGAATTAATGACAGGATTAAAGAAAGCAAGACAAGAGAACAAGCTTGTACGGGTAGATCCCCTGCAAATAAAAATCAGTTCATACCTCTCACAACAATCCAAAGGAAATTACATTAGTCAAGTAAACAAGGAATTGAGAAGCGAGACCAGCTCTGTCTTACAAGAAGCGACTGAAAAAAGACCCACAAGGAAAAGGCTGGCTGCAGTCCTCACAGAGTCAACTGGAGATGGCCATGAAGAAGCAGAAGAATTATTAGAAGATGTCGAGAATGTTGAGGAGGTGATCGAAGATAAATCTATAGAAGAAGATGATGTTCCACACGAAGTCATTAATAATGAGGAAACTATTGAGCATATAGAAAATAAGCTTGAAAGTGAACCGGGAAGTCCAGATGAGTCCCAAATCACCATCACCGACCACCCCAGGGTCAAGGTGAATTTGGACAGTATCAAAGAACTCCAGAAAGAGTTGAGTGATGAAGTTCACAAGCCGTTGACGAACATCTTCAACAACGCTGTCTACGTGGGAGTTGTTGACGAAAAGAGAAGGCTCTGCTGTTTCCAATACGACGTGCAGTTGTACCTCTGCGATTACGCCTCGACATTGCTTGAGTTTTACTACCAGGTGGCACTAGAGGAATTTTGCAACTACGGCACCATCGAGTTGTCGGAGCCCGTTCTGCTCGACGAGTTGATGGAGCCTTTGCAGTCGATGGACGTGCAGCCAAGGCAGGTGGTGTACGAAAAGCTTGAATCCATGCTGGATATGCTTCAGGAATACTTTCACATCACCATCAAAAGGCATGCGACCGGGTTGAAGTTGCACACCCTTCCCATGCTTCACAAGCATATCCGGCCTGTGCTCTCGAAGTTGCCCTACTTCATCTACAGATTGGCCATCCGGGTCAACTACGACGAGGAGAAAGCCTGCTTGCACGACGTCATGCGCCAGATAGCCCTTCTATACCTTCCCGAGCCTATCGAATCCGAACTTCCACCATCATCGTCGTCGCAACCAGTCCGCGAATCGTCGGCTGGGTCGAAAAAAGCCCACTTGGAAGATCTCTTGGAGCACGTCTTGTTCCCGTTGATGAAGCAGCGGTTCCTCGCCACCAAGGCATTGCTCAATGACGTTATCCAGATTGCAGATTTACCTGGACTCTACAAGGTGTTTGAGCGCTGCTAACCGAGGCCATTGGTGGCCATTGGTGGCCATGTGATTGCCAAGTTGGGGTATTCAATGACATTTTCACAGTCTGATTGTTGGCCCAAAAATGTCGTGAAGTCGCAATCCCAATCGTATAGAAATAACCGATCGCGTAGCCCCACCAGTAACATTCTTACCAGCCGTGTGCAAAGGAATCGTAAAGAAAGTGGTAGTGTCACAGAGCAGTCTAGCTGCGTTTCAGTCCGTGCCATCCTCGCCAATCTCGTTCTTGAACCCACCCAATCGCTGATCTCCCCCACCTACTGGAACGTCAATCACAGGCCTCCATCTACAAACAACCGGGCGAATTCGACGCAATAGCATCCACTCAGCTACGTTCCTACAACTAGTATGGAAGACATCATCACATTGAACTTGGGAGGATTTCCCAAGGATGTGTTGGACTTCCAGGAGTCGTCCATCTACCTCCAACAGCTTCTCTTCATTGACTACCAGCTCCAACTCTTGATCCAGAATGAGTTTTCTGGCAAGCAATTCGTCTCTGCAGGCCACTTTGAGCTCCAGGGAGTCTCCCAGCCAAGAGAGAAGTTGCTCCAGTTGATCAATTACGTCACCAATGTCAACGGCACTTACAGTGAGGAATACAAGACGGTGGTCGAGAAGTTCTACTTCAATATCATCATGGCCCACTTGTTCTACTTGAACTCCCAGCTTGATGAAATGGCATACCAGCTCGACCTCATCCACGCATCAGCATTAACCCCCTCCACCAGCCAGCCGTACAATGAATTTATCGAGTTTTTGATTTGCAGATACCATGTCGTTGGCTCATATGCCAGCAATTCCTCAAGCAAATTGATTGACTACTTGGTATGGTACAGAAAGCCTTTCAAGAAATCGCAAATTACAGCTAATAACTGGCTCGATCTATTGTACTTGAGATTGACTACTCTTTTGACCCACGATGGAACTGGAAAGTTATCATTCCACGACATCCAGTCATTGAATTTCGCAAGAAACTCCATTGCGGTCATAGGCTATGCCAACTACTTGGTAAAGACCAGTGTCCTTTCATTATCGTCTAACCATATCGTCGATTCTTTCAAGTCAGAGTACTCGGCGTACTTGACTTCGTCGATCAACCTGAAGATAGCAAACAAGTTGGAATTTCCAAAGTCTGATGAATCTTCTAGTTCAGAGAGTGTCTTGAATGGTCTTGGTCATGGTTTATCTAGCGTGAGTGGCCAAGAGCATGATCATGATTCGATCAAAGAAACACCATCCCAACTTAATGACTTCATCTACAACCTCTATGAAACCTTAAACCAGGTCCCCTTCAATTACACTATCATTAAGCCATCCTTGACGAAGAAGTTTTTGATTAACTCGACACTCAAAACCTATCAAAGTCAAACGGTTTTGATTAATCTTATAAAGGTATTGGGTGAATTGGAAGAATATGACGAAGCACTTGCAGCTTTTAAGACATTAAGAGATTATATTGAGGCTGATTTAAAACAACATGAAGGCAATTTCGATGACATCCTTCAGATCATTGATATTTACTCCACATGCCTCATTAAGTTCAACCCTTTGAACACCAACAGGACCAAGGGTTTCAAATACACTTCCGAAGACAAAGTCTTGGTTCTCTTGGATGAGTACGCCAAGGAACTACTCATCTACTTGGACGTAGTCAGAGACTCAGTTGGTTTGACATACGATGAAACCCACGATACCGAATCTTTCAAAGGTGGACAGAAGGTGGAGCCAAGTAGTGGGCTTTTATCCTTTTTGTTCAAAAAGTACAACGTCAACATCTTGCTCTCGGACCATTCCCACTTTATTGAGTTGGTTTCCCAAGCATGGTTTAGTTTGGGCTACTACCACTACTACTTGACTATAAACAAGTCTTCAACCTATCCCCTACTCGAGGCCCATAAGATGAAGGTCATCAAGTACTACAAAAACAGTTTAATTGTGAACTCCACTGGTAACCCTGAATACTTGTTCAACTATGCCTTATCGTTATCTTTTGATGGACACTTGAAGGAAGCTTTAAAATTGTGCAAATTTATTTTGAAGAAATATCCGGAGTCTTTCAAAACGTGGAATTTGATGGTTTTGTTGTTGACATCTTTCGAAGCTAATGATCCAGATTTTGTCAAGTCCGATAAGCAAAATGCTTCAAATGGGTACTCTAATGGTACACATGAAGCCATTGGTACCTTGAATGGAAATGGAGCTTCTAATGGTAAAATTTCCGAGAGCCAAGCCCCACTCAAAGAATCCGAAAAATTTATAAATAATGCCCTTAATATCGCAGGATTATTTATTGCCAAGCATCATCAAAGAGACGTCAAGTTAACTACCGAAGCCAAATATGAAATACTTCAGTTGAAATTGACTCAATTGGCAGTTTGGGAATCGATTTATGGAGTCCAGTATATCTTGGAATTTCTTTCGGAAGTCTTCATGCTTTTTCATGAGCTTTTCACAGTTGATCATACACAGCCAAAAGAACCAACCAGGACTTTAATTCCAGTTGCTCATGATTCAAAGTGGTCGCATCGTCCAAGTTTCATTGACCCAAAAATCGAGCCTCCTCATGCCAATGGTTCTTCCAAACCTAAGGATCTCACGAGAAGACTTTCCAGAATGGGTAAACCTAACGCTGTCGACACAGTAGAAGGTTTGAAGAACCTAAGCTTAAATCACAACAACAGATCATCTCTTACACACCATGCTACCACTGAAAGTCTTGCTCAGAAAGCCACGACTACAGAGAAGAAAATTTTGCAAGACCTTTGGTTATGGACCAGTAAAATTTACTTGAAGATTGGAATGTTGGAAGAGTCTGAGCAGTGCATTGTGGAGGCTGAATCTATTTACGAGCCAAACGTCAAGACTTTCACTATGTTGGGGTACTTGACTTCCAAGTCCAGAAAGTTCTTGTCTTTGCAAGAGTTGGAGAGATCAATTGAAAAATTGAATAAGGATCCTCACAATAAGATCGATTACGGCAACACATTGTTGGGATTGTGCAAGCTTTTCATCATCGACGATGAAGCTGAGAGGTCTTTGTTTATTTCCAGTAAGGACCGTGATGCTGGAATAATAAGGTTGAAAAATTGTCTTGAGGCATACTCTTTAAGCTGGCCCTATGGTGCCAACAATCTGGAGGTATGGTACTACTTGTCTAAAATTTATGAGATTATTGACGACAAAACCTTATTGACCAAGAGCTTGTGGAAGTGTGTTGAGCTTGAAGATTTCAGACCTGTTAGAGGATACGAAATTGCCGATAGTTTCAAGTACTAATTAGTCAGCTCGTTTGTGAGGTTTGACTTGCCTTTCTTTCTATCTAGATCAAGATCTCAACCTGTATTTGAAGGGAACTTCTCGAATAGCTTTGCTCTCCAGATTCATTTATTGTGGCAAGCACACATTAAATGATTCCATTCCACGTCTGCCGCTGTACTTATCAAATGGTCCATTTGCCTGTTGTATGTAATATTTAGGCTATTATACAACAACTATTAGTATTAATTTAGGGTTTCTCTAACGAGTGTTGCGATTTCGGCTGAGAAGTCTCTGAGCTCCACTTGGCCCGATATATTTGTCAAATGAAAATGTCTAAGATTTTCATCGTTACAGCAATTTAATTCGTTCTACCAGCATCCTCCACCAATGTAGTAAGAATACTTACATAGGTTGATTATTATTTACTCAACTTCGACAGTTTGAGAGTTCCAGTCAAAATCGGAGTATTCGTATTTACTTCAAACTTAGGAAATAAACTTGAATAAAGCAGATCAACAAGATTGCAATAATCTTTGTCACTAAAACTTCGTATGTAGCTGAAATTGATACAGGGGGTGGCAGTTCAAGCCTGCTCCATACTAATTATTACATTGACAATCATGCTCAATTTCGAATTTCCAGCGGATCTATAGAATCAAAAATTCATTTTTTACGACAAGCACCTAAGTCAAAGGTTCTGACAATAGGCAAATTATACCAGTCGATCAACTGAAACCTCTAGTGTAGAGTGTGTAGTGCTATTCAGAATTGAATTGTTTCAGACAAGTTCACCTATTCATCAGAAGTGCACGCGCACTACTCTTCCATGGCACAAAAGATTCTTCACTTGATTCTTCTTCACCAACAATCAATATGACTGAAGTGTTGCCTAAATCTACCTTATACTGTGGTGTATGTTCGTACCCACCGGAGTACTGTGAATTCACTGCCACCTTCAAAAGATGTAAAGAATGGCTCTTGAGCAACCACCAAGAAGTGTATGAGAAGCTCTACAGTGACGAGGCTTTGGCCAACCAAACATCCACGTTGTCGTTAGAAAAGGAGCAGAAGATGGAGCAGGAGTTGGAAAAGAAGCAGAAGAAAGAGGAGGCCAAGCAAGAAAGAGAATTGCAGAAGAAATTGTCCTCCAAGGTTACCATCAAGCGGATCGAGAGAAACAAGAGAAAGCACATCATTTCCATATCGGGATTGGAGGTGTTCAACATCGACATGAAGAAGTTGTCCAAGACTTTTGCATCTAAGTTTGCCACCGGGGCCACGGTCACCAAGAACGCCGAAAAGAAGGAAGAAATCTTGGTCCAAGGAGATGTGAGTAACGAAGCTAAGGAATACATTGAAAAGTTGTTGGAAGAGAAGGGGTTGAACGAAGTCAAGGTGGAGCAGATTGACGACAAGAAGAAGAAGAAGGCCTTGGAAGCCGAGGCGGAAGCTGCCGCAAAGGCCGGCAAGAAGTAGACGACCGGGAGGCACATATAGCAGAGCTATAATTCATGCTCATGAAATATATATGTTGAGGTAGTTCATGAATAAATACGATGTGATGAGGTGCTCATTAAATATGTCGAGGTGCTCATGAAAAAGGTATACGTGGTTCATTAATGAAATAAATAGGATGAAGTGTTTAATAAAAAGTATTAGGTTTTCATGAATATGGGTGTAATAGCTCATGAAGACTTTCTCATAAAATATGAGGTACTTCATGGATATCAATGTTAATGAATTGGAATAATTAAAGTATTTAATCTATGTAGGTGCTCATCAAATATTTTTATGTTCATATTCAAAATATCGATACTTCATTAAAAGAATATGGTAAGTTGGGTGATTCTTATCTTAAAGATTTGGAGGTGATGTCGATGTGTCAATAAATATCTCGAAGTGTCTGATGAAATAAATATGATGAGGTACATACCCCCAGGTGGTCTTGAAATATGTTCAGTGGCTCATATCGTGTTATTCCTCATCTACATTTGCTGACTGGCGTTATCGTGATTAAGGTCATGAAGCTGAATATAATAAATAGAGTCAAGGTAATACAAAGTGAAAGAAAGATCAGGATAATTGGATGTCTGGTGAGGAGATTGGCCAATCAGGAAGTAGGAGATGGCTCTGGCTTCGAAAGGATCGGGACTTTCGAGATTGTCTTTTGATAACGGCCGGTAGTTTGACCGATCAGAAATTGGGGCTGCTTCGCAACGGGTGAAGGACCATCACGATACATATTTGATGATTTCACCACCACGAGCAATTGAGAGGTCTGGACCATCCACAATTGGAGTTTGATGGTGACCCTCACAACTGGAGTCTGCTGGACCACTCGAATCGGAGCCTGATGGTCCCACGAGAATATTTCTGTTGATGGACCGCCCAAGGAGCCTGCCTGTCTACGAGAGCAACTTGGAGATACTGGGCACCTTATCCTGGGAGGGCTCTGGCTTGGGCAACGAGCTGATCGACGGAAGCTTGACCTCGTTGTCGGAAAGACTCAAGCTGTGGAATGTAGAGATGTGGTCACCTGCGGCGGCTAGCAGAGGCGACCCAATTTGTTTAGATGCTGCATTAGGAAGGGGTGCTGTGGAAAGCGACGATGAGGAGGATGAGGTTTTGAGGTGGGAAACGGCCTCTTTGGTCAAATCGGTGTAGCTGGTATGGACGCGGGATGACTTGTTCAACGCAGGTACGCGCAACTCGCTGGAGGTTGCAGGAGTGGAGAGAAGGGGAGGCAACACCACTTCGGAATCTTTTTTCACAAACGATGGGTTGTTAACGGCGGAGGTGGTGATGGGAATGGAAAGGGGGTTTCGTGTGGTGGTGGGAGGCGACACCGACGACGCGCCTGACGAGGGGGCCGAGGTGGAGGGGGGAGGCACCTTGGCCATTCTGGAGACTGGGGCCGTGGCCGAAGGTGACAATGCGGAGATGGAGGGGGGTGGAGGGGGAGCAGCGGCGGCAGCTGCAGCTGCCGTGGACGGGCTGGAGGTGATGGGGGTGAGCAGCGGCACCACCCCTGTTGAGGACGAGGCCGAGGATGTGGTGGCAATGGAGGGGGGGAGGATGGACGCGCCCATAGCGAGCGGCATGGGGGGCGAGATGAGCTGGCTGGGGGCAAGCTGGCTGGGGGGCATCTGGGCAGCTTGGGCGTGGGCCACCTGGGCAGCTTGGGCATGGGCCACCTGAGCAGCGTGGGCATTGGCAGCAGCATTGGCCGCGTGGACATTTGCAGCCTGCTGGCGCTGGAGAGACATCTGCTGGTTCTGAACAAGCTGGGGCTGGGGAGCAGCGGTGGCTGCGTACACCACCGAGCCGTCGCTGGCAATTACCGGCTGGAGCGACACGAGCGACCCGTACGGCGACTGGATGACGGTGGTGGCTGGCAACAATGGGTACCCCTGGGGAGGCTGCTGGTGGGTGTTGAGCGGGAGGTATGCCTGGGGAAGCGCCTGGGCCGCCACCGAGGCTGCCTGCGATGGCGGACTGTTGGTGGTGCTGGACGGCTGTCCCTGCGGGTCTGCATCATCCACCTTGTCCTGGCGCAACGATTGGTTGAACTGGGCCATGCGCAAGGCATTGCGTGCAGTGGAGTCGAGGTTCAAGTAAGCACAGTTGAGCTTGCCCTTGAGGCAGTTGAGGCACGCGGGAAGTGTCTCGTCACACTTGATACGCCGCTTCTTGCAGGTGCCACAGCCTAGGTGGGAGTTGCGATGTTTTCGGCGCGAGTTCTTCTTCTTCTTCTTGGTGACAGACGCCTCGGTGGTCTTGGAGTCAGGAATGGTGGTGGACGACCCGTTGGTGTTGGCGCCACCAGCAGTACTGCCAGAGGGGCCAGCGGCCATGGCAGGTGTTGGGAATTGCGGCTGGGGGGCAAACGAAGCGCCAGTTGCGGGAGGATAGTCGCTGGTGCTGGTGGTGCTGGTGGTGGTGCTGGTGGTGGCTCCAGCCTCACTAGGGGGCGACGCCGTGGCGGACGAGCCCACGGGAGGCGGCTCCTCTTGCTGGGTCAGGTACATGGTTGTGGTGGTGGTGGTGGTGGTGGGCGCCAGAAAACAAAGTGATGTAAAAAATAGGCTTGCGCAAATCGTTAACGTTGGCGGTACCTGAGAGGCTGGGCAGTAAATATACGATGACAACTGGGCTCTATGCAAGATGCAGTGCAAGAGAGCGGATCGGAAGCAATACGAGGGAGGGGAGCGTCCGGGACCTGTACGGGGTGGAGGGCACGGCTTGCGGCAGCTTGGGGGTGGAGGCAGACCCTCGCGGTGTCAGAGGGTGCGGGGGGGGGAGGCGAACTTGGCGTACCTTAGTGGGTTTACGGTATTCGTAAATGCTCACCCACTATGAGGCTGTGTCGGGTCGACATACGAGCGCTCGGAACATTTGCCGGCCGACGTCATAAGGTACACATCTGTCACGCCTCATGCTATTGGAGGGCGAGGGAAAGGGTTCATATCTGGCACGTGAGATCAGCGTGGGGGTTATGAGCGGGGACGGCGATCTGGCGATTCCACGTGTGCGCGGGTGGGGGGCCTGCCCTGAGGACCCATCCTTCACCACCATTGCGATGCGATCCTCCCAGTTTGGTGCCCTATCTCCGACCTGGTCCCCCCACCCATTCCAGTTGTCATGCACGGGTGCAGCAGCTGACACCCTAGCTTTTTACGCCTGCAGCGTATTTTCTGCGTTTTCTGTCAGTCTCGCCTACACGCCCACCCACACGTGAGCGGCCCTGCTAGTTCATGCTGCTCGGCAGCGGGCCGAGCTAGCCGCCGTGCATGCCACACTCGTATTCGGCTCCAACCCCGATCTCCCGCGCTTTTTGTCGGACTAGCAATCGTATCTGGTGATTCGCTGTCGGTTTTCCCGGCTGGTGGCCTGAGCCCCGCAACAGTCCCAGCACTCCCTCCATGGTGCCCCCAATTGCTGGCCTACAATCGCTTCCCCTGCAATATCCTCGCTCACCCCTCCCGCAGATGTAGCCACCCTGCACGTCCTGCAGCGTCTGCTGGTGCCCCGTATTCTCGTACTTGAGTCGTATTTTTACATGCCCAACAATTCGGATGTGGAATCTCCTAAGCGAGGTTTTAGCTGGCACAGACATGGAGGCGACGTTTCCGGCCCTAGCGGCCGACGCCGAGGTTGCAACACCATTTAACGGATCCAGCCGAGATTTCAAAGCCTCTCGGATGTCACCCATGGGCCCACTCTCGAATCTGGGCCTACGCTGACTAACCATTTGTAAACCAGTTTCACCCCGGCCAGAGAACTGCATTGGGATGCCTGCCCGGGGCTTTGACGCATAACACAGATGCACGACATTAGATCACGTGCTTGAGCGCACGTGGTTAGCGTCATGTGATGTGGCATCGATTTTTCCCGGCCCAACTCCAGTTCCTTCCTACCAATGGCCAAAACCAGAAAGCCCCAGTCAGACCAGGAATACGCTGCCCAGAGGGACCTATTCCACTCCAAGGGCCCTCAGCTCAATACCCAAGACTGGCTCCTGGAGAGAGTCCTTCAAGATGCAGACTCCATCGATCCAGAAACCAAAACCGACCGGGTGGTACTCCTTCAAGCCTGCGAAAAGGCGTACTACCAACAGGACTATGAGTTGTGTCTCGTGTTGGTGAGAAAGGCAGAGGCCATCTTGGGCGTGGAGCCGTTTAGTGAGCACAGCTTGGACGAGGATATCCAGAAGAAGGTCAAGAAAACCGCCAAATTGGAGAGGCATGTGGTCGAACTACACAAGCTCGAAGAGAGATGCTTACATAGACTCAAGGAGAGTGCATGAGAGTGTTTTCGGCCAGGAGCTGGAACTTCTTCTCGTTGTGGGTACCATATTTGTATATATTTATTCTGTGTGTCTTTCCAAAAATATTTTATTAAATTAATAGGTGATTTGATTACACGTTCCAAACTTAATTACACCAACGCCCAACACGAGAAAATAACTGCTCGACCGTTGGAAAGTAGCCATTTACGTCGCCAATCCGAGAGTACCGTTTAGTAATAATTGTGTTATCTTTATTATTGCCTAGAGACTGTGGTATGGATAATTAGCCCATTCCTTGGGGGATTTTGTGTCTTCTATCCTTTTCCAATTCTAGACCTCGTCGTGTTACCCTCTATATCATGACTCCCTTTCTGCATATCAATGCTTCATGCGTAGAACCAACAACATCTCAGTGAAATCCACCTTTGTTCCATATTCTCGATTCCACCAAAATGGCAAAGCCTTCCAACTTTCGTCCTCTCAATCTCCTTACCTTCTTTCGTATTCTCAATCCACTTACTTTCTATCCTTTCGTATCCTCAACTCCACATAACTGACCATCCTCTTCTTGTACACACTTTCGTGGGCTTCGTCTTCCTCGTCGACCACCTCATCCAACACTTCTACACTTCCAGTGTAGTACCCCACGCTGTAGCCCAACTTGTCATCGAATGTTCCCCCAATGCCCAATGTCTTCTCCATGGCTTTTCCCATACCTTTGACCACCACAGTATCCGAACGGGTCCTGGTGAACATCTTGTCTATCCGCTTGACTGCAGACACAAACGGCGTGGACAGCTTGACAAGGAAGGTCGTACTCTGCTCGCTATTCGTCTTAAGCGTGGTATTCGGGCTGTGCTTGATGAGAGTCATGGTGGAGTCCTCTCGAGGATGAGATGGGTTATATATGCGTGCACGTGATCGGAATGACGGCTTACCTTGATATTGGTTACTAGCCCCACAATTCCACCTGGTCGATCGTAGCTGCCATCTCCTATCTTCCTTATCGGTATTTGTACTTGGCCCGGCATTTCTGACCACATTGAGCCAGATTTGTCATGGCCCATAGAGAATCCGTCCTAAAATACCATTTAATCTGAGTCGCAATTTCTGATCTACATACTACGGGAGCAGCTTGATACTGTCATCAGCATCTATATTCTTGCTTCGTAGTGACTGTGAAACTCTCCTGCCGATTCGCCTGTAAAAATGGAAATTATTTAGTAGGAGCAATTTTTACAATATAACATCCGTTTTACCATACTCCGAGAACATCCATATTACCAAAAATGTAACAACTATCTTCGTACAATTACCCATGCCCCCTAATGTTGTGTTGGTTACTCCAGATAATGGAGGCATAGCACGGTTAGGAGGTAGGATGCTGGAACGGATAAAAGCGCCATAAAGACTCCCCTCGTCTCAAAAAAACCTGTTTTGCTTGCTTCTCCTCAAGAAATCCAATTCTCGATCTTACTTTACACCCACAATTAACCACCCGTTGCATTGCATTTCATGCCCACTATTCACCACCCATAAAATCGTGACTTATTCAATCCCATTCCTGTTCATTCGCATAAAATCTGTCTGCAATATAACGCGTCGCAGCGCATCCACACCGATTTGCATTACTATTTATTACCACCAATCGTCACTGCCAGCCATTTCCTGGCCATTCCAGCTGAGTATCTACCGTTCTTCCCGTCATCGCGCCATGTTTGAGTCCAGAAAACGTCTCAGAGATGACTATGAAGACCACTACCTTCAGAGGACCCAGCGCCAAATGATCCACACTGAGGCCCATCTCCGAACAGTGGAGATCTTGATGACAGCACAGGCAAGAGCATCCAAGGAGCCAGTAGCAGATGCGCCCCTGCCAGAAACCCCAGCCGACCAAGATTCATGTTCGTCGTCCTACACCCAGAAGCCTTTCTGGCCAGTGATCAACCGCGTCAAGAGCTGAGTAGACGACCCTGCCATAGCGGCTACATGCCCCAGCAGGACCCACCCGTCTGCACCATATCCGTACAAACCCTCGTGGAGCTTGCAATGGCTTCCCAGATGCCCCAGACGCCCCATACGATCAAGCCAAGAATCTGAAACAGTGAGACTTAGTGCCCAGCCCACTCCATCATATCAACGCGTCCGCCTGAAATCGTTCACCACAACACAATGCTAGCAGCCACGAGAACAAGCCTACGGAGCCAGCTTCGAGTCGTCCGCCAGCGGCAAGTGCTACTCCACTCACCGTCCCCTCGTTTGGTCACCTTCCTGGCGAGATACATCCAGTCGTCCACCTCGTCCAAGTTCAACGCGGTGGTCGAGAACCTTGTCGAAGACTTGAAGGAAGACGGCGAGGAAAAGGGCAACAAAGACGACAAGGAAGAGGAAAAGACGTCCCGGCTCAAGGCATTCCTCCTCAAATGTGCGGAAACTGCAGGTATCACCTTCAGTTCCATCGCCATTCTTGGGTTTGCGGGGTTGTTGTACCACAAGTTCTACGGCCTCCACGTATTGGACAAGATCGACAAGTCCTTTGATGTGGGGGACCCTGCGTCCGAGCTCATCATGCATACCCGAACCCACCAGGCCTACGCAGACCACGAGGCCAGCCAGCACTGGGTAGAACGTCCCCAACAGAAACTCCTCGACGATATCGTCAATGGTGACATCATCGGGAGATACTTCCTCATAGTGGGCGAAAAGGGAACGGGAAAGACTTCATTGTTGTTGGAGTCGATTAAAAAAGTCAGTGGGTACAATGTCACCATGTTCGATGCCCACGCTGACCCTGAAATCTTTCGTATCAGACTTGGAAAGGCCCTCAATTTTGCCTACAGCGAGGACTACATCGGGTCTTTGTTCTCCATCAGAGGCCCTAGAGACACCACCGCCTTGCTCGATATCGAAAGAGCATTTGGAAAACTTGAAGAATTAGCCATCAAGAGAGTTGAAAAGACCAAGAAACCATTGATCATGGTGATCAACAATTCCCATTTGATCAAAGAGAACGAAGAAGGCATCAAGTTGTTAGAGTTGCTCCAGCAGAAGGCAGAGAGCCTCAGTAGCTCGGGTTTGGTCACTATAATCTTCAACAGTGATGACTACTGGGTGTACGAAAAGCTTAAGAAGTTGGGAACCAGATTGGAGTTGATCAACGTCCGTGATTTCACCAGAAAGGAAACTGTTAGTGCCCTTAAATACATCAGACATCGGTTCTTTCCTCAACAAGAATTCAAATTGAACGATGACCAGTGCCACCAGATCTATGACTTGATAGGAGGAAGACCTCAACACATCTCTCAAGTTGCAAGACATAGGGACATCATAAGGGCGTGCCACGAGATCATTGATCGCGAGAAAACTTGGTTCCTCAATCAGTGTGGGTTGTTGGGAATGACCATGGATGATGACGTTATGGAATTCGGAAAGTTCTCATCCAGTGCCATGTTGTTAATGAGGGAGTTTGTGCAAATGGACAGGGAACGTCAAAACAACTTGATCACTGGGAACTTTAGCAAGCAAGACCCTCATGCAAGCTATAAAGACCACCATCTCCCTGAGTTGCCTCTATGGAGAAGTAGGCAAATCATGACTCGTGCGGACTACATTCAAGCCTATGACAACTTGAATATCTTCACGTTGGACTCGGAATCCCGGGTCAAGGCCGATTCAGTACCGATGATGAGAGCTTTCCACGAAATTGCCTCGCAGCCTCACTTTGATGAACTTTTGGAAGATACCATTCAAAGGGTTGCCGATATCGAATCGCTCAATAGAACACGGGAGCTTGTTTCCAAAGACTTGAACTTGGGGTCCACGTACCGTATTTACAAAAAGGATAATCATTTTGAAGTGGGGATCAAGAAGGGGGCCAAGCATGTGGAAATCCACGGGGATTTTCCGGAGCCCCAGCTAAGTGCTGAACATGGACATGAGGTGGTGGAGGATGACGATGATGATGAGGAGCTCTATTTGGAGGATGTCAAGCGTAAGGACGTGCGGAAGTGGTGGAACAAAAGAATGCAGGGCTTTGATCACAAGCCCTTGACTGTCAGCAATGAGCACGATCTCGATTTGAATAGACGTTAGGTAAGAAAATATAGTAGGAGCAATCGAAGTCTATCATTCAACCATAGTAGAAACAATAGCCGAAAACTAGGCAGAGGCGTTTCAAGGCTTTGTAGGCTTGCGATAGTGGACCCAACTACAAAAGCATCTGCCTGGAGTGACTCACCAGTCGACTTTGCTCTGCTGCACTTTGTCGCTTCAACTGTCTCCTAATGAGATTTGGTGTAACTCTCCAATTACACATTATCCCTACTACTGAGACCCTCGAGACGACACGCCATGGGCAGCACAAGAGTCAACTGCTAGTTGTAGCACTCCCTGGGCCAAGAATAGTCTACCGGTTGATCCAGTCAGTCTGCAGTTGATCCACCGATAACAGAAATGCCACAATTGAAAACGGCCAAACTTGCCCAGCTTGGTGGTTGTGATACCAAGACCGAACACCCAAATCATGTTGCTGCAGTGTGGGTTTTCCTTCCGCATTCCAATGTCCTTCTTCACGGCTATTCTTACCAGCCGGGTGGGGCAATTGGTGCACATTTGCATATTTGCACCCAATGGCGCGCACGTGAGTGCTTTCTCCGCGGACTTTTGAGTCAAACTAAACGCCAACCTTTTCTAGCAGCCAAACATGACTATTTCCAGCAGCCCCATCAAAATCACCGCCAGAGAACACGTCCAAGCCTTGCTCGACCAGTACGATAACTTCCTTTTCGACTGCGACGGCGTGGTGTGGCTCGGCGAGACGTTGATTCCCGGGATGGTGGAGGCAATCGAGTACTTGGAGTCCAAGGGCAAAAAGGTGGTGTTTGTCACCAACAACTCGTCCAAATCGCGAGACGAGTACGTGGAAAAGTTCCATCGGTTAGGTTTCAAGTCGTTCCGGAAGCAGCAGGTATATCCCACCTGCTACGCTGCGGTTTCCAACCTCGACCAGTTGGGAGTCCAGCCAGGGGCCAAGGTGTGGGTATTGGGCGACGCTGGGATCATGCACGAGTTAAAGGAGGGCGGCTACCAGGCGTTGGGAGGCACAGACACCCGTTTAAACCAGGCGTTCGACCCGGACCATCCATTGTTGGAGGTGGACCCTGAGGTCCAGGCAGTGATTGTGGGGTCCACCAAGGACTTCAACTACATGAGGATAGCCCTGACTTTGCAGTACTTGTTGCACAACAACAAGAGCATCCCGTTCATTGGCGCCAACATCGATCGTACATACCCAGGCCCCCACGGGCTTATCTTGCCTGCGGGAGGCAGTGTGGTCAGCTACATGGAGTACACGGCCAACCGGACATTCTTAAACGTGGGCAAGCCCAGCACTCAGTTCTTGGACACCATCGTGGCCGAGAACGGCTTCGACCGCTCACGCACCTTGATGGTGGGCGACACCTTGTACACCGACATCAAGTTTGGCAACGACGGCAAGTTGGGTGCGGGCGCGGGGTCGTTGTTGGTGTTGACGGGGGGCACCAAGCCCGAGGATCTCGCCCACTTGTTGCATCTGCCTGAGGATTACGAAGACCCCCACAGCATGACTCCGCTGTACGTGATGGACTCGTTCGGAGCATTTGTGGACATTTTGAAAGGGTAGATCTAAGCATGAAAAGCGAGAACTGGAGAGGCCTAAAGGGCCAGGAGCCGAGCCCAAAAGTGCAAAAATGGCGAAGAGAGCCAAAGAGTGTCAAATCGGCCCAAATACCTTGAAAGATCCTAACCAAAGGAACGGGCCTATAAGAGCCAGAAGAGCCAGAAGAGCTCAAATTTACCCCAAACCTAGATTGACATAGACACCTCTATATTTATTCCAAAACCCATAATTTCCCCCGTAGATATAGGTGCCAACTACCGGAAAACCTCCCTGAATCAACGAAAAGTTCACTCCCGTAGCCCTGTCTCCATCCCATACCCCTCCAACCTACATCGCCTCGTCCTGGCCTCTGACGGGTCCTTCCTGCCTGTCTCCCTCACCAGTCTCAGTGGTGGCCAAAAAAAGCGTACACCATAGGGAAAATTAAATCAGAACCACTCCTGTTCGCCGCCATAATGATCAATTTCACGGGGCTGTCGAAGAAGCGAATAGTCAACTTGGGTGACCGTCGGACCGGGCCTGCGGGAGCCAACTTCTTGGAGCAATCCCGGCTCCAGCGTCTCCAGCGGGAAGAACAGAGGCAAAAAGAGAAAGCAGCCATACTATTACAAAGCAGGATCCGGAGATATCTTGCCTTAACCAGCGAGGCAAAAGCGTTCAGAGCTGACTGGCGAAGTCTTGCTCCCGACAGCCACTGGAGCCTGCGGTTCCAATTTGTGGCTAAATGGTGCTTTTCGTCACAGCCGCTCCCAGACACCCAAACCGATCTCACCATCTTATGGGACAAATTGGACGATTCTGGCATCAGTACCAGTGACGCCACCATCGTGTTGCACACGTTGGTGTTCTTCATCTACCAATCGGACCGTATTATCGCCAACGACCACGACAGAGCGAGTGTCATACACCTCGTGGTCCAGTGCATCAACAAGTGCTTGGACATCGTCCAGCTTTCGCCTGGTGGGTTGCAAGTGGTTGATTTGGACTCCTTCAGCCTCCATCTAATCGAGGGGCTCATAGCCTTCCTCAGACGCATGGATGGCCACGAACCCATCGATTCCGAGGTGGCATTAGTGTTCCGAATCAACTCACTTGTTCCATTGGCTGGCTTCATCCATTTGTTGAGTATCCCAGGAATCTTCAAGTCCATCGAAATAAACACCTCAGCCATCAATCTCCCAGTGGCAGAATTGAGCCAGCTTAGCCAATCTTCCCTTATCGATTTGATCACTAATTTCTTGGATCTCCATGGTGGTTCAGCATTCACCTTCCATGACTACCAAATCATTGGCGCCATATTCGATCACGTCAACTTTTCCATTCACCTGGTGGAATCCAGTGAAGACTATATAGACGATGATGACCACGATGCATGCTCCATTGCAGCTCCCGAGTCATCAATCCAAACCATACAGTTGCTCTACACAGCTTCATTTGTGAACGAACTAATGAACTACTTTCTCACCCACAAAGACACTCAAAAATCGGACACTGCCGTGAAAATCGTATCGGGATTGTTCATGTTGCATCCAAAATCACAATCCAAACTTAGTATGTGGATAACAATAACTCCAGGAGCCTTCAAGTGGTTTCATGATGAGTTAAAGAAATACGATATTTATCATCGTATTCAAAAAGTTCATGAGAACGGAAATGATTACTTGAAGTTAGAAGAGCTTCGCAGATTACTCGATTCCGACGTAGCCATGGAAGGTCTGGACCTTACTGGTGCTACCTCCCGTCTGAGCTTCTGGAAAGCCATATATGCATTCGAGGAATTATACTCATTCTGGCTTATAGTTTCAAATGACTTGGAAAGTTTTCATGACGACAAATTGAATTTAAAGGAAGCATTTGAATTTTTGAAGTTCTTAAGGGGGTTGTGTCTAACCCTTATTTTCATACCCCAAGAAAATGAAGGCGAAATATCAAGTATCACTGCAAAATTGAAGAATATATCTATTAGTTTGCTCAATCAGTTATATTTGAAGAACTTAAGATTGAAATTTTTACCAGAAAATTTTTGGGAACCAAAGCAAATTACCTTCAATATTGATTCCTTAATTCAGATAACTATTGAGGAAGAACAAAAGTCAGATGATGAAGATGCTGATATTGATGACCGCGATCTCCATGGGCCCGAATTCAGTAGTCCATTCGGTCAGAGCTCAAACTCAAGAGGTGTTTTTCTGTTCGGTAAAAGTGGTTCTTCCAATATAAGAAAACCAGCAGATCTCATTTCAAAGTTACAAATTTTAAAGTCCATTCCATTTTTCATTCCATTTAAAGACAGAGTAAAAATATTTCAGAGCTTAATAGAACTCGACAAACAGAATAGGAGACCAATGGACCATTTTTCTTTTATCCAAACCGATAAGCTTTCGGGGGATATTAGAAGAGAATTCTTGCTTGAAGATGCATTTAAGTCATTTTACGAAGTAGGTTCCAACTTCAAGAATCGGATTCAAGTCGTTTTCTACAATGAATATGGTGGTAAAGAAGCTGGTATAGATGGTGGCGGAATCACCAAAGAGTTTTTAACAAGTGTGGTGCAGGAAGGTTTCAATCCAAGCCATGAATTGAAACTTTTCAATGAAACCAGCGAGCACGAAATATACCCAAATAACGAGATTGGTCTCAACTTGACAAAGAAAATTGATACGGAATATCAACACTCTAGATTGAAGTACCTCAAATTTTTGGGCATGGTTATTGGGAAATGTTTTTATGAAAATGTCCTAGTAGATGTTTCATTTGCGCCTTTCTTTATAAATAAGTGGTGCAATGAGAATTTGAAAAACTCGATTAATGATCTTCGCTCGTTGGACAACGAATTGTTTCAAAACTTAATGAAACTTGAAAGAATGAATGCAGAGGAGCTCAAGGAACTTGATTTAAATTTTGCAGTCAACGAGAATTTGAATGGTAAGAGTCACGTCTTCGAAATATCCAAGAATGGTGAATCTCTACCCGTAACTGAGAAGAATAAACTCAATTACATCCACCAAATCTCAAACTTCAAACTTAATGTGTCATTGTACATTCAAACAAAATTCTTCATAGAAGGCTTGGAGGAGATCATTTCTCCCAACTGGCTAAAGATGTTTGACTCATTCGAATTGCAAATGTTAATTTCAGGAGGGGAGAGCGACGTTAATATAGATGACTGGAAGGACAATGTTGAATACGGGGGGTTCTTTGATGATGATTTGACCATACGTTACTTCTGGGAAGTTGTCAGAGAAATGAACTCGGAAGAGAGGTTTAAGTTGATCAAGTTCGTCACATCTGTCAGCAGAGCTCCATTATTAGGTTTCGGTTCTCTTTCTCCTAAATTTGGAATCAGAAATTCTGGGAGAGACATTGAGAGATTGCCCACTGCATCAACTTGTGTGAACTTATTGAAGTTGCCAGATTACCAAAATAAAAAGCTCATACGAGAGAAGCTTTTATACGCAATCAACGAAGATGCTAGATTTGATTTGTCATAGACGAGTGACTTATTCACAACAGACAAAGCAACATCGAAAGTTATAGAGCAGAATGAATTGCAAATACCCAATAGCGCATATGTAGACAAGAATTTGGAATGAAATAGGCAATGGATAATACAAATAACAATCCTTCACTAAATTAAGAGTCTTTTCGAATGAAGATTACTGCCAACATGAATAGCCAACGTTTAAAAGATTTTGATTGCTTTAAAGTGTGACCTATGTTATAATGTCATTCTTTAGTGAAAACCCTCTGTAGCTTACGTTGGATGGCAAAACCCTATACATAAATGTGCTGGGGTCAAATTAAGGGGTTACCAAATCCTTACACCCAAATTCTACGTTGTGTTCTATGCAATTCAATTCAATATAAAAGGATAAACCCGTAAAAGTACAGTAAAATATTAGGAATTAACCGAAATAAAGTTTGGCCAACACTCGGACTGGTTAAGCTCTGACCTTTCTCTTGTTCTTCAACAACACCTTTTGCTTGACTGCTTCAGACTCGGATTCAGATTCACTTTCCATTTCTTCGTCTTCACTCATCATGTCTTCAGATGCAATTTCAGCTTCTTGGTCTTCTTCCATAGCAGCTTCTCTGGCAGCCTTTCTTTCGGCCTTCAATCTCAACTCGACCTCTCTCATTCTCAACAATTCTGGGTTTTGTTCGACCAACTTTCTGTCAGCAGCTAACTTCTTCTCGGTGTTGCCTCTCATTCTGTTCTTGTAGAAGGCTCTCTCTCTCTTCTGTCTGATTTCCTCAACTCTGCCCATAGCCTTCAAGGTGGTGGCGACCAAGTCACGGTTGTATCTTACTGGAACGTTTCTTCTAGAAGCAAAAGTCAATGTAGAATCAACCACAAGTTCTTTACCAGCAGCCTTTCTGAAGGCCTTGGTCCATCTCAATTTACGTGGGTTACGACGTTGCTTGAATGACTTGTGGCACTTGGAACGGCAGAAACGGAACTCTTTGGCATCGTTTCTAACAAACATGATCCCGTGTAATGGATATACTGGGGACGAACAGAAATGACATTGATATACTCTCATTATGAATTAGTGTGGAAGGTGGGGTGGGTGGTGTGTATGCTTGTCTCCGTATGGAATCTTTTGTATGACCTCACCGGGAGTATTCAACCTTGTCAAATATAGGAATCACCGGTATAATAGTGTAAGGTGTAGTCTCATCTCTTCTGAATTTTTCATGATGATCAAATTTGGTGGTACTGCAGGTAACGAGATGAGTTACTGGAAGGGGAAGAAAGAGGTCCCAGGCCAAAAGTACACGGAGAACACCAGGAGAACGCTGCTGGACGGGCTTGGTGGGGTAAAGGTACATGCAAGCTGGCCATGGCCGAGTACGGGTCCATCAGCACCTTCTGCTTCCCGATGTTTGTGTCACGTGACTACACCTCCGGTCTCAAAAACGATGAAAAATTGACCACCGCCTCCAGGCAAAATGGCATCTAATATGGAAGTTCCTACATTATCTATACCTGGAGAGTCCCAGACACAAGCCCAGCAAGCTCCTTTCGAGCCACAATACTCGGGCCACTTGCAGCAAAAACCGGCTGCAGAAGGCTCTGCTGAGTACTACTTCAACCAGACCACCAACTGGATGGGCGACCATCCATGGATCACCGGATTCGGTGCTCTTGGCGTGGCCTACTTCGCTGCCGGCTTCGTCAAGTCCAAGCAGCCAGGCCTCAACGGGAAGGCCTTCGTCAAGGGACCTTTTGGAGCCAAGATGACTGCTAGAGAAGCATTACAGGTGTTGAACTTGAAGGAGACAAACTTGTCACAAATGAAGTTGAAGGAGCAGCACCGTAAGTTGATGATGGCCAACCATCCAGATAAAGGTGGGTCGTCGTACTTGGCCACCAAGGTCAACGAGGCCAAGGACTTCTTGGAAAAGAGAGGAGGAATGAAGAAGAAGTGAACAGCCACGCCTGGAGCCTTACGTGGCGGCGTTGTGCTGGGCCCCCATACAACCGTTTACTGTGTCAAGCTAGCGGCCATTGTTCATTGATTGGCCAATGTCATGCGTATCCCACCACTAATTGTATATAGTAAATTTCATGGTGCTAGATACCGACCAACTGTACGCGTAGACATACCTCCAGCCGTGGACGTGGCTTGGTCTGCGTCACCACTTCCTGTCCGCCACTGTGCTGCTGCTGTGCCTCCGTCCCTCCCGTGATCTAATACCCGGTCGTGCGCAGAACAACAAACACTCGCCCGGAGAATTCACCCGCTAGGTGGTCTGTACCCCAATACATCAATTGATCGTAATTGAATCAAGCCGCCGTCGCTACTTCGCTGTCTTGGGGATCAATCCTGCCACACTAGTCTTCCCTGTCTTCCACACACACGCCAATCCATTCCTGCCACTGACCTGTGTGTTCTCAGACAATCGTGATCCGCTAGTGATTTGTACCTGTCAGACAGAATCACACCAGTATTCCATCAATCTCACGGCCACCAGCTATAGAATTGGTCGATCTAACATTCGGAGTGAATATTACGCTTTCTCGTTCATTAAAGGTCTTATCCTGTGACTTTATAGATTCTGTTCACCCATAGTTGACAGCTAAACCAAGCGTTGTTGACGTATTCTGAGATCCTCCACTGGTACCATTGAATCATGACTACTTACGAAAAAATTGTCAAGGGTGCCACCAAGGTCAAGGTGGCTGCCCCAAAGCCCAAATACATCGAGCCGATTCTTATGGCTACCTCCATCGACCATACGGTGGCTGCTGAAAACTTCGGCACCATCATGAGAACCTTGAAACAAAGACTTCAGGACAGCTCCTGGTCTGTCGTCTACAAGTCGTTGATCGTGCTTCACGTCATGATAAGAGAGGGAGATAGAGATGTTGCATTAGATTACTTGGCCAAAGAAGGCCATGGAATGCTCAATCTTTCCACTCTGAACATCTCCAAAGCCCACAACTTCAATGCCGATGTGCGGTTCATCCTCAAATACTCGAAGTATTTACATACCAGAGTGAAACAATTCGAATACACCGGAATCGACTACGTACGAGATGAGCGGTCCAACAACAGTACCACTCAGTCTGGTGGAAGATTACGAGAATTGTCGATAGATAAAGGCTTGCTCAGGGAGTCGGAAAGTGTTCAGAAACAAATTGATGCATTACTCAAAAATAACTTCATGGAAAACGAAATTAGCAATGATATTATCTTAACTGCTTTTAGATTGTTGGTCAACGATTTATTGGCTTTGTTCCAAGAATTGAATGAGGGTGTCATCAACCTCTTGGAGCATTATTTCGAAATGTCAAGAGTTGATGCAGAAAGAGCATTGAAGATCTACAAGAAATTCGTGGATCAAACAAAATATGTTATTGACTACTTGAGAGTCGCCAAGCATCTTGAGTATGCTACCAAATTGCATGTTCCTACAATTAAGCATGCGCCAACGGCGTTAACATCCTCATTGGAAGAATACTTGGATGATCCCAATTTCGAAGCTAACAGATCCCAATACTTGACTGAAAAGCATGCAAAGAATTCAAACGGAAAAATTCCTGAAATCAGAGAATCAAATGCAATTCCAGCACAGAATCTCCAAGCTCAACAACAAGCCCAACAACAGCAAGCTCAACAACAGCAAGCCCAAAATGCGGCATCTGAATTGCAAAGAAACGGCACTTTATTGGTTCAGCAGTCTACTTTTAATCCGTGGGGTGCCACTTTAGGTCAGTCACAGCCAATCCAAGCTTATCAACCTGTAAATGTGCAAGCTCCGGTGAATGACCCAGCAGCCCTTCAGCAACAACAACAACAGCAGCAGCAGCAGCAGCTATTGCATCAACAGCAACAGCAGATACAACAACAGCAGCTTCAACAACAACAGCAGCAGCAGCTTCAACAACAACAGCAACAACAACAGCAGCAACAACAACAAAAGCAACAGTTCCAAAATGCAACCTTTACTAGCCAAAACCAATTTCAATCACCTCAATCTACTCCTCTTCAAAGCGCTTTCACTGGCGCTGGTTTTGGCGGGTATGGCCCACAATCGCAGCAGCAGGCTCCATTACAGGCTCAGGTAACAAATTCAAATCCATTCTTCCAACAGAATTTCACAGGGAGCCAGCAACAATCAATGTCACAGCAACCAACAACCCAACCTATACTTCATCAGCAAACTCAATTACAACAACCTAATATTACTAGGTCCGATACTAATCCATTTTCAAAGTTAACGTCAACTTTGACGGGACAACCTATCGATCAGAATGCTACCAGCTCCAATCCTTTCGCGAATACCAGATTTTCAAGCAATAGCACTACTACAGCATTGAGTTTCAACAACGGCGAGAGTGCTACCCCATTAAAGGCATCTGCAACTGGAAGTAACCCATTCAAACTTTCGCAAACCACAACCAACCTTTTCAATAACGTGGCTAGTCAACAAGCACAACTGCAGCAATTGAAACCCCAACCAACCGCAGGAGGTTTGGAGCATGTTCAAACCATCCCCGTCTTTCCAGAAACCCAGAATGAGGCCCAGAAACAGTTATACTTGAACAATGCCAGTACAGGGCTCCAGCAAGCAATTAACCAAAATGGGCACCAAAATGGACACTTCCTTCAAGGACAACAGACTGGTCAGTACTTACAGGGTCAACAAACGGGGCAGTTCCCGCAAGTTCAACCAGCCGGTCAGTTCCATCAGGCCCAGCAAACCGGTCAATTTCCTCAAGTCCAACAAACTGGTCAATTTACTCAGCCCCAACCAGCTGGTCAATTTACTCAGCAAGGCTTCCAACCTCAATTCACCCAGCAATTTTCTCAGCAGCCTCAGCAACAGACTTTTGCGCATGCCACATACGATGGCCCAAGTCTTATTTGATCCCTTTATTTTCATTTCCTAGCCTATGTCGTTTCCCTCTGTTATTAGCATCAAATACACTTCAATATAACCCAACTATGAGATGGCTCGTCCGTATCAAGCCGAAGTGTTCTATCAAGATTGTAGCATGGATTTCGGATAATTAATTGTATGGTAGCTTATGCCTACATCGATTTTTACCATGTACTTTTATTAATATATGCAAACTAACTGAACTAAAAGGAAGAGTACTATGAGAATTTTATCTAATGTTGAAAAAGAACTAAATACAACTTGTTTATGCAAATGACATCGGAAGATATCAGAAAAGGGAGTAACCAACCAAACAGAGAGCCGCCATTAACGAATTCCATTTGGTTGTACCTGCCATGTTGCTGGATGCAGCCACTGAAATGTGAGTTTCTGAAGTAGCACTCTGGGAAGCAGCAGTGGTAGTGGTTGAGAATCCAGTAGGAATGAACACAGAAGATGGGTTCTCGCTACCAGCAGCACTCGAACCAGGAGCGGTACTCACACGAGCAGCTGGAGGTCCAGAAGGGGCAGTTGTGCTGGCGCTTTCGGTGGTGGCGGTGTTTTTGCTAGCAACACCTGCTGCTGAGGTAGATGAAGAAGCTTCAACGCCAGCAGCAGCGGAAGAAGACGATGCAGTGGTCACTGTTTCGATACCTGAAGCCTTGGAGCTGGAAGTTGTGGAAACAGTGGATGAACTTGGAACCGAGGTGCTCGAACTAGAAGTAACCGAAGTGCCGGTGGTAGAACGGGCAGTGGTAGTGGTTGAGCTGGAAACCGAGGAAGAGCTGTCAGATGTGGTGGAAGTGGAAGAGGAAACCGAGGAAGAACTTGAGCTGGAGGTGCTGGAGGTGCTGGAGGCGGAAGAGCTTGATTTTGATTGGGATTGGGCACTGTCTTCCTGAGGACTAGCATTGGCCGACCCAATTCTTCCGTTGACCTTGCCGTCCTTAGCAGAAATGGAGGACCAAGAGCCGGATTGGTCGCTGTAGGAGTAGGAGGTGCCTGAGGAGTAGTCGCTAACAAGCAACTTGTTGATGGCCATGGTGAAAGGAGCCTGATCGTATTGGGTGAGACCTCCAGCCCATTCGATGGTTCCGGGAGCGTTGTTGGGGTCACCACCAGCCCAGATTCCGGCAAAAAGCTGCATGGGGGTCTGAGGGAACCCCTGAGGGTTGTTTGGGGTCAATGTTCTGAGCAACTGGCCGTCGTACCACCACTCGACATGGTCTTTTGTCCAGTCAATGGTGTAGTTGTGGAAGTCGGCTTGGGGTGAGGCCACGTTGTGGTACTCGCCTCTGTCGTAGGTGGCGGTGTTGCCCTTGGTGAACCAGTTGCTCTGGAACTGGGTGGTGTCACCACCCAACATCTCGATGTCGATTTCGTCCAAATCGTCGGACTGCAAGTAGAAACTGGACACCACCCCTACACCTGGAGCGGCCTTGAGGTGGACTTCCACGCGTCCAAACATGATGTAGAAGTCGGACTTCAACGAGGGGTTGTCGAAACGCTTGGCCAACGTCAACTCCAAGCCCTTGGGGGTGTAGTTGACACCGTCAGGGTAAGCCATTACTGAGAACTTGTCTGGCTTGGAGGTGAAGGACTCGTTGATGTCGGAGCCCAAGGCAGGGTCTGGCGAGCACGAGGACGAGGTGAGGGGGTTGCAGGCGGCCAAGGCGGAGGAGGCGAGGGCCAACGAGAGCAACAACTTTTGGGAAAGCATGGTAGAAGGCGATGTGGTAGCAGTAGCAGCAGCAGCAGAAGCAGAAGGAGCAGCGAAGGAGCAGCGATAACTGGGGAAAGCAGTAGCAGCGATAGTGAGTTGGCACTTAGAACAGCTGAGACAGGCGGCTAAGTGGTGGCAGTATGAACAGCTGAGAGAGCAGCGATTATCGAGCAGATGAGGCGGCGAAGTGGCTAAGTAGCTGGGTTGCTGAGTGACTGTGTTAGCTAAGTAATGCTGTGTTATCTGATCCTGCAACTGGCGGACTGCCCTGCTTATATACTTGTCCGTTGGCGTCAGTCAACTGATCCGCAGCGTTTCCGCAGCCATCCCCCCTTCCAATATGCAACCATTTTTAGATCACAATAATATATTTAAGCGAGCCTCGGAATGTACGAGTGTGCAGGCTATTGTTGTTGTAGTACTCTATTGTAAGGTGGTGGTGATACGACATACTGCAGTATGGTTGTTCGAGCCGGTGGTGGTGCCAGTGGTGGTGGTGCCAGCGGGTCTCGTGGTGGTAAGCATGGCGTTCTGGAGGTGTCTGGCGACAACGGTCAGTGGTAGCTTCACCCGTCTTACCCCCAATAGTCTCCCAGCACGCTCCGAGCGCGCCCCTGTAGGCGTTGTCGGGCGATATTTTTAGATGGGTTTCGTGACTAACCGCGCCGCTATGGACAGAAACGCGTGCTAGACAGCGTTCTTCCACCGGCACATCTAGAGGTGGGCGGCGGCGCGCGCTAGCCCATGCGTCGCTAGCTGCCAAAACTGGCGTCCTCCCCGTTGGTCCTCGTTACTACCCCAGATCCAGGTCACGTGAAATGCTATCTCCAGGCGAGGCCGTGCTTTGCTCGCGTATCCACTGTGCGACAAGCCAGCCCTCGCCCTGCGCAAAGTGATGGGCATCGCCATGTGCCACGGCGACCGCAGGTAGTCCTCACTACCGTGGGCTGGCATGGCCCGATCGGGGGTCTGATCCGTCGTGCGCCCCTTTCCCCTGGACCCTGCTGGCTTGTAGCCATGAGGACGAGAGTGTCATATCTGACGAGCACCAGAACAGGTCCCAGCAAGCAGACCCGAGGTTCGGCATCATCTGATAATCCTGAGTTACTCTCGGCTGGGGTGCTGGATTAAATGTTGAAAACAATGAGCTTTGGCGATGTGTATTGTAGTGTAGAGTCTGGTGGCTAATTAAATTATTCAAAGCGAGAAGCCGATTCTATTGTGATATCTGGTTGGCGGGAATTGAATTAAATAGAGAAGCGGATATTACAGTAGAAGACAGTTGGCCAGAATTAAATTAATAGAGAAGCCTAAATTACAGTACAAGCCAGTTGGCCAGAATTAAATTAAATAGTAGAAGCCTAAATTACTGTGATGCCCGGTTGGCGAATCAAGTAATTGAGCAACAAGAAGACCCTTGACAGAATAGTTTCGTAATGCAGCTGGCCAGAGATACTAATTAATTGACAAACAAGAGTGGAGCATTGAATATTTTTGGTGATCCAAGAATCCTCAGTTCTGTTTTATTATCATTGTAATAGTATGTTCCAAATTTATTAGCTGCATCCAATCTCGCCAATTTCTTCATTTTGTAATAATCCCATTGCCCGGTTAGGTACACAATTCTTTATTTCACGATTTGCCAAGACACTTAGCTGCTAATTCTACTAAACCAAACGCAGCTGCTAGAATCGCTCGTGAAATTCGTGATGTATGTGTCGTTGTGGGCAAAGACAGGGCTTGTCCGAGACAAATACTCCTAAACACTTATGCTTGGCCGCGCCTCAACTGGTCGGGATTTGCTCATTTTTGGACCCGCAGAGTACATGATCGCTTGATCTAAGGAATTGATGGGAGAGATAATTCGCTCTTTGGTCTTCTACGCTTGTCACGGAAGGTTTAGCATGATTGGCCTGCCAACTGCGGGGTTGTTCGGGTTTAGCAGTTAATGGAGGGCCTCAAATAGTATCTTACACTTTTTATGAAGATTACCTCCAGCTGGTAGATCCGTAAACCGTCCTTGCTTGAGGCGCAGCATCTCTGAAATCTAAGTTGGCCCATCGAACCAAGTCAAAACAGAATTAGTAGAATATTCTAATTTTAGCTAACGCATGTTTTGGCCAATCTCGAGTTCCAATATTTAAGAAAACTGGTAGGAAATTCTAATTTTAGTAAAGGTATACCCGCGTTGGAATTTCCCATTTCAAAAATCATGAATTAGTCGACTATTCTAAACTTTAGGTATTACAGCCGTTGGAATAGACAGGGCACCCCAGAATAATCGCCGTTTCATTGGTATCAGTTCTTTGTAGCTCATTTATTCCCTCGCCGCTACAACTAACGTATAAGCTGGTGGGTGTCTGCATGTTGCCTATCACGTCCAAGCTCGATGCAAGGGCAATGCACGGTCCAAAGGTATGTGTTTTCTTCTACTACTGGTATTTTTCAAGTGTTCTTTTCGATTCTTAAGCTATTGTAGTTGAATTTCGTTTTTTCGCAACCGGAAGTTTTTGTTAGAATTTCCATCTCATGACTTCAGAGTTACATTTGTTATATTTTGTTCAAGTAATTTTAGTTTTCTTTCTCTTAACTTTCTCCTAGCTAGGTAAGGTGAAGTCTAATTCAGAAACTTATCGTACTATTGCAGTCAGATTACAATAGGCGAAGCTGGAGATGTAGACTGCCAGGTTTCCACTTTTTTTAGTGTTAAGCAAAACAGTCAATAATATAGCAAATGCACTTACTATCACTGTCACATTATAGATTCTATATTCGCATTACTCGCATCACTATACTCTATCATAATTAATTATTGGGCAATATTTCAACTCCTTGCTGAAGTTGACCAGGCACTTCGGCACAATCCGTGAATCAGGTCTGAAAGAACCGATCAGCTGGATCAGTCACTCGACTATTTAATACAAGAGTGGATTGGAGCATAACACTCAAATACTGGCTAGCCTGGAGAACTGGCTATCGGTGGGTGGCCTCTTACGTGTCGCTAGCAGGACTGGCTTGCCTTGCTCACCTGCCGCCTACTGCCACTGCCAGAGCTCCTTGTCGTATCCCTCAGTAACAGCGCTATCCTCGCCGTACTGTTGCTGCCACTTGGTGAAGCCGCCCTCCAATACCCACACCTGGAGGCCTCGCAACGCTTCAGGGTCGCTGCCAGGCTCGTCCAACGACCGGATGAACTTGAGCGCAGCAGACGGCCCTCTCTGCTGCGACAACGCGCAGTGGAACACCACATCGCCCACATTCTCTGCCACGAGCCGCTGTCTGATCTCCGCCAACTGCGAAACGTACTCGCTCGATGGATAGTGCCAGGAGCCCCTGATGTGTCCACCCACGTAGTCGCTGTCTCTGACGTCGATTACGGTGAAGCGCCGTTCGCTGGGGGGGCCGTTTCGGAACCACCCGCGAAGCGCAGAGGGCGATATGAACTTGAGATCGCTGAAAGTGACCATGGTGTGTTTGTGGAGACGGTTTCCAGCAACTGGCACCACTCGAATGAAGGCGCTGGGAGCGGCTCACGTGGTGAGGTCTCAGATTGGGGAGTGGACTCTGCACGTGCACTAGCTGCGATTCCCAATCGATTCCCAATCACATGGCACTCCACCAGTAAGCAGTTCCAGCTGGCTCTCTCTGAAAAGCTGGCAGCTCCGGCAGGCTCCAGCTACCGTTCTGAAGCTTAGCGGCCTCTCCACCTCCAATACCCCCTGGAACCCCTCAAACCCCCCACTTTCAAATCGTAACCGACCCAACCTTTATCCGGCCCTGCACACAAACTGGGCAATTTTTCACGCGCAAGCAACTGGGCCCAGGCACTACAATAAAGGGAATTGAGACATTCGTCTTTACGTCAGTCTGATTGTCGTTCTGTCTATCCCCACTTCCCCTGGCTTGACCGTAATTGAGTCCACCAAAGTGCCCTGCATCTCAGCTCTGTCCCAGAGAGTACATACGTTGACCAAACAATGACCGAAGAAAGAACCGGCTTGAGCAGAACCATTTCTGTGGAGTCCATCGCTCCCAAGTTCACCTCGTTGTTCAAAAGAAAGAGAAAGAGAGAAGACGACTCCAGCCACTCCACGCCGGCTGGATCAGCCTCCGAGTCCGAGGAGGAGGAGCCCTCCAAGAAGCGCAGATTGATAAAAACCAAAGAACAGATCGAGTTCGAGGCCAATGAAATCAAATTAGACGAAGCATTGCCGGAAGAATTGCGCAAGTTCAGGCCAAACGGCTACAAGTTCAACATTCCCCCCAAGGATCGCCCCATCAGAATATATGCCGACGGGGTGTTTGATCTATTCCACTTGGGCCACATGAAGCAGTTGGAACAGGCCAAAAAATCATTCGAAAACGTAGAATTGGTATGTGGCATTCCTTCCGACCTCGAGACGCATAAGCGCAAGGGCTTGACGGTTTTGACAGATCAGCAGAGAATTGACACCTTGAAACATTGCAGATGGGTGGACGAGGTGATTCCAAATGCCCCCTGGTGTGTGACCACCGACTTTCTCTTGGAGCATAGAATCGACTACGTGGCCCATGATGACTTGCCGTACGCTTCCACCGATTCAGACGATATATATAAGCCCATCAAAGAGATGGGAATGTTTTTAACAACCCAAAGAACTGAGGGTATCTCCACCTCAGATATCATTACCAAGATCATCCGTGATTACGACAAATACTTGATGAGAAATTTTGCCCGTGGTGCCACTAGAAAGGAATTGAACGTTAGTTGGTTGAAAAAGAACGAGTTGGAATTCAAAAAGCACATCAACGACTTTAGAAGCTACTGGAAGAAGAACCAGACCAATCTCAACAACGTCTCCAAGGATCTCTATTTCGAAGTCAGAGAGTATATGAGAGGGAAGAAGTTTGATGTGCAGTCCTTTTTAGACAACAATAGCTCTGCCTCCCTCAACAGCGACTCGGAAGACTTACATTCACGCGCCAGCTCTCCATTAACTGACTTTGCTTCCAAATATATTGGAAACGCTAATAAGGAATTGAATGGGAAGTCTTTATTCGCCAACGTGAAGGAATGGATGAACAAGTCTATCGACTCTCATGACGAAGATGAAGACACCAACCATATTCCCAAACCCAAGCTTCAACCCACAGGGGAGGACGACGAAAGCTTTGCACCAAGTATATTTGAGGAAGAAGAGCCAGAGGAGCCAAACAAGCCAATAAAGACAGAAAACGAACCTACAACAATCAAGGCAACTCCCAAGCTTCCTGCTCGGTCCCCAAAGAGAAAGAGAGCAAATACTAAAGCTAAGTAAATCGGCTGGTCCCACAGTCCTCTTCTTCAAGCACACCAGCTTGAGCAATGTACCTGTTTTTTACAAGGAGTCACGCTTGTCCTTGTGCTGTACCTATATAGAGCCCTATATTGAAAACTAATTCCAGGACTCCCGTAAATGAACGTCACATGGTGTCGCACGTGACCCGAACCCTGGCGCAGGCACCACTTGATGGATGGATCCATCATCGTCTTCCGCCCACCCCAGACTGTTTCCCCTGATAGCTAGCGTGCATCGTTACGCATCTGCCTTCTCGGTCCGTTTATAGTTCTTATGAGTGAAGACCTCGACCACACCTTTAAGGAAGTCAGCACCAGATGGCAAGAACCAGCCATGGATGATGTTCCCCAAGACTACATCAAAGCAGAGAAGGTACCACTTGACTATGAAGTTCCCTATACGAAAGAACGGAGCTCGCAAGAATTGCAGCTCGAGCAGTTGCAATTGCAATTGAAATCCCAGCAGGACTTGTTACAAAGAAGATTCCTTGATGAATCTTCCAACCAGAACTTGCTGTCCAACACTTGGAGTTTCACGCAAGGTTTGATGTTTGGTCAGGCCAGTGTGATCTTGGTGATTATTATTTTCGTCAAGTTCTTTGTGTTTGCCGATGCATCACCAGCATCTACACAATCGTCTTCCAAGGATGCATCCAGTGTGATTGTGAAAAACGCCGCCAATGCCAAGAAAGAGGGAGCAGATGGAGCAAATGAGGATGAAGAGGATGATGCCTCTAAGGTTTCTGGTATTTTGGAAAAAACTTACTACGACGTCGAAAACCATGCATCGGAATCATTGGACTGGTTCAATGTATTGATTGCACAGACCATTTCCCAGTTGAGAACAGAAGCATTGCTCTCAGACAACATCTACCACTCATTGAATGAGTTCTTGACAAAGTCTGATTTCCCAGAATACTTGGACAAGGTGAAAATCACAGAGATAGACATTGGTGATGACTTTCCCATCTTCTCTAACTGCCGAATCAAACACAGTAAGGATGGGTCCGGCAGGTTGGAAGCTAAGATAGATGTGGATTTGTCAGACACCTTGACTTTAGGGATCGAAACACAATTATTGTTGAACCATCCTAGGCCACTAACTGCGGTTCTCCCGGTAGAATTGTCGGTGTCGATTGTACGGTTCTCGGGTTGTTTGACGGTGTCACTCATTAATACAAACGACTTGGACAGCTCTTCGGAACCTAAAGCAGGTGGAACACCAGCACCAAATTCCGGTAGTTCGGAAACTGACTCCAGAGGCTCGAACAAAAAGAAAAAGGGCGAACATGCCAACGCTGGCACGGCTTTAATGTTTTCATTTGCGCCCGATTACCGGTTGGAGTTCACAGTCAAGTCCTTAATAGGCTCGCGAGCCAAGTTACAAGACGTACCCAAAATATCCTCGCTCATTGAAAACAAATTGCGTAGTTGGTTCATTGAGAGGTGTATCGAGCCCAGGTTTCAGGTTGTGAAATTACCTTCCTTGTGGCCCAGAAGAAAAAACACTCGCGAGCCTGTCCATTCTAATGTGAATGGCATTGTCGATAAAACTGAAGACGCCCCGTTATGATAACATGTGAATTTCATTTATTGGTAAGTTCACAAATACTGTAATTTTTAACTTTATCAGCTAATTCTGGAACGCGGGATTGGCTGGAATTGAACCACATACCTGGCCTACACTTGATACGGACAATTCAGCAAATTAACTCCGGGTGCATCTTCGCGTTTGACATTGTTTTTTCTGTCAAAACTCGCTTGCTGATCGTGCTGTCCAATACTACATCCGCTAACCGCAATAATACATCTGGTACCGAGGGAAAAATCCCATTTCAATGTAGCTACGTTCTCTTAAAAGATGTGAAAGGTATTCCTGAGATACCAATAATGCTAGTATGGTAGCACATCATTGGACAATTCAAGATAGGTTGCAAACCAAACTAACATTATAATGTATTATGAAAGACACAGCCAGGGATAATCCGGCAATAACTTATATAGGGGTATATAACAAGACCAAAGAGTACTCAGCGGAGCACGGTAGATAAGTAAACTTAAACCGAATAGAATATTTGGAAATAGAAGAAAGTCAAAATGCACCATGGCTGCGAAAATTCAGCCGTTTAAAATAATCATGAAGTTTTATATTTGTGGAGTCCTTAGGCTTCAAACTTACAAGTTGAAGGCAACCAAGAGACCAGCGAAGATAGCACCGATGGAGACGGAGGCAGCATTACCAGCGTTTTCAGCTGGAGCAACAGATGGAGCAGCAGCGGTGGTGGCTGGAGAAGCCTTGGCTGGAGCAACTTGAGATGGAGCTGGGGCTGGGGCTGGGGCAGCATGGGTAGATTCAGCAGCAGCAGAAGTCACCAAGGTGGTTTCACCGTTGACAGTAGAGGTGACAACATGGTCCTTGGATGGAGCTGGAGCTGGAGCTGGAGCTTCCTTGGATGGAGCTGGAGCTGGAGCTGGAGCTTCCTTGGATGGAGCTGGAGCTGGAGCTGGAGCTTCCTTAGATGGAGCTGGAGCTGGAGCTGGAGCTTCCTTAGATGGAGCTGGAGCTGGAGCTGGGGTTTCCTTGGATGGAGCTGGAGCTGGAGCACCTTCAGAAGTCAATGGGCAGTAAGTGGTGTAAGAAGTGTGTTCTTCGGTAACAACAGTCCATCCGGTAGTAACTGGCTGAGCAGTACACTTGTGGTCGGAACAAGAAGTGATAGTAACAACAGTAGTACCGTGTTGGGTCTTGGTAGAAACACCACCAGCACCAGTGCTTGGGTCAGACTCACCTGGGAAGAAAGAGGTGGTGCTGTAAACAGAGCTGGCACTGTCAGTGGTAACGATAACAACACCAGAAGATTGGGTGGAGCCGAAAGTTTCAGTGGTGGTGTAGGTGGTGAATGGGTATGAGTGGGAAGAAGTAACAGCTGGGGAGGATTGAGCTGGAGTAGAAGCACCGGAGGAGGAAGCACCAGATGGAGCGGAAGAAGAACCAGAAGGAGCAGAAGAAGCACCAGATGGAGTGGAAGAAGCACCAGAAGATGGAGCAGAAGAAGCACCAGAAGGAGTGGAAGAAGCTCCGGAAGATGGAGCAGAAGAAGCACTAGATGATGGAGCAGAAGAAGCACCAGATGATGGGGCCGAGGATGGAGCGGATGATGGAGCAGAAGATGGGGTGGATGAAGCTGGAGCAGAAGATGGAGAAGAAGATGGAGCTGGAGTGGAAGACGAAGATGGGAAAGAAGAGGTGGAAACAACACAGCTAGCGTCCCAACAGAAGTTTGGCAAAGTAGTTCTTTGAGACTTCAAGGCATCGAAGACTGGGGAGTCCCATGGAGCTCTCTTTTCAATAGAAAGGATTTCGACATCTCTCTTGACTGGCTTAGCATCATTGTAGTCCTTGTCCAAGGTGTAAGCGTACTTCTGGGCAAAGAGAGACTTCCATTGGTCCAAGACACTGGTGGAGTTGTTGGTGAAATCAAAGGCAATATCCAAGTCGTCTGGCAAACAGAACAAACCGTTGTGCTTAGAAGCGGAGACCAAGACGATAGCAGACCATCTGAAGATGTTTGGAACGTTGTATGGAGCACCAGGGCCAGCAATGACAACTTCATCGTTGGCTCTCTTGTTGAGGGAAGATTGGTCGTAACCCAAGTTTTGGATAACAACCGATCTTTGGCCGTGGCCGAAGATACGGTTCAATTCGTTGGCAACAACAGTGTTGAAGTTAAGGGTGACCTTGAAAATGTTGTCTTGAACAAAGGTGATGTCAGACGCGGTTAAGGAAGCCTTAGGGACGAACCAGCCGTCTCTCTTGGCCACTTCTTCCAAATCAAGAATTGGTTCACCGTCCAAGTCTCTCTTCAAGTGGATACCGACGTTCAAGTCGACGTTAAGACCAATTTGGAAGTGTTTCTGTGGCTTACAACCGTTGCCCTTTGGTCCACCGATGGTGAAGTCAAGGAAAGCGCCGATGTCGACGTCAAGAAGAGCGTCAGCTCCAGGCAACATGGAGGAAGCGGCTAAAGCGACAACAGCAGCCTTTAAGTTTGAGAAAAGCATTGTTCCAAAGTGATTAGCGAATGTATAGTTGAGGTGGAAACGAAACTGTTGAACTCTGAAGACAGCAGATATTGGGGGTGGTGGTGTGAATTTATACACTTTCCATCTGGTAGCCTTGCCAGTCCCAGTGGTCGCAAAATCCGATGCTAATGGGCGTCAACAATAGGATACGTCCTATGCGGGAACCACATTTCCCAAACGGTATTAAAATCATACATCTGGATCCATTGCACGCAGTCTAACCGTGGGTCTAGTCGGGTTGAATAAGGTGAGACGAATGGCACTATTGATGATTTTGCAGACAATCGAAACTCAAAAATGCATGGTCCGAACGCAAAGCCCTGGCGTTGCGAACAATCCAGCGATGGTGAAATTACCTCAAACAGGAAGCCCAAACGTAAAATCGGTGGGTGCTAAGACCCTTCGCGCTTGCAGCTAGCTGTGTCAATTGTTCTTCCGGGGCCCACGTCAGGAACAAAGCGGATGAGGTCCTGCAGAGAAACTTCACCTCAGCAGGCCGCGTGCTGCGTCAATTTGAGTTGCAACAATAGTGACTAACAATGTAGGAGACTAGGCCAGAGGTGTTTGTTTGGGGCTTAAACTAGTAAAACTCGTCTTGCCAGTATGTTGGGTAGCGCCAGCTATTTTTGGGCACCTTGGATAATAGACGCCGGTGCTCCCGACACCATCACCATCCTGGCCCTTATGCTGCTTGGTTGCAGCATCGATGTGCAGCGCACTCACTTGCAGAGTCCCGCTCGAAAATTCGCCTAGATCAAGGCAAACAAAATATCGAAGGCCCCAGGGGTACCCCAGTGCATGTCCATGCACCAGCCCTCTAGCCGCTAGTACCTGGTACATGTTGGCGACCGTGTTTAGACTTTGCGTAAATATTACCCTATAACGGAAATAGACTCGCGACGCACATTTAGGAGATAGACGAACGCCTCCTGCCATATTCGCAGATACGTGCACCGAACAGCCTGGTATACATGCTGGATGGATATCCGTTTCTACAGCATGTAATTTCCTGTTCAGGTTCCATAACCCTATTGCTGCAGCTTGGGACGTTCCAGCCCGCCTATAATTACAAGTGCCAGTAGCCCAGAAGGCGCATCCTGCTAGCGTGTGTTGGGGGACTCCCACTAGTTGTGTATGTGCTCGAAACCCACAGCCGAGTATCCAGAGCGACGAAATATTGTTGACATGGTCAGGGTTCCAAACCGGAAAGTCTACTGCGAATAATCAGCAGAATCAATACAATTGGACTGAAGGAACCCTTTTCCCAAACAGCTGAATGTAGTAGAATCTGTGAATCGCCCCAATTACATGGTATATACCTTTGCCAAGGTGGTTCATTGCAGAAACCCATGACTTTGGAATCCCAATCGTCACACAACCAACTCCAAGTTTAAACCATTCTATTGTGGGATCAGTTGGGACATCCTATAGTCCAGATTTAACCATATTGTTCGATTGTGGTTAAATTCTTTTACGCTCTAGACATAGCTATAACCCTAAACTTCTTGGCTCGCAGCTAGGTCAATCCGAACTTCATGCCATCATCGTATATACACATGATCGGCGGAAATACAGAAACGACATACTAGAATTCTTCCATGGACTTGGACCTGAGAGTTGGGGCGGTCCTATGCTGGTACAATAGAACACGCTGGGTGGCTTGCCAGTGCATCCATCGCGACTATCCAGAGGAATCTCTGCTCTCAATACTTCCAGGCTTGCCTGTTTTACGAGCTATTTTCAAGTTACAAGATACACAACAAGGACTAAAGTTGCTCTATCTCGCAAACCTGGTAAGAGTTTCCAAATTTGAGCTATGCTCCGGCGGAAACCAATTTGGTCAGATCACATTCAACTAATGCCCGGTGCGCGACATTGTAATTCGCACCTAGCTGTATTGTCAAACGCCTATTGTCCTTAATTTCACTACTTTGGGAGTTTAAATAGAAGACAAACACAGCTTGTACTACCACGGATCTCCTTACTTCACTACTCTCGCAATCCCTGTAGCAGATTGGAACAATCATAAGTCTCAGAAAAATCCTGAGTGTGTGTTGAAAATCTCATGATAACCACAGCTTGATCCAAAGTGAACCACCATAAAAACACTAAATTACACTAATATTCTCGCTGTAAGGTAACGCCTTCGACATGTCAAACGAATAAAAGTTGCCACATGATTTTGCATTTGGTACAGTAGTAAGGGGCTAGGCTCCCAGAGCTAAAACACGCAAAGTTGACAAAGACAAACTTAGACTTTGATCTTCTGGAACTCGTTCAAGAAGCAAAGCAAGTTGAAGCCACGAGTTTTAGAAATCTGCCAACAGCCTAAAGTTAGTTACTATTGATTTTTGTTAAAATAGACAACCAGGGCTCGAGACCAGACCATAAATCCGGAATAGCAAGCGCAAACTGGATTTTGACTGTTTACTAATGCTCAACGCTTAATTAATTAGGCTAACTTTCATCCCAAAGTAGAGGGGTTACGGCTGTTGCTCTCACTAGTTCATCTTCGTTTCGAAGAGGTACCTCACTTGTTCAATCTAATTTTCCATAATTTTTGATAAAAGTTAAATTTTTTTGGTTTTCTATCAAACCTGATTTGCAACTTCAAACGGACAAGCTGAAATCACACAATTGGAACTAAACTAATAGAGGTTCGGTCAAAAACTATTAAGGCCGTGCTACTAGATGCAAAAAATAAATGCCTTCAGCCAGATTCGAACTGACGATCTCCTCATTACTAGTGAGGTGCCTTACCAACTTGGCCATAAAGGCTTTTCGTGCAGGGTAAATAAGTGAGAAAAATATCAGACAATCATAGATATTGTTACGTAAGTCAATTACGTAAGCATTTGAAAATAGTTAAATCATAAAGGAGTTTCCATAAAGGTTTGTTATCCATTGAGTTAGGTACATAGTCAGTTATTCATAATATACTTCCCATTAGCAAAAAAAATCGCTTCAAAATGAACTAATAAGAAATCCATTAAGCTATAACGATGAAAAGTATCATCGAAGCAAAAAAGCAAAAGAATTGAGGAGAATTTCAAAAAGGTCATAGCAAGGATGACCGCAGAGAAGGCAGCTACATTAGCCTCACAAGTATATAACAAGTGTGTAGCCCAGCAGTTGAAAGATCTAGGGGAATGAGAAGAATATCAAAACATCCTCAAATTAGCAGGTTCAGGACTACTGATAATCGTTTTTAAGAGATTACCCAATTAAAGGTTATCAATTCTACTCTGATTAAGCTACTGTCAAGTGAATCTGTTAAACCAGATGGAAAAACTAGAAGGCATATGCTTGATTATTTCAGTTCATTTAGTGGTCACGAAATTGAAAATAGTAAAATAAGCGTCTTGGTAACTCGTACTTGGCCCCATCATGACTGTGATAAAGGTAACTCGAGACCACAAGTGCTCTGAGACCAAGAAGTCAAAAAAAAGTGTCAGTTAGATGAGTGGTGACGGTAAACAAAACTTCTCTGCGAAGCAGGTTACTACCGTCCCGGTGACTGGCAAAACAGAGTCACGACAGCTAGAGGAAGTTGAGCTTCCAAGTTATACAGCTGACATTGAACTCAATGATGACAATACACGGCAATTGTTGACGTGCACGGATGGAAGAGAACCCCTCAAGCAACAACTCTAATACGCACGTTGACAGAGTTTAGCAGTAATGAAATTAAAAGTATTGAAGAACTTGGAATACACTGGTTCCATGAAACATTGAAATTCGTATGGGTAGAAGATGAATTAAATGACACACATGTGTTGTTAGAAAAGCCCTTAATTCACGGGATGCTAGATTGGAGTAAGGATGAGTAAATCCGACGTATTAGATCAAGAGGAACTTAGGCAAAATCTAAGACGATTATGTGAGTGAATAGCAGAAAACCAACGAAATGTTTAGGGAACGATTAGATTTTTATGAGTGGAGCTGTGATAGTCAATTCGGTAAAAGTGGCATATGGAAATCTTGAAAGCGAACCACTATCCCAATTTATCGCAGAGGAAAACGAGAAGGGTTGGAGTGTCGCATTTCTAAAAGACCCAAACGTCTTGTTTGTTAGGAAGGTATCGGGGGAGTTGAGGGTTTATTGAGGTTCAACAATTATGTCAGATAGAAGAACTGATACAGATATACGGTGCTACTATAATACGCGAACTCATCAAGAGAATTACCACTAAAGTGTAGTATAAGTATTAGATACAGTACTTACATCGAATAAAATTTCATTAACGCTTGGGGCAGCATTTTAAGAAAGTACTTGGTATAACCATGCAGGTAAAGAAAAGGCTGGTTTCTCACAAGCTATCCCTTCTGCCCGAAAAAAAACCTAAACCCTGGACAGCAGTTCTCCTGTTCAAGAACCAAGTGCTTTAACAATATAAATCGCATGTTCGCGCTCGTTTTATTGTACGAGCAGTCCTCAAAAATGGACTAACAATGCATTTCTACCATCACTGCTATTTCATATAAAATAATTGTTACTTTAGTTGTTAGCGATTTATAGTCAACATTATTTTTTAGTTCGCTCCTACAAGCTTTTACTTTTGGATTGTCAGAAAAATGAAAGAACACCATAGCAACACATGATGTTGAAACCTTTTGCCAATATCAACCTTAAGTAGAGCCATCTTTCTGACTCAAAACCTCTGAAGCTTTGCTGTGAATGACTTACCTAGGAATACACACTTTTTTTTACAGACTTAAGACTACTGTGTGGCATTTGATCGTAATCTCGCGCTGAAACCAAAATGGTAGATACAATGGTCGCTAAAAAGGTTTCAAGCTATTGTCAATAATCGAAATTTTAAGTTAATTTCGGTATTGCACCCAGCATCATTTCTTAATGAAATTGTGGGCTTTGACTTTCCTTTACGTTCCTTTCTCAGTTCCACATTTGGGGCATTGAGGTGCTTAACGCAGATACGAGAATAATAGGCACACATGATATCCCTTGATAACAGACAATACGGGCCGATTTCACTCAACTCTCCCGACAAGTATCCCGAGTTGCCAAATGACCAGCTTGGTGGGTGTTTAGGGGCGTAAACTTCTGTAAAAAATGGGAGCTACCCAAAAAGAGCTCGATACAGAACCAATTTAGTACATCCAAGCACCGCTGGAATATGAATTAGCAGTAAAAATAATTGAAATTTACAGAACTAACACAAGTACTGTTGGTGCCAAATTCAACTGCAGTAATTGGTTTAAAGATGTCACTTTCTAAACTGAGATCTGGACTGTAATTTCTTTTAGGGATTCTAGTCCAGAGAGTGCCAAATTTGTCGTTAAAATCAAAATATCGAGAAACTTTTTCGTATACTAGCCTTCAAAATTTGCTGATACTCTTGCTTCGGTTCCATTTTGGTGCAACAAAGTACTCAAATACTAAAAAATAACTAGCTTATTGTAAAAATTAAAAAACTATAATCAAGATTCAAAGCTTGCTCTTGGTGTGTTATTTTCAACTGGGCGGGAAGGCTGACCAATTAAAGACCATAAACTTCTGAAAGAAATGGAGTAGCTTTAAAATTTCCGCTGAATTTCGAAGCATTTATTGTCAAACAGTATCTATTCTGACTTAATCCACTTGGCAAAGTAGAATAATAATGGGGAATATTGGGGACTTTATTGCAGGGTCCAGGGATACTATCGTTGGCAGAAACTTGAAATTAAGAGATGTGAAAACGGTACATTGCCCGTAGGTGGTCAAATTGTTTATTCCTTTACTTCTTTCAACTTTCCTTATACTTTCTCTTCATATTATTTCAACTATGTCTTCTGTGTCTCTGAATTCAAATGTTATCACTTCTTTCTATCGTTTTAAAACCTTGATTACGTAATCACAACACATAGTTGATAAACAATAAATTTTCAATTTTTCGGTAGATATGCGCGAGTAGTTTAGTGGTAAAATCCAGCATTCCCATTGCTGGGCCCCGGGTTCGATTCCCGGCTCGCGCATACTTTTTGTCGCATATCTCAACTTAGTGAATGGCTTATTGAAGTCCTGTTAACCACGGATCTGATTGTACGATGTGAAAATCGTCCAAGAAGACCAACTTGGCAAAACGGAACATATTGCACCTTATTATATTTCCGAAGAAGCTCTTGTAATCGGAGAATAATTTTATCACGAGCAATATGGTAATTTTTTTACTGGCGATGGGGAGGGCCAATAAAGGGCGATCAGAGAGTAGCACAGCCTCCCATAAAATCACCCTTTTTCGGAGATGATTACCTCGGTGCTTAAATGGTCCTCTTTCCCCATCTCTCACTCTGTAGTCTTTGTAGGCGTTTCAAATCGCTCACATCATCTCTTCCTTTAGTGGGAGGGCGAACTTTTCAAAATCATCGTTACAAAAAATTCAAAATTCTCATCACCAAATCATAAGAGGACAATCGGCAGACATGGATGCTAACCTTCTTTTGGAGTGCTTCTCGGCCACCTTACAGGCTGATCAGAACATCAGACGGCAGGGAGAGTTGAAGCTTAAGGAATTGAGTGAAACGCCTGGTTTCTTGGGAGCATGTCTTGACATCATAGCCTCAGGAGATGGGGAGGTCCAGCCACCAGTCAAGAAGGCCACGGCTGTGTACTTCAAGAACAGAGTTATCAGATATTGGAGCTCCAAAGAAAGCAGGATTGATCCTGGTGAACGTCCGGTCGTAAAGGAACGAATTCTACCAGTAATCATCCATTGTGATTATACAACCAAGCAGCAATTGATCCCAGTATTAAGAGTCATGATCTCACAAGACTTCTCCAAATGGGATGGATTATTGGAAAGAACTGGTGCTCTTTTGCAGCAAGTTCCCGTGGCATCGGACCCTTCAATTAAGCCCAAGGACGAAGAATACTCCAATTTGTACACCGGTTTGTTATGCTTTAGTGAGATAACTAGAAGATTCAAATGGATTGAAAATAGCCAGAGAGAAGCTGATCTTGATCCAATTATCGAACTGGCGTTCCCTCACTTGTTATCAATTGGAAAGTCCATTATTGAACACTCCGAAAATCTTACTGAACTCACCGCCGAAATCTTGAAGCTCATTCTCAAGTGCTACAAATTCGTCACCTACTATGATTTACCTAAGCCATTGCAGACCAGATCATCAATCTTATTGTGGGGTGAGTTTCATGGATTGATCATCAACATGAAGCCCCCAGCATACGTTCTTAACTCAAACCTAACTGAGCAGGAAAAGAGCTTCCTCCAAATCTCAAAGTGTTATAAGCGGTCCATTGCAAACTTGTATCGTATTTTTACCAGATATGCCTCCAAGAGTTTAACTAAAAAGTTCAAGTACAAGGAATTTCACCAATTATTCCTTAACGATTTCATACCTCACTTGTTGACCAACTACTTATCAATCATAGAACAATGGTGTGGTGGTTCTAGATGGCTAAGCTCAAATACATTGTTTTGCCTCATTGAATTCTTGAGTCATTGCATTACCCAAAAAACCACTGCAGCTTTAATCAAGCCTTATTTTGAGAATTTGGTTTCCCATTTGGTGTATCCATTATTGTGTCCCACTGATATCACTCTTGAAGTTTTCGATGAAGATCCCCACGAGTATATTAACTGCTACTTCGATATAAATGATGAATTCAATAGCCCTGATATTGCCGCATTAGGTTTATTGGTAACTTTTGTCGACAAGAAGAAGGAATCATGCTTGGAACCTGTTTTGGCATTCATTAATAACCAATTGAGTGAATTACAGGGCATGGAAGAGAACTTGGAGGTTGCCAAAAAGAAAGAAGGTAATTTAAGAATGTTGGGATGTTTGTCAACTTATCTCTTGAAGCCAGAATATGAAGAACGGATGGAATTGTTTTTGACTAATTTAGTCATTCCCAACATTGATTCCAAGTTTGAATTCCTCAAGTCGAGAACGTTAGAGATCATGTCAAAGTTTGCCGACATTAATTTCAAGAATGAAGATGTCTTAATAAGAGTGTTCCAAGGTATCTTAATTAACTTTGACACTACAGTGAACCAAGATGTTAGCATTGTGGTTAGTTTCCAAGCAGCATTATCCATCCAGTCATATTTGCAAAACACAAATTTCAAGCAAATCTTATCCAACATCATTTTACCCACTATGTCTCGATTATTGGAGTTATCTAATGAGTTAGACAATGACTCAATCTCAATGGTGATGCAGGAATGCGTTGAAAATTTCTCAGAACAGTTGCAACCATTTGGTATTGATTTGATGACCAAATTAGTCCAACAATTTATGAAACTAGCTGTTGAAATCAACGATGCATCAAATGTTGATATAGATGCTTTTGACGGTGATTATGATGATCAAAGTGATAAGGTTATGGCTGCAATTGGGTTGTTAAACACGATGATTACGATCCTCCTTTCTTTCGAAAATTCTAAAGAGATTTGTTTGAAATTGGAAGAGGTTATCTCACCAATGGTCCAGTATGTTCTCAGCAATCAATTGGATGACTTTTTGACTGAAATTGCTGAATTACTAGAGAATTCTTCATTCTTATTGAGATCGATCAGTCCAGTCATGTGGAAAAACTTTGAGTACTTATACCAATCATTCGAAAATGGTCTTGCATTGATGTACCTTGAAGAATTGAACGGCTGTTTACAGAACTTTTTGATCTTTGGTGCCAACGATTTAGCTAAATCTCCTGTTTTGATTGAAAAGTTTTTCAACATCTTCAAAATCATAACCGAGAGTGACGATGAGACGGTTGGCTGGAACGATTTCTTATATGCCTTAGAGTTTGCTCAATCATTTGTCTTGTCCTTGCAGGGAAATGCTAGAAACCAGATCCCATTCTTTATCAACAGTATTGTGAAGTTTGAACAAGAATCGAAGCAATCGGCAGACAGTGGACATGTTAAATCCTTGGCTTTTAATATTAATATTACCAATGTCATGTTGTCATGCATCATGTATGACTCCACGACCACGTTGCATTTATTGCAAGAAATGTCTGTCTTGTCTTCTTTCTTTGAGCAATGGTTCACTCTCATTCCAAAGCTTAAGAGGGTCTATGACTTGAAACTTTCAGTTTTGGGTATTATAAGTATTTTGTCCATTGAGGATATTCATAAACTCTTCGACGAACAAGTGGTTGCTCAATTCAGTCATAAATTGGTCACATTGATTAAAGGGTTACCAATGGCCATTGAAAATTTGGAGAAGAAGAGAAAGAACTTCAATGAGTTGGAATACTCCGAAAGCTTCAAATACAATGGAGAATGGGGTAACGATAACCAATGGGATGATAATGACTCTGAAGATTTAGAAACCATTCTTAGAGAAGGAGAAGAGGCGGCCACCGAGGAGTACAATCAGAATGAGGCCGGTTTCAGCCAAGGAAGGGAAGAATATTTGGACTTTTTGCAGGAAGAGGAGTTCAAGAGCTCTGGTTATTACAGCGAATATGATGATGCTGTCTTAGAAGATCCATTAGCAACCACCCCATTGGACACCGTAAACGTTTTCGGTGTTTTCAAAGACTTCGCCGAGGGGTTGGAAAGAAACAACCCAACCAAGTACGGTCTAGTACTCGGCAACTTGAGTGATGATGAGAAGAACGTTGTTGCAGAGATCTTTAGAACCGTGTCCCACTAATATCATGGATGGTTTTTCTTTGCTGCCTGATCGATCAGTTCCCTTTAATTTGTTAGCCCAAATTTATTGCATATTTAGACTTTTTAGCCTTCAAAATAATACGACCACACTAGGCCACCAATATCAGCGGGATAACTAACTGGTACCACCAACTAGACGAGTTGGGTGCAAATCCGTATTACATAATAGATGACTAAGCTGCTTAGCCTCAAGATTTTTACGTGATTCGTGTTTCCTTACTTACTTCTGATTCAACCAATACCGAGTTGTACCACCTACAATGGCTGATAACTTTGGAAGACACCTCTCCACCCGTTGGGTCAAAGCTTCTGTACCCAGCTATGGTGACGAATGGGGCGACGAATACGATTATAACTACAACTCTGAGGAAACTTCGTCGGTTACCGAGGCCAAGAAAGAAGTCACGCCTGAGAGATTCGAGCTCCACGACAACCACCAGACGCCAGATCACAGTTTCAGTAGCAGAAGTCAAGATGAAGCCATATCAGGAGAGTCTATCTCAATGGGGCAGGACTTGAGCCACAAGACTGGAGTGCCTTCAGGCGCACAGAATCCGAGCAACTTGGTGTTGTCAATTGACAGATTTAAGAACAGGTCGGACTCCGACTCTGACGAAACTTCCGATGAAGAGCCAGAGGAACAACCCAAGGCTGTCCGAAAGAATACTATCAGAAAACCTCCCTTGGAACTTGACTCTTCCCTAATTGAATCACATCTGGCAGATGTTTCAAAGAGCTTCGACGAGTTTGTTCCTCCCACTCCAACATACACCACTAAATTTTCAAACCCTGGAACACCTCAGTCGGATAGAAGTTACCAGTCCGATGCTGACTCCATTCAGAATGAGCCGGCAAATTTGAACGTGGTGGACTCCAACAGGTTTGCATCCTCTGACCAAGAACATAACTACGAGGGCAAAACTATTCTCGAGGATATTCAGCCAAAGAATCTTTCTACTATTGACGAATTTCATAGCGGGAAAGAAACCGATAATGATAACGAGGCAATCCATTTTTCTAAGCCTGAGGCGTCTCCTCCTCAAAGTCCAAATGTTGCATCACCTCTAGTCTTGTCCATTGATAAGAAGGATTTCAACTACTCCAGTGATGATGATGAAGATGAAATTGCATTTGAACACAACGATGATATCCATGAAGAAGAACATGATAATGATAATGACATACCAAGGAACCATGAGACGAACACAATTCAAAGTGATAATGAAAGTACAAGTGGAGATGATTGGGGATATAACAGTGAGCACAGCAGCAACAATGATGGTGAGGCTTTCGAAACATCAAGTAGACCCTCCCATAGCGGGGTAGATGGTGAGGCCCGCTCACTGCAGGAACTTCATTACAAGTCTCCTGAGCTTCCATCTCAGCAAGCAAGAAGACCAATTGAGACTGCTGCATTGGATTCACTCATCCATGATTTGGAAAATGCTTCATTGGGTCCCGACAGCAGTCCCGAGAGACCTAAAGAGCAGCCAGAAGGCGAGAATGATTACACATTACAGCTCGATTCTTTCGATGTTTCCATGCCGGATTTTGAAGATTCTGAATTAGTAAACACTTCTTTGGCTCAAGCATATGAAGAAGAAGGAGACCCCAACTCTCCTACCACGCCTATTGCACCATTGAGCCTCACTGAAGAAAAAGAAGGTCATAGGAATTATTTGAGAGAATCTGGCCATCGCCGGTCCATCAGAAAGCCGCCACCGGAACCAAGAAAGAATTTGGTGTCTGTCGATTATTCTAATATAGCAGATGCTGTCAGTGGATACATGAATGACAATGAAAGTTTAGGTGCAAACAAGAATCTTGACATTATTGGAGAAGACAATCAGAGTGTATCCTCTGAAACCAAATCACAATCGACAGGGGAAAACAAAGAAAGAATTTCTGAGCCTCAAATGCAAGAAGAAGAATTTTTCAGTACGGAAGACTTCAAGAAACCGGGTGTAAATGAATTGCATCCAGTGGTATCCTTAGACTCCCTTTCAACTGGTAAGTTCTCTTTTGAGACCCACTCTACTTCTCAACGTGGAGACAATCATAGTTTGAGAGATGGCCAGAGTTTGAGGGATAATCACAGCATCAGAGAAAATTACAATTCCAATGAAGGTGTCGAGAATGACAAATCAAGAAGAGTTTCTACTATGAGCATGGCTACCGTTAATATGGGTGGCTGGAATCCAAATACCAATAACTATCGTGATCAGTTTATTAATGACAACGATAATGAGTCGCAGATTAATTTCAACCCACATGCAGAGGAGCCTAGTAACTACAACAAGTTCACAAAGCTCAGGGGCTCTAGTGGTCTTTCTGAAGTTGTATCTAACTCGAGTTCCATTTCAGTTCCAGATACCATAGATGCAGCCTTGCCACAAATTGCCGAAGACCCTGATGATAACGAGGTTGACAACGATCATGAAATTGACAATGAAACAGATGCTTATTCATTCGCAACCTCGCATAATGCTACGTCTCTGATCTTCCCACAGGATAATCAATTGCAACCGAAGACCTCTATTGCCGCAGACTCAATTTTGCAAGAGCACAGCTATCCACTGCCAGTTTTCAAGGAGGAAAGATTAACTCCTGCAGGTTCAAGTGAAATGTTACCAAAGTCCAGCAACCAGAGGTATTCCAGTCTTTTCCTGTCCAATGACCTTGAATCCCAAGAAACCAAAAGAATAGCCTCAGACTCAACAATGGGAGCGCTTGAGAAAGAAATGAACAAGGCTGCCAATCCTCTGCGTGTGACCGGCGCCTCCACCGCTGTTACTGAGTCGGGATTGACGTCGACGAAGCCATTTTCTGCTCAGTCGTATCCTGTATTTGATTGGAAGACCATAATGTCAGCCTCGCAGCCGATAGACAGGATCCGCCTCTTGAAGGAAGCATTGAAAAAGGAATCCGAGCATGACACTGGTCTCCAGAACTGGTTGCACGAAACATTAAAGAGTTCGCAAAACCCTACAAATATGCATATTGGTAAGATCGCTTCGGAGGCTTATTCGAATGCCACCCACAACGACATCCGCAGACACGCTTCGCTCCGAAGCAAAGTGTCGATTGTCAAAGACAAGGTGGAGACCTCTGGATTACATGCTACGAGTTTCGGGAAGAGATTTTTGAGCCGTGGTAAGAAATTCATGAAAGGGGGAGACTGAAGTGATTTTATAGATAGAACATGTTCCTTTTATTTATTTGGTCCTATTTGTCTGTAGATAATTAGTGCTTATGTACTTGGTCACAAGTTGTAAATGAATACACCCAGCGAGCATTTTACACCACACCGCATATGCAGATAATGCACAGAAGGGTCCTACACACATACTCTCCTCTATAACCACAATCCACAATCCACACAATCTACGACAAGAAGCAACTCCCACATTGCTTCACCAGAATCCCACACAAAAGTCTCGTATTTTGCAACCAGACCCTCCTGCATACACCCTCGGCATCACCGCTACTCCACAAATGCATGTGAAGAGGTTCCTGAAATCACATCTATTTCCAGCCCACCACCAGAACCGCTCTCCTAGATAGGCATATCACGCGAGGTCGAATTTCATATCAACACGGAACGACACTGGCGTTACCCGAAGCCCCATCCTTGAAAGTCCATAGACTCTTTCTCGTTCCACACCATCATGATCAACCTCGTCCACACGCTACAGATCTATGCCCTAAGGTTGATCTCCGTCATCATCAACCACACGCCTGCTTTCATATGGGCCATCATCGAGTTTGCCTCGGACATATGCTTCTTTTGGTTCAAAAGCATCTACAGAATGTATCGGAGAAAGGATCCGTTGAAGGAGTACTTGAAGCTTCTTGACAACGTCCAGCACTACCGGGAATGGAAGCCGATAGTCGGCGAGATAGATAAGTTGACCAACATGGACTTGTGGAGACAGAACTTTATCTCCAAGCATTACGACTACATACTTATTAACGAGCGCACCAAGCTATTGAGGGAGGCCAGGTTGTCGCAAGACTCTCCCCTTTTGATGTCGTTACTCCGTTCTGGTTTGATTCGTAATTTCGGGGGAATATCCCAGAAAAGACTCTTCACAAAGTCCTACCTTGGGACCAAGCTTAAGATTGAAGAGTACATCGAAGAAGTGTTGAGATGTCTCAACTACTTAAATGAATCCATCACTTCTTCAGACGACACCTTCATCATGAACAGCAAACAGTTGAAAATAGATTTCTTTCACGACGCAAGGCAATCGTTCGGGTGCACCGCATTGCTTCTCCAAGGTGGCTCCTTGTTCGGCTTGTGCCATTTAGGAGTTGTCAAGGCATTATACTTCAAAGGGTTGCTTCCCAGAATCATTTGCGGCAGTGCAGTCGGAGCAGCTGTAGCGTCGTTGGTTTGTACGCTAAATAATGATGAGTTAATACCGATATTGATTTCAATTTCGGATATCATGAAAGAAATTGACCTGTTAAACCACGATGTTGATGAGAGATATGGTAATGTTATTGAGAATGTGGTTAAAAAAGGATATTCCGAAGATATCTTAATATTTCTAAAGTTCGTGAGAGACACAATTGGTGACTTGACCTTTGAAGAGGCCTACTTAAAGACAGAGAAGGTGTTGAACATTATCGTCCATCCAACTAACCAAGCAATCCCATCATTATTGAACTACATCACTTCTCCCAATGTCATTATATGGACAGCAATCTATGCCTCCATAGGAACGGGTGTATTATCTGATAATGTCCAGCTATATGTCAAGGATTTCAACAATAATATTGTTCCAAAGTCTCCACTTAATGTTAAATACCTCAAACCACAAGACGTGAGCTACCTGAGAGGATATTTCAAGACCAAAAATGAAGGCTATCAGCCTCAGAAGAAGAATGAAAGCTCAAGTAGCTTTGAGACGAAAGAACAAGAAGATTTTGATGACTATCATTACTTCCAATCAAAAGAGAACTCTCCGTATACAAGATTAACTGAACTTTTCAATGTCAACCACTTCATCATCAGCTTAGCAAGACCTTACCTTGCTCCATTGATTAGCAATGATTTGAAACATTACCACTCTTACGGAAAAGTACGTTACGAAAGAGGACGCAAGCCCTCTGGAAAAGGATTATCCCTCATAAGCATGGGATCCACGAATGACACTGAGACGGATACGGATACTGGAAAGGACGATATGCAAATAGGTAAGGCCATCGTGGAGGAAAGGTATACAAAAGACACTAAAACCCATGGTTTCAAATTAATCAAAACCTTGATTGGGATGGAAATTCAACACCGTTTGGTTGTGATGAACAAGCTCGGTATGTTAAATGAAGTTATGAAACGTTTCTTCATTGATGAAAAGCCTTCATCTCTACAAACGCTTTCAAGTATAAGGGAGGTTACTATTGTTCCTGAACTCAAATATTTAGTAAAGGACTTTGGTAGAGTGTTTGATGTTCACAAAACCATGGAAAACATCCCATATTGGATTCTGGTCGGTGAACGCTCTGTTTGGCCATTATTCCCAATGCTTTGGACAAGATGTGCAATCGAGTTCGCATTGGACGATTTATACAATCTCCACAGAAAGAGAGGCCAATGATTAAGCTAGTGCTATCGCAGCGGGGACCTACATTTTACGACAACTTGGATATTCGGGTACATGCTGGATCAGTAAACTCGAATGTATTGTAAACTTTCATTTCTATAATTCTTCTGGAGACATTGAATCTAGCGTAAATCTCACCTATAGAATAGTTTGATACTTGCATCTTTAGTAACATGATAAATATATTCGTTTTCAACCACCCTCAAGCCTGGAATTATAGACTCGACAGGAACAGAACCTCTGGAAATAGTCAAACTACCAGTTATGTCATTGGCTCGTCCAGTTGCCAATGGCTGAAGATTTATATTTAATTGTGATCTGTGATACAACTTCACTAAAAAGTCTGAAACTTCGAATGCAGGGTCTTGGGTTGTGTTGGCATGCAATTTAACAATCTGGGGGGAGTCTTGAGCGCTTACAACAAGCAAGTGGCGACATTTCCTGTTCAACTTCAATATATGAGACAAGAGGTCATTTGCTTTACCAGCATTAGATAAAAGAAGGAGCTCGAGTCCTTCTATGAAAACGATTTTTCTGGTTCCACCAACTGCTTCAACCTGTTTCTCAATTTGCCCAAAGATCTCGCTCACTCCTCTAGATGATTCCTTAAAGTCCTTGATATACTTTGTGAACAAGTTGGTAAAACAATCTATGAAATGAAAGTTTGTGAAGTGTCCCAAATCCAATCCATTCTTCTTGCAATTTTGGATGTAGAAGTCTTTCGAGTGCAAAAAGGAAACGAAAAATACCTCTGCTCTATTTGATCTCTTCTTATTAAGATCATTGTTAATTAATGTTGCTGTGCCATTTAATCCATTCTCAATCAATGAGTTGAGGAGCCACGATGGTGATGTACCCTGTACATGTGATATCACTGATAAAACTGAGCTTTCTGAAGTTATTATTTCCTCGGACAACAAGGAATTGTCTTGGAAGAAGATCAAGTCTTGTTGCTGGTTGCTCATTCTCTCTCTGGCTGTTTCAGTCTCTCTTGTAGCGATGAGATTCTGTGGAAGAAGTGGGTTGTCCTGTATATAGTCTTCTGAGTTACTCTCAATGATTTCAGAGCAATAATCAAATAATTACAATTGGAAAACACAACACACTTGTTAGTATAAGCTTATCCTTGTTTTTCTTCTGTAATCTTGAAAGAATTCGATCGACTGTAAGATAGGGAACCAAGATAATTTAAAAAAATATGCGCAAACCCGGAATCGAACCGGGGGCCCAACGATGGCAACGTTGGATTTTACCACTAAACCATTTGCGCAATAGAAACTCCGCGACGGGGAATTGAACCCCGGTCTACCACGCGACAAGCGGTAATTCTAGCCACTAAACTATCACGGATTTTTCTTGAAAAATTTGAGGTTAGATGTGTTATACTATATGTATTATATTCCATGAAACATCCATACCGCAATAGTTAAAACTATAAGCAGAATAAAATACAAGTTTAACAAGTTCACAAATACAAAAAAAGAATGCTCTTCAGCTGTTCCACTTGGTGCTATCTAGTTTAGGGCTCGTATAAAACTTAAGAATTTTCCTGCCTTTTAACACATTGCATTACAGAATAAGAATGGATTTACTTTATCAATATTGTTATGCTTCTATTCCAATTGTTACGCTTAGACACACATATAAGGACCAGGAGAGATATCCATAAATGAACTCTTAACTACTAATTCGAAATGTTTACCTTGTTTCCCAAAGAAATATGGTACCAGATTGTTCCATTTTTAGAGAACGGAGATATAGGTTCGTTGTTGCTTTACGCAACAAAGTATTCTGAATCATGTGTTTCAACTGCCTGCTTGTTTGAGTTATCAAAAAGGGGTTGTATCCAGTCAAACAGTCTCTGCAGATCACTACCATTCCACCTCTTGGAAAACTTGCCCACGCTCAATGCTTCCAACTACATATTTCAAGTTCTTCGCTTCAATGCTGAGTTTGGAACTAAAATAGTTCCACAGGAAATTCAGTTGACCATTTCTTATGACACAATAAGTTCCTTTATTGACTTCTTCAATAAGGTAGAAAATGATCTATTAAGGTCTTCAAGTTTCATCATCAGGATAAATTTGGAAGAATATCCGTGCGACTTCGCGGACTCTTTGCTTAAGAAGCTTACTATAATTTCAAAAAGAATCAATAAACTAACAATCGTTGGTAATGATATAAGGCCAAGGTTACTAGAAAAGCATAATCTCAAATTGAGCTATTTTGGAACCAAAACCAGAATTGAGTCATTCCATCGTTCCAGCAAACTAATAAGTTTAAACAGGCTTCCTTCTAATGTGATTCATTGTCATGTGGAAAATTCCAAATTATCAACATTACTATCACAAACTTATCCACTCCTTCAATCCGTCGTATTCGATAATATTAGTGAGGATTTCTCTCTGTTTTTGAATATGCATGCATATAGTTTGAAGCATGTTCTGATAAGAGCTTTTTCATTTCCTATCAATAAGATACAGTTTGCAGTCTTTCCTAAACTTCAGACCCTTAAAATATGCACACTTCAGAAAACAGAGAGAAGATATAGACCCAACCTCAGTGCAATGCATAGGGTCATAACTGCACCGATTAGCGATCTGCTTTACCAAATCAATTCAACTACTTACAGATATATAAACACGCACTACTACAAGCTTTCACAATTACCTTTCAGTCAGCTTGAATTTCCTGAATCTTTACTAGAACTTCACTTGGAGGGAGGCATGGGTCCTTTCGACTGTTCAAGGTTTGATTGTCCAAAACGACTTAGAAAGTTAGCTTTAAAGAGCCAAGTGTTCCGAAAGGAGTCGAAGTTAATTTTACCACAATCTCTCATATCGGTCGATTTCTCCGAGAGTCATATTCCCAATATTCTTCAAATAAAGTTTCCAGATTCAATTGAGTTCCTAGACATTTCAAACAAGGTGCTTATTAAATTTTCTCCTCATTGGAAGTTCCCCACAAACATCAAATTCCTAAACATCACTACTCCGTATCCTTTAGTGGGCGAATTTGACTTCAGAAAATACAACAAATTGCAAGTATTGAAGGTATTTCTGGATTATCAACACAATAGTATCAGAGTTAATGATTTTGTTGAGGTAAGCTCTTAATCACTTGATTTCAGTTAAGCATATTGTTTATTAATAATTCTGTACAGGTGGTTAGATTCACTCGATTTAGAACACTATAGTTTTTTTAGGCTTCAAGATACACTTTTTGTTTGCATTTTTGGACCCCGTAGATTTTTGTCTACTAATACTGTGAAATGTAGTATTCAAATCATATGGTTCAAAGAGACTAGTTTCTGTCATATTTGGCAATCTATGAAAATTCTAGTTTAACACTTTAATGTCGAAAACTAGTTGATTTATACTCAGGTAATCGGCTAAAATACCCCTTCCAAAAACTGGGAGTGGGGTGTCATTAATAAATTAGACTTTAATAGATTCAATGTTGCAAAGTAACAACTCACAACAGAGTAAAGCGATGCACATGGGAGGCCCATTTTTGGTTCGAGGCAAGTAGCCCGAACCTATTCCTGAGTGAATGTACCTATCCTTGAGGACTGTAGACGTTTGTCTTCACTACTTCTTATTCAGAATGCCTACTGCTTCATTCTAATTGCCTTAATCATTCCGAAACCGGAGTATTGCGGCATGGCTGCGTCCTACAATTTTAAAGCATAATAAAGTATATTCATAAGTTATAAAAAGGATTCAATTGACTACATCAGAGTCAGCAGTAACAAACAGTACCATACTGATTATGGTCTTTACTTCTTGCAAGTAGAGCAAGCGCACTTGGAAGTGGTGCAAGATTTGCAGTTAGCACAGGAGGAGGCGCATTTAGAACAAGAACAGGAAGCCATGGTTTAGATTTGTAAATTAATCGGAGGTGATGAATGAAGAAAAGATACTTGGGATGGTGCTGTATTTATAGTCTTAGGGGATGAATCAACCCCCTAGTCCAAACACAGTGCACGACCAGATCAGGTCCTTATCACTCGGATATATCGCTCTCTTGTTTCTCCCTAATAATTTATTGTTTGGTTGCGAAGTCAATTTGAACCGAGAATATGTTCTCTGGCCGTTTCCGTTGTGTATTGCACCACCTGGGTCTTTTTTGGGAGAGCTGAATCACAATCACTCGGCACCCTACTGGTACTCTACATCTAGGGCTTGGCCTTATTTCTAGAGCCAGATCCCTAGGTTGCCTCGTTGGCAGAAGTAAATGAGATTATCTACTAGAATTAATTGTGATGTGCCAAGCAGACATACAATTTGCTCAGTTGGCACCCAAAGTTTATGGACTTATCGGTCAGCCAATAGATAATAGGCTTTGTTAAAATTGTTTAAAAACCAGTTACAGCACGCCATGTAACAATAAAATATGCCTTAGCGCATAATTGATTGTGCAACCCCTAACTTTGATCCACCAATTGAATCTCTTAACATCCAGATGGAACATCATTAATAGCAAGTGGGGTTGAAGTACTGGGTAACATTGCGGAGAGTAGACGGCGTTTCATCGCAATAGACAAGTTTGAATAACAGCCTTCTAATTAGGAATTCTAGTCCTGGCTCGCATCCAGCCTACTGAGAGTTCAAAAACTGAAATGCTGATATGCATTGAATATTAAATGCTACAACTATGCACACTGTGGCCTTCTTAGCCAAACATTATCCAGTTTGATGATCCAATAGTTCTATTAGATCAAGAATGAAATGAAACCCATACCAATTGCACCCATAACGGCTCCAAATCTTTCCCAGGATACCGATTTCATGTTAGCAACGTTACTAGAAGATGCTGCACTAGATCTGGCAAATTGGGAGAAATCATTTCCTTGGGAAGAGCTGGCCGAGTCAGAGTCAGAATCCGAATTCGAGTTCGAGTTCGAGTTCGAGTTGGAATCGGAACTGGAATTGGAACCTGTCGAAGTACTCTTGGAGCTTGAGGAAGAGCCAGAAGCTGACTTCGATGAACTACCGGACTTGGACGATGATGAGGAAGAAGAAGAAGACGAAGAAGATTTCTTCTTTATTTTTCTGTCAAAACCAGTGGCATCCTCTTCACCTAAGAGAGTACCCTGGTTGGTAATCATGACATTTTCAGCCCAACCGTCTGTATCATTAAAAACATAAGCATCGAAGTCAGTCCTGTTTCCCTTCTTGTCCTGGCCAACTCCAGATGGAAGGTCGTAGGCCTTGACAGAGACATTCTTCAAATATGCGTAATAGTAACCATTCTTTTTGATATCATCTGCATTCCAGTCGATCTTTCCACCAGCCCACTCGATAGTACCTGGGGCGTTGGTTTCGTTACCACCGGGCCAGAGAGACATTTGAATTCTGGATGGGGTCTGGGGGAAGGAGTACTTCTTGGAGGTTTCATTATAGGTGGATTTCTTATCAAGGGTTCTCACCTTGTTACCGTCTATGTACCAATCGATCGTTTCTTCTTGCCAGTCGATCTCGTAAGTATGCCAGTTCTCCATGGTATCTGAAAGACCATAACTCTTTGCTCTCGTGTAGTCTAAAGCACCCTGGGAGTAAAAGTTGGACTGAGCATTGGTCATGTTGTTACCCACGAATTCGAAATCGATTTCGTCTTCCACATCAGAATACAAAATGAAGGACGTCACTACCCCTGGCAAGTGTGAGGTTTTCAATGTGGCCTTGATCCGGCCGTACCACAAGTATTTGGAGGAGGAAATAACGGAACCTCCCGAGTTTTTAGGCATTTCAAATAATAATGCATCGTCGTTGTTGTCGATCCACCCAGAGTACAACCAGTCCGAATCGGAAGAGTTACCCAAGTATGAGGTCTGCAACCTCAACTTGTCCTTGTCATCAAAATGAGTATCGAAGGATCCCATCCGTGGCATGGGAACACAGGAGGTCAAGTTGTAAGAGTTCTTTATGTTGCACCCGTTGGCACAATAGGAACCGGTACCACACTCACCATACTGAGAACAGCATGGCTTATCTTGTGGACACTGGTTGGTGCTGTTACAGGAGATGGCCAGGGTCAAGCTGGCCAATAAGAACCCTGACACTAATGTTGAAAAGTGCATTATCGATACGGTATATTTATGATGGTGAAAAGGATTCTTATATATGGACACTGCCTCGATGCACGAATTTTACGTAATGAGGCAACTAATTATGGAAGTAAACAAACCTGGCCCTTTGAAACAGGGCTCTAGCTCTTAACAGCCCCAAGCCCTCCTACTTTACCCATTTGGGCGTGATTCCGTGCTTAATAAGAGCAAACGTTCGCAATCATTTGCTTTTTTTTATTTTTCCGAGTGATCTAGATTCCCCAAGAGGAAAAATGAAAGGGTCTACCAACTTATGTGGATGGGGCTTAGAGGGTTCAGAAAGCGCGGTATAATTCAACCAAACGGTTGTTTACATCTCGTTAACTCCATGTTTGGTGGGAGCTCGAAAGTCATTCATGCGCTACAGGCTATGTGGTGTGACCATATACATGAGAATTTTTAATCAACATGAAAGATTATGAGCCTTTTCTTGAAGTGCACGTTGCGCGTACCTCTTTCTGGGGTAGTGGATTGCATGAGTTAGCTTAGACGACACTATAGAATATTCAAAAGACATGAAGTATTTTTTTAGATGCTAGGATTTGAAGTAAAAACTTACATAGCTGATCTCAGGGTATTCATATCATGTACTAGATTTTACTGCCACTAGAGGAGAATAAACCATGGAATAGTTCGCAAACGCAGCAGGGCAACATTGATGAGTTAGCTAAAAATAGATCGGTTGCAAATAATCTTAGGCATTTACCATAACGTACAATAAGCATTTCCTTTTTTTAATTGTTCTTTTCTTTTGGGGATAGGTGCATATCTCGGACGAGAAGAAAAACAGATACGATTCTCCGTGCACAGAAGTAGTAAGTCAACGAGTTTCCCTAGAACGTCCAGTATTAAAGGTGACTATATTACCGCCACTCATACCGCTACTTCGGGCTCGGTCAAATAATTCGATAAGTATAATCCAAATGCATCGTAGATAAAATTATATAATACGGGAAATGTGCTAAGAGAGTGTCTCTATTGCTCCTAAAGGTTAAGAGCATGCTGTCAAAAACAAAGTCAAAAACAAATTTTGAATCACTTCTGTTATCTAAGCATACATGCAATGAATTAATGCTAAGATTCTTCGGATCAGTGCATTAACTTAACTATAATCCTGCCTCCTGTTCTCAAAAGGAGAGATCAGATTCTTCGGAGTGTGGGCAATAGAACGTGGCCTACTTTGTACTCCGCTGACAAAAGGGTTGGAAAAACTCACTTCTAAATTTTTGCAAACTTAAGTAGCTTGAACAACTTAACTATGTTTCAGCTTTCCTTGCAGCATGCCATATAAAGATCGTTTGTCCACTGAAGATCTCACTTCGAGAAATTTCCATGAAATGGTTTGCTACTTTCAAAATAGAAGTTTTATAGTTCCATCTTACAGATTGGAAGGATTTTAGTTCAGTAATAGCTACGAAATATCTCCTAGAGCTTTGAAGTGGAACCATAATTCTCGGGCCAAGAAAAGACACTCATCTAGTTCCATAGTTTTTATTTGGCTAATGAGAAGAATACTATAATTTACCCGTTAGTTTCCGAATAAATTGTTGAAGCTAATTGTGTGAAGCTAATAAGATATCTTAACCACTATAAGACACAATACAGAGAACTCCCCACAGATCCCTCCTCCCTATCTGAGTTTCTACTAAGAAGGGTCTAGGAAGTAGTTATATTTTTCTTGCTATTGGCAACTGCTACCCCGTGAACATGCATAGGCTTCACCCTAGTTTGAAAGAAAGCATCCCATAGATTTTGATCATCGTTGGAAATGAAAAAAACCCATTTTTTTCACTTAGACTCTGGTCAACCATTACATGTCATCTTGGTTTTTTTTTTTGAATGCATTTTGCGGCTTTAAAAGTTCAATGTGACACTCTGAGATCAACAAACCATGAAGGGGGTTATTCTGATCAAAATTTCTTACTGGAAAAAAGTAGGGGCATGAGTTTTTGTTTACTTGCTTACCAATCTGAGTCTTAGTATGGAAAATGCAAGTTTATCGAACTCAATAAAAAGGGCGTGTGGTCTAGTGGTATGATTCTCGCTTTGGGAGACTGCTCAGTTTACTGTGCGGAAAACTTCAAGCATGCGAGAGGCCCTGGGTTCAATTCCCAGCTCGCCCCTTTTTTCTGTCCATCTTTTTAAATTTTTGAATTGTATAAAGCCCCAGCCTGACCAAACTATATCACTTCCTACCCTTTTTCCCTCCAGCAGTCCTCCAGCTAGACTATCGTTTTCCCTAGTCACAAATCTGTTTTACGGGGTAGCCAACAGTTTTTGGTAAGGCGTGCCCGAACCAATAGATTAGGCGCTTGGTACCAACTAATTTTTGTTCCGTAAGATTCTACGGCCACACCATTTACGTGTTCATATAACTAGATCAACACGGTGGCTATTATCCAGCTGTTATCTTCGACTACGCTAATCCTGTTATCAAGCAGATTTATGTACAAATAATAGCTAAAGACCACCAGATCGTTGACTTACAGATCATAGAGACGACATTATTCATCAAGGTCAAAAGTCAGAATGTCCTCATATACTGCAGAGCAAGAAAAAATAGTCTTGAAAATCCTCTCTTACAAGCCCCATCAATACTATGAGATCTTAGCTGTGGAGAAGTCGGCAGGAGAAGCTGAAATCAAAAAGTCATATCGTAAACTTGCCATCAAGTTACATCCAGACAAAAACCCACATCCTAGAGCTGCCGAAGCCTTCAAATTTTTGAATAAAGCATGGGGAGTGTTAAGTGATCCTTCCAAGAAAAACATCTTTGACCAAACAGGGTCCGATCCGGAAGCAAGATTCGGTGCCAGCTCATCAGGAGCCTCGCCGTTCTCAAGAGGCGGTAATGCACAGCACTTCTCAGGATTCCAATCTGGAGGAGGTGTTCCATTCGACGAGGACATTTTCAACCTTTTCTTCGGCGGTGCTTCCAGAGGACCTACATTCAACTTTGGTGGCAATGGTTTTACTTTTCAATCTTTCGGTGGAGACCCGTTTGTAAGACAGCATACGCAAGCACGGACTCAAAATTCAAGGGCTCGTCAACAAACCCCAGCAGAACCTTCCACTTTCGAAACATTGAAACAGTTACTTCCAATTTTATTATTTTTGATTGTCCCTATAATATCAGCTCTTTTTTCAGACGATTCGTCGGTTCCAGACTATTCATTCACGCCTTCGAAGCTGCTCAACTTGGAAAGAAATACACCTAACTACAAGATCCCCTTCTACGTGTCGGAAAATTACATAAAGAAGAAGAAGTTGACCAGTAAGCAATTGAAACATCTTGATAGGAAGGTGGAACAAGTATTTATTCAAGACAAGAGATCCAAGTGTTCAAGGGAGCAAATTATGAAGAATGAAATGATGGAAGATGCCCACGGTTGGTTCTCCACTGATTTTGAGAAATTAAGGGAGGCCGAAAACATGCCAATGCCTAATTGTCAGACTTTGAGAAAATTGGGTTTAATTTGAAACTTTTCTACCTCGTATAACGTTTTAATTCTATCTATAGCATCCGTTAACAATACACTTTCCTTAATTAATATACAATATAATAATCTATACTTTGGCGTGCCTAGCTCAAAAACTTTGATCACATTAAAAAAGAAAGCCCGACGCGGGGGTCGAACCCGCAACCTTGTGATAACCTCTTAAACACAAGAATAAAAGTCACACGCTCTAGCCATTGAGCTAGCCAGGCTAATCTCTGGCCTGTAATTGCTGATCAACATATAAGTCTTCTGCAATCAATGAGGAAACATCCTTACCGCAATAGTAGAATAAAACGTTCTGAAAACAGTTGAATAGCATTTTATTTAAGTTGAGATGAATATAAATGACATGTCAGTTCCAAATACTCTAGATAATGGTACCATGCAAGGAATTCTGGTGTGTATCAAAGAAGAAAGTGAACTTCAAGATAATTGTACTAGCAAAATAGTAGGCAATTAGTCCCGGTTGATTCTAACTGGACAAATAAATGTTTTAAGGATTGTTTTTTTTCTATTGAAATTATGCCATTTACTGATTTTTTCACTAAATGATGAAAATTTGCAAAACTGGCTTTTTCTTGATTTTAAGACTAAAAGTAATACTCAACAGAATTGAATGTTCAATGCCCTTTTTCCTGTCCTGTATGGATGCCTACTAGCTTGTTGGTGCTGTACTCTAGGTCAAGCGATTCTTGAACTCCACGCGGCTGTTTTCCAAGATATCCGACACGGGCAGCATCAGGGGATATTTTTTCGAGTATCGGAGGCACAACGCACATGCCGACGCAGTACCTGCACCCCGAGCAACAGGTTTAGAATTGGCACCGGCCACTTGGCCCCGAGCTCATAATCGACACGATCCGGTTTTCCCACAACTGGGCAGCTCCATCATTCTTCCTGTCTGTAGAGTCGGCGGAGTCCGGCGAAGGGGGTACCTGCTGAAAAATATCGGTGCGCATCCTCGCTAGAGGGGGCGGGGGAAGCCAAGCGAGCTAATATTAGCAGACACAACAAACACAGGCTCCCTAGCACCATTTGGTGGAGCCTGCGGTATCCGCAGTCACCCCCGACAGTGCGTCGGCGCTCGATGTACAAACTGTGTGGTGTATCTCCATCGGGCACAGGGCCACAAACCAGTGCTTAGGCACTTTGAGAGAACAAAAGGGTGGGAGTGGGGGAAAATAGAGGATTCTCCGCCCTCCCAGAAACCTGGCTGGCTCGCCAGCTCCCGAAGCCACCAGCAGCCACGCTCATCAGCGTGGGCGTAGGCGCCTCCCCACGTTATTTTTAGTTCGAGGTTCCATCGTGCTGAGCAACGGTCTCTGATTCGATCTCAGTAGTCTGGTGCGAGCACTGGCAGGGCATTCACGACTGGGTGGTATGGCGACGCATTACGTCATCGGACCAAACTGTCTCTAGTGGGGGGCCACCAGAGCACGCCACCCAGAGTGCATCCTTGCCACACCACAAGATCCGCACTACACTACTGTGGTACTTCGGAACTCCTTTCCTTCTTTCCTTCTTTCCTCCTTCCTTCCTCCTTCCCTCCCTATCTTCCCGTGTCGTGGTGCGAATTGACATTTCCCCTAATTCGCGAAACGACGCCCGAAAAACGTTACGTCATACCGTGATGGCCGGGGCTGTTGGCAACAAAAGGGGGGCAAAACGCCGCCCCCACTGCCAGTACCTCCCCGTCAGGCCTGCGTAGGCGCCTACCCACCTCCCCGACACCCCTCCCGTCGTATTGGGCCCGTGCCGTGCCGTTTCGTAGACATTTCCTCCTCGTCTTTCACCCACCGTTTTCTCCCCGTTGTTGTGAACAATCGCACCCTACACGGCACTCTCCAGGACACGACCAGCGTTAAGCCGAGACATTGTACCGACCAATATACAATCCGCAGACATCCCCTCCCGTAATACCACCTTCACCAGACCCTCGGAGACCGACCAGGCTACGTCACGTCCACGTCCACGTCTAGACTTCACGCAGAGTTGCTGTCCACCACAAGAACCGCACGCCACAAGAACCGCTCGAAACGGCCCACAATAGACCATCCAGGAGTGCTTATACCAGTTAGCTCTACCACCAGTTGCCACGAAGTAGTTAGACAAGCTGTTGTTGTGCTACAAGCGTTGTTCCCGTCGTTTTCCGTTAATCACCCAGCAGTATTGCCTCCTTCCAGTAATTAGTGCTATCAGTTGACAATCAGTCGTTATCTCCCAACGTCGTTAGTCCTACCAACGTATCGTCCCTCCCAACGCATTTACTACGCCTGTCCCTGATCCAAACAGCGTCCTCCGCCCGTCCTTTCAAAGTATCCAAAATTACGCCTTCAACCAAGAAACAAAAGGTGTCGTCTACAGAAAACAGTCCTATTACCCGCGAAGACAACTCGAGTGCCAGCCATATGGACTCAGCAGAACTATTAAGGATCCTCGAGGACCCGGTTCTCTTCAAAGAAAAGGGCGATCTCATACGAAATGACCTTCTTGCCCATATAAAGAAACAGGACGTGGTCATCCAGAATGTCACCAACGAGTTGGATACTTCCAAGACCGCCAACAAAGCCTTCAAACAGGCCTTGAGTGAGATCGGAACTGTGGTCATTTCCGTCGCCATGGGTGACTTGTCCAAGAAGGTCGAAATCCACACCGTTGAATCGGATCCCGAGATCTTGAAAGTCAAGATTACCATCAATACCATGATGGACCAGTTACAGGCGTTCGCCAACGAAGTTACCAAAGTTGCCACTGAAGTCGCCAATGGTGAGTTGGGTGGTCAAGCCAAGAACGAAGGTTCTGTTGGTATCTGGAGATCCTTAACCGATAATGTGAATATTATGGCCCTTAACTTAACTAACCAAGTGAGAGAAATTGCTGATGTCACCAGAGCTGTAGCTAGAGGTGACTTGTCCCGGAAAATTAACGTGCACGCCCAAGGTGAAATCTTACAGTTGCAAATGACTATCAATACAATGGTGGACCAATTAAGGACGTTCGCTTTCGAAGTGTCTAAAGTCGCCCGTGATGTTGGTGTTTTAGGTATTTTGGGTGGTCAAGCTTTTATTGAGAATGTTGAAGGTATTTGGAAAGAATTAACTGATAACGTAAATGCTATGGCTTTGAACTTAACAACTCAAGTCAGAAATATTGCTAATGTGACTACTGCGGTAGCAAAAGGAGATTTGTCTAAGAAGGTTACGGCTGACTGTAAAGGTGAAATTTTGAATTTGAAATTAACCATCAACCAGATGGTGGATCGATTGCAGAATTTCGCTCTTGAGGTGACTACATTATCGAGAGAAGTCGGTACTTTAGGTATCCTAGGAGGGCAAGCCAATGTGCAAGATGTCGAAGGAGCTTGGAAAGCAGTTACAGAAAACGTCAATCTAATGGCTACGAATTTAACAAACCAAGTCAGATCGATTGCTACAGTGACTACTGCAGTTGCTCATGGTGATTTGTCCCAGAAAATTGATGTGCACGCTCAGGGTGAAATTTTACAATTGAAGAATACTATCAATAAGATGGTGGACTCTTTACAGTTATTCGCTTCTGAAGTGTCGAAGGTTGCTCGAGATGTCGGTATCAATGGTAAATTGGGTATTCAAGCCCAGGTCAGTGATGTCGATGGTCTTTGGAAGGAAATTACGTCTAATGTCAACACTATGGCCTCCAACTTGACATCTCAAGTTAGAGCCTTCGCACAAATTACAGCTGCAGCAACAGATGGTGATTTCACCAGATTTATTACAGTCGAGGCCAGTGGTGAAATGGATGCTTTGAAGACCAAGATTAACCAGATGGTGTTAAATTTGAGAGAGTCTATTCAAAGAAACACTGCTGCCAGAGAAGCTGCTGAATTGGCTAATAGTGCAAAGTCTGAGTTTTTGGCAAACATGTCTCATGAAATTAGAACACCATTGAACGGTATCATCGGTATGACACAGTTGTCCCTTGACACAGAATTGACACAATATCAAAGAGAGATGTTATCTATTGTCCACAATTTAGCTAATTCCCTTTTGACAATTATCGACGATATTTTGGATATCTCCAAGATTGAAGCCAACAGAATGACCGTTGAACAGATTGATTTCTCATTGAGAGGTACTGTTTTTGGAGCCTTGAAGACATTGGCTGTGAAGGCTATTGAGAAATCCTTAGATTTGACTTACCAATGTGACTCATCATTCCCAGACAATTTGATTGGTGATTCGTTCAGATTACGTCAAGTTATTTTGAACCTAGCTGGTAACGCTATCAAGTTTACCAAGCAAGGTAAGGTTAGTGTTAGTGTTAAGAAGTCAAGTAAGATTGTTGAAGACACCGAAAAATTACTCTTGGAAGTATGTGTTAGTGACACCGGTATTGGTATCGAAAAGGACAAACTTGGTCTTATTTTCGACACTTTCTGTCAAGCAGATGGTTCTACTACGAGAAAGTTCGGTGGTACAGGTCTAGGCTTGTCCATTTCCAAACAGTTGATTCATCTTATGGGTGGTGAAATTTGGGTTACTTCTGATTATGGTTCTGGATCCAATTTCTACTTTACTGTGAGTGTTTCTCCCTCGAACATCAGGTATACTAGACAAACTGAACAATTATTACCATTCAGCTCACATTACATTTTGTTTGTTTCAACTGAACATACTGACGAGGAGCTTACGGAAATCAATGATGGAATTGTTGAGTTAGGCTTGAACCCAATAATTGTGAGAGATATCAACGATGCTAATTTGACTGAGCCAGTTAAGTACGATATTATTATGATTGACTCTATCGAGACTGCAAAGAATTTGAGGTTACTTCCAGAAGTCAAGTACATTCCATTGGTGTTGCTTCATCACTCCATTCCTGAATTGAACATGAGAATCTGTATTGATTTGGGTATCTCCTCCTATGGTAACACACCATGTACTATAACCGATTTGGCGAGTGCCATAATACCTGCTTTGGAATCCAGATCTATTTCTCAGAACTCGGACGAATCTGTCAGTTACAAGGTATTGTTAGCAGAAGATAATTTGGTTAACCAGAAGTTAGCTGTCAGAATTTTGGAGAAACAGGGTCATCAAGTTGAGGTTGTTGAAAATGGTTTGGAAGCCTATGAAGCCATTAAAAAGAATAAATATGATGTGGTGTTGATGGATGTTCAAATGCCTGTAATGGGTGGTTTTGAAGCAACCGAAAAGATCAGACAATGGGAGAAGAAGTCGAACCCTATAGATTCCTTGAGCTTCAGAACTCCAATTATTGCATTAACAGCCCATGCGATGTTGGGTGATCGTGAAAAGTCGTTGGCGAAGGGTATGGATGACTATGTGTCGAAGCCATTGAAGCCTAAGTTGTTGATGCAAACTATAAACAAGTGTGTGCATAACATCAACCAATTGAAGGAGCTTTCGAAGCAAAACAACAGTAACAGAACCTCCGACTTTGCGAAGAACTTGAAGAAGGGTTCCATAAAAAACGAGCATGTTCACTCCAACATGTTGATAGGGTCCAGTCCAAGTAGCACGTCTGTCAATACCCCTGTCGGATTTGGTTCCGGTGGCAACACTGGTACCGGAACTGGAGGTACCAACTCGACATGCTCCACTCCACCAATTGCATCGGCCGATTTGTTCACCTCTGCAATGCAGGGTCCGCCAAAAATCAGAAAAACCAACTCCAACGACCAAATTTCAAACGGCTCTACTAGACCGGGCCAATTATCGATGAATAACAAGTCCGTCACCGAGAGTCGACTTTATTCGTTTGCAAGCTTCAAGACGGAAGGAAATGGCGACAGCATGGATGTGGACGAATCGTCTAAGAAGATCGAGCAACTTGATTAGTTTAAGTTTGAGGGAAGTTGACCATATTTCAACTGGATTATTATATTGAGTGCATCCGTTCCATTGGAACCTTACAGTTCATCATTTGTAGACCATCAATACTTGCTACTTTTTATTTATTTCAAATTGGGTATATAATTCGAATGTCATTATTGTTTTGGAAGACATGTAGGAACAATATAATTATTAAGTAGTTTTGGGCGAAATGTGCCGTCATGATTAATTATCTATAGTCGTTTTCGAAGATATTGCACTTTGGAGCAGCATCATAAGTAATTATAATTGTTTCGACGTATTACTTATTTATAATCCTCTTGGACACTAGCATCAGATTATTTTTTTAGCATATTTTTAGTATGGAGCAGCACCATGAATAATTTATCTATAATTATTTGGAAGTCTTGATTAATTATCCATAATTACGCAGAGCTTGGCAATTTGGCATAACGACTAATTATTAATTATTTGGACGCACGTCACAACTACACCTCTTTTCTCACGTTATCATGCTTCATGTTATCAATGCTGCGAATCGCATCGCATCTCTATCTATCTATGAATGGTACAAGAGACTACACCAGGTAACTCTTGGTGCAGCTTAAGCAAACGCCTTCTTCAATCCGTCAACGTTGGACTTGATCAATTGTTTTCCTTGTTCCAACACCGAGTCCATGACCATGACTGGGTGAGGACAGCCCTTGTAGATGTTAGCGGTGCACTCCACGCCGTTTCTTCTCAATTTGTCTCCGTAAGCCAAACCTTCGGACTTCAACACGTCACACTCACCCACACACAACACGGCTGGGGGGTTCTTCTTGAAGCTCTCGTCAGGGTAGAAGAGAGGCGATGCTTCAGGGTCGGTGAACTCGCCGTTAGGCAAGTAGATGGCTCTGTACCAAAGCATCTTTTCCGCTGGCAATTGCGGGGTGAACTCGTACTCCTTCCACGACTCGTAGTTGTCGGTGTTGGCGGTACAGTCGGTGACAGGCACCACCAAGACCTGGAATTTGATGCTGGGCAATCTTTCCGAGAGGGGCGAGTTGACGAATTTGTGGCACACGATAGCTGCCAAGTTACCGCCTGCGGACGAGCCGCCAACAGCCACCTTGTCGCCGTCGATCTTCAACTGGGCGGGGCCTTCCTCGAGAGCCCACACCAAGGCTTCAAATGCGTCGTTGGGAGCAGCGGGAAAGGGAGCCTCTGGTGCCAAACGGTAGTCGACAGTGACGACCACACACTGGGCGTCCTCTGCAATGTGCGAGCAGTACGAGTTCTCGGTACCAATGTTACCGAGAACGTGTCCGCCTCCGTGGTACCACACGTAACATGGGAAGCCTGCAGCGGGAGGAGTGCCCTTAGGAACAAACACTCTGGCGGGGATTTCGGGGCCCTCGGTGTACTTTCTGGGGATGGCGATGTCGTAGATCTTCTCCATCTCGGCCATGGGCGTTTGGCCTGGCACAACGTTACCGGCAGCCTTGAGCTGAGCCAAGGGAACTCTGTGGGTGTAGAGGATGTTGGAGTTGGTGCTCAACTTGTCGGCGTAGAACTGCTTGTAGACGGGGTCCAACTTGTCGACCACCGAAGGGTGCAACTGGTGGGGAGTTGGAGGAACTCCTCCTGGGAAGCTGAAGTCTGGTTGAAGCGTGTACATATTGGTGGTGGTGTTGTGGTGGGAATTGTAAATTTTGACAAGCGAGTCTTTTCGGTTCTTATATGGGAGCGCCAGCCGTGGTTAGTGTGCTCTGGCAGTGTGGATCGGCTGGCGGTTTCTGGGGTTGGGTTGAGTTGGTGGGAGCCACTGGCCCTTGGTGGTGGAGGGAGCGGGGCCGATCGCGGTGGAGGGACCGCGCTGCCCCACACTTCGCGCCAACAATAGTCATAGTGGGGGACCACTGCCCTCCATGCCCCTCCCCCAACCTGCAATCCTCGCCTGCGATACGGGAACCCCCTCCGTCACTCCCCCACATCATACCGCCATTCGCAGCCGCCAGCGTATAAGTACCACAACCGTTCTGGATCACTTCCTACACTTCCCCCACATTTCCTCTCCATGACATACCCATCCTTGCTCACTCCTCTCGCTGACAAGCACCAAGTGCTTGCCGCCTACCAGGGCAAGCACATTTCGGAGTTGCCTACTCCATCGGTAGTCATCGACAGAACCAAGTTCCAGAAGAACTGTGACAGAATGCTCGAAAACGCCCACAAGTTGAACGCTGGCTTCAGAGCACACATCAAGACCCACAAGACGCTCGAGGGCACGTTGTTGCAGTTGGGGTCTGGCGCCCACAGAACCCAGCGCTTGGTGGTGTCCACCACCAGAGAAGCCTGGAACATTCTCCCATTGGTGGAGCAGGGCTTGGTGTCCGACATCCTCTTCAGTTTGCCTGTGGTCAAGTCCAGGTTGCCTGAGTTGGCGGAGTTGGCCACGAAGGTGCCTCAGTTGAGACTCATGCTCGACAACACCCAGCAATTGGACACTTTGGCTGAGTTCCGCGAAGCCCACCCAGAAACCAAGAAGTGGTCCGTCTATGTCAAGATCGACATGGGCACCAGCAGAGCTGGCCTCATCAACGACACCAAGTACTTGGACGAATTACTCGCCAAGCTCTTGAAGGACGACCGCATCAGACAGCATGTCGACACCTACGGGTTCTACTGCCACGCAGGCCACTCGTACGCCTCGGACTCCGAGAACAAGGCCAAGGACTTCTTGCTCCAGGAAATCACCCACGCCAACGCTGCTGCTGCTGCTGCCATGAAGCTCGACCCAAGCGCCTCCTACCACATTTCTGTGGGTGCCACTCCTACTGCACACGCCTCCGAGCTGTTGACCACCGAGGAATTGGCTGAGAAGTTCGAGGGTGGCTTGGCTGGTAAGCTCGAGTTGCACGCTGGTAACTACCCATGCTGCGATCTCCAGCAGCTTTCCACCGGCTGCATTACTGAAGATAACATCTCGTTCACCTTGATCGCAGACGTGCTTTCTACATACCCTGAGAGAGGAAACAAGGCTCCAGGAGAACAGCTCATTAACGCCGGTGCCATTGCGTTGGCAAGAGAATTTGGCCCTGTTTACGGCCATGGTAGAATCATGGAGCCAAGAGGCTACGAGAACTGGGTGGTTGGCAGACTTTCCCAGGAGCACGGTATTTTGGTCCCATTGGATGAGACAAAGAAGACGGAATTCTTACCCATCAACACCCGTGTTAGAGTCATTCCACAACATTCCTGTATCACTGCTGCTGCCCATCCTTGGTTCTACATAGTCGACGAAAAGGACGTGGTAGTGGACGTTTGGGTTCCTGCTACAGGCTGGTAGTTTACGGATTACGAATAGAGTAAATAGGTTAATTCATCAAAAGGCAATTTTCAGTATAAACCCTTCCTGTAATACTCCATGGTGAACATTTCTAGATTTAGTACCCCGTCTGGTAGGTTGTCGCAATACAAGACGGTTATATGCTTGCTTGGTCATGGTGGAATTAATTAATAATTTTAAGAATATATTTGAGATCATGTCGTCCGATAATAGGATATCTAAGTGCTTCATGATTTCCAACAAGTGTCAAGTATGATCAATGAATCTTCGATGTAGGATTTGCATTGTCCATTTTTCTATTTTTTCAATATTATATAATAATTGCAATAATATTATTTTTAATAAAAAAGTCTTGTGCTTAGGTAAAATTTAAGATCTCTAAGCTTTCATGGTATGATTTAGCTTTAGGAATCTTGAAACTGGCTGTAATACCCAATCAGAACCTCTTACAAATGGTAAAGCTAACTCAAAATTGGGTTAGACGGCCTTAGTGGGGTAATGTGCTTAGTATTTCTGCCGCATCCTAAGAATGCAGTCAGACACAAACCTAATGGTACTAGACTACACCACACTGTTTGTTGGCCCCAACTAGTAGCCTATCTCATAGCATTTTGGTGTTACCATCATTGACCATCTCCAACTAAAAATCAGTAATGTATTACGTAAGAACCGCGTCACACGCGTTTGGCTTACATCTCCAAATTTATTACTGGATCTTGCTATCAGCTACTTTCCCTCCAGCCTACACCATGTCACAGGTTAAGAGAGAGCGTGACCACGACCAGGCGCATTCATTGCCCGCCGTCTCACAGTCCATCTCGTCTTCCCAAGTGGAGCTTGCATCATCACAAGAGCAATTGTTGAAGAAGGTGAGGAGGCCCAATAGTGGAGAAGAGCCCTCAGAGTTCGAAAGAGAGTTATTGGACATGACTCAACATGCCCGTGAGATTGGCAGTGAAGAGGACCAATCGTGGGATAGGCCCCCTTTGGAAAATGTGGACCCTTCCACCATGGATGTATCATTCCAACAATTGGATGCTGAAGAATTCAACAACGGAGACGACACAGAGGCCAGATTTTTTGGAATAACACAGGAGGGCTACTCAGTGTTGTGTAACGTGGTTGGATTCGTCCACTACTTCTATGTTCCAGTTCCTAAAGGGTTTTTCAAGGAACAGCATTTGAGTCGATTCATCACTTACTTGAAGGCAAATTTCGAGGGGATTCTTGATGTCGAAATCAAACTTAAGGAATCGATTTGGGGATATAACAATAATACCAAAAGTCCTTTCTTCAAGATCTTCTGCAACAAAAGCATTTCCAGAGTCAGAACTGGCTTTGAAAGAGGAGATGTTCGCTTTGAAAACTTGTTCCCGCCACAGAACGTATCCTATGATAACATCAACTTCTTGCTTCGTTTGATGGTTGATTGTAAAATTACCGGAATGTCATGGATCACTCTTCCAAAGGGTAAGTACACTTTGGTTAATGATTCGCAGAAGCTTTCTTCATGTCAAATTGAGTGCTCGATCAATTACAAAGACTTGATCTCACACCCTTCTGAAGGTGAGTGGTTGAAAATGGCCCCCCTTCGTATCTTGTCATTTGATATTGAATGTGCTGGAAGAAAGGGTATCTTTCCAGAGGCCGAACATGATCCGGTGATTCAAATTGCAAACGTGGTACTGAAGCTAGGAGATTCGAGGCCGTTTGTGCGGAATGTGTTCACTGTCAATACCTGTTCCTCGATCATTGGTTCCCAGATCTTTGAGAATGCAACCGAAGAAGAAATGTTGATGAAATGGGTAGACTTCGTCAACAGAGTGGATCCAGATGTCATCATTGGTTACAACACAGCAAACTTCGATATTCCATATTTGATTGATCGTGCCAAGGCCTTAGGGTTAAGACGTTTTGCATACTTCGGAAGACTCAAAAACGTGAAGCAAGAAATAAAGGATGCTGTCTTTAGTTCTAGGGCATATGGTACAAGGGAAAACAAGGTTGTCAACATTGATGGTAGAATGCAATTGGATCTCTTGCAGTTCATCCAAAGAGAATACAAATTGAGATCCTATACTTTGAATTCGGTCTCTGCTCATTTCCTAGGAGAACAGAAAGAGGATGTCCAGCATTCGATTATTACCGATTTACAGAACGGTACTCTGGAGACTAGAAGAAGATTAGCAGTTTATTGTCTTAAAGATGCATACTTACCAATGAGGTTGTTGGACAAGCTCATGTGTTTGGTGAACTACACAGAAATGGCAAGGGTGACGGGTGTACCATTTTCATATTTGCTTGCTAGAGGTCAGCAAATTAAAGTTATTTCCCAATTGTTCAGAAAGTGTTTGGAAGACGATATCATTATTCCTAATATGAGAAGTGAAGGTACAAATGAAGAATACGAAGGTGCCACTGTCATTGAACCAGTCAGAGGTTACTATGACGTTCCTATCGCTACTTTGGATTTTAGTTCTTTGTATCCTTCAATTATGATGGCGCACAATTTATGCTACACAACGTTATTGAACACTCAAACCATCAAGACGTTCGGATTGACCGAAGATGACTATACGAAAACCCCAAATGGAGATTACTTTGTCAAAGATAATAAGAGACAGGGTATCTTGCCAACTATTTTGAACGAACTTTTGACCGCAAGAAAAAAAGCAAAGGCAGATTTGAAGAAGGAAACTGATCCCTTCAAAAGAGATGTTTTGAATGGTAGACAATTGGCATTGAAAATTTCCGCGAACTCTGTGTATGGTTTCACAGGAGCGACTATTGGTAAGTTACCATGTTTAGCCATTTCCTCGTCTGTCACTGCATTCGGTAGAGAGATGATCGAGAAGACAAAGAATGTGGTCCAAGAATATTATACTAAGGAAAATGGTCATCCATATGACGCTCAGGTCATCTATGGTGATACCGATTCTGTTATGGTCAAATTTGGTCCATCCGATCTTGAAACATGCATGAAGATGGGGGAAGAAGCTGCAAACTATGTTTCTACAAAGTTCAAGAGTCCTATCAAGTTGGAGTTCGAAAAGGTATACTTTCCTTATCTTTTGATTAATAAGAAGAGATACGCAGGTTTGTATTGGACCAGACCCGATAAATTCGATAAGATGGATACGAAGGGTATCGAGACAGTCAGAAGAGATAATTGCAGAATGGTTCAAAATGTTATCACGAAGGTTTTGGACTTCATTCTAGAGGATAGAGATGTTGAAAAAGCTCAGAGATTTGTCAAGCAGACCATTGCTGATTTGCTTCAAAACAGAATCGACTTGTCGCAACTAGTCATCACTAAGGCATTCACTAAACACGACTATGCTGCTAAGCAAGCACATGTCGAATTAGCTGAGAGAATGAGAAAAAGAGACGCTGGATCGGCACCAACATTGGGTGACAGAGTTGCTTATGTCATCATCAAGAGTAGTAGTGACAAGAACTATGAAAAATCCGAGGACCCGTTATATGTGTTGGAGAATTCCTTGCCTATTGATGTGAAATACTATTTGGAGAATCAACTTGCCAAACCATTGGAAAGAATTTTCATCCCCATTTTGGGAGAAAGCAAGACCAAGGAGTTATTAGCAGGTTCACACACAAGAACCATCAAGATGCCAGCACCCAAAACTGGTGGGCTCATGAGGTTTGCGAAGAAATCTGAAGTGTGTATCAGCTGCAAAACTCCTTTGAAATCGGACAATCATGGTGCGTTATGCCCAAACTGTATTCGTGATGGTAAAGCACCTGCTTTATATGGTAATGCCTTATCTCAAATGAACTACTTGGAGAACAAATTTTCGAGATTGTGGACCGAGTGTCAAAGATGTCAAGGATCGCTCCATCAAGAAGTATTGTGCTCTAACAAAGATTGTCCGATCTTTTATATGAGAAAGAAAGCTCAGAAGGATGTACATCATCAAGCCCAAGAGCTTGTTAAATGGGAAGAAACTGTCTGGTGATAGCCAGCACATTTATAGTTGAATTCTATAATGGTTAATAATAATGTATATTAGGATAGAATATTTTCCCGTAGCCTCAATTTAAAAGCTATATGGCGTTCTACTAGTAGAAATTATTAATTATTAATTAGCTAGCGAACTATTCGTACATATTTACACAAGTGATTGACTCCCTCCCCAAACATCTTTCAATGCAATTCTTAAAAAGCCGGGAGTACTCCCTTCCAACTTCCCAATTAGAGTTGGTGAATCCTTTATGAAAAATCTTCAAAAGGCCTGCGATATGATGTGTGTTTTCGATATTCTTCATCTGCGCAGCAAACGCTTTGATCTCTTTGTGATATTCAAGGCTGTCTTCGCGATTTATTTGGTGAAGAGGACCCGAGATGCAAGAAATGAAGTTTTTTCTGATTCTTCTCAAATAAGAATAACCATCTTCTCTGTCAGGATAAAAACTATCACCATCTAAGCTTCCAAAGAAATTGGATTCATTTCCATATTTGGAAAAGTTGTAAGCAAATATCACTAGAATAGCACTCGCCATTATATTTTTCCTATGCAAAAAGGGATCAGTGTTAGGATCATACAGGTAGCTTATATCTTCGTTGTGTGGTGATAAAAGCATTTCAAATAAAAATAAGTAAGCATGCACCACGGTGATATCACCATTGGTGCTGTGGGACCATTCTTTCACTCTTCTTTCGACGTTCTGGTATTCGGTCTCGGTAACAGTCACATTCATTCTGCTGGGTGCCCCCGCGTAGACAATGTAGTCATAATGGGTGATTCTCATGTAGATTTGGGCGATGTGGTAAAGACTGAACTTGCATCTAGTATCTTCGTACTTGAGCATGGGAGGTATATTAGGGTAGTCTCTTTCAGTGAAATGAAGGGCTGTTTTGGTATCAAAGCACCCGTTGGGGCACATTTCAACTCTCCAAACATCAATTGCAATGGAGATGATCTCGTTCCACGATTCTTTCATGGAGTCCCACTCCAAGAACGAAAGCTGCAAATCTTTCTGCTGCATTTGGAACATGATGGTCAAAAGCCCCGCCAAAAGAATCGACTTTCCGAAGGTGCTCGTCTGGATGTGTTTCCGGTGCAAGAGGCCCTTGAGGGCGTCCAAGAACTTGGGGGACTGGAACTTGCTGATGGAGTCGATTTTTGTGTACTCGTTGTCGTACTCCCACAAGCTGTCTTCGCACGGCAAGGAGAGCTTGATCTGGTAGGCGTAGAGGATGAGGGTATGGCCGTAGACCGTGGAGTTGACAGTATCCAAGTGGAACGCCATGAGGCACGCACGCTTCATGGACTCGAACTCGATCCACTGTTTCCACACCTGCGGGTCCTGGTCTTCCACGTTCTGCTTGAGCGGATCTCCTCCCAAGATGGGCGAGCGTCGCAAGAGCTGGATCTTTGTTCCGTGGTATAAGAACGAGCGCTCGTGCAAGAAACGGCTGGTGCTGGTGATCTCAAATGACTCCAAGAGCAAGAGGCTCTGCACCACGTAGAGCTTGGCAGGCGGCTTGCAATCTGCGTTGGAGAAGATGAGCCAGCGGAGCGGCTCTGCGATGTGTTCTGCGAGCTTCTGGGGTGCCACGAAGAGCGACTCCTTGTGGCCACTGCAGGGCACCAAGCTGGCACCCACCATGATCATGGAGAGCAAGAGAAGCGGATGGGCCTCCGAGTTGGAGAACGACGGCCTGTGCAAGATGGGGTACTGAGGATGGAATGTGGACCAGTAGATCTCGAGACAGCGCTCGATGTGCGGGAGGCCAAAGTCCTGGTTGAGGCCAAGGGACGGGATGTGGGAAATGAGCTCCAGGCGCACCGAGTCGTCCACCAGGTCTCTGGTGCTAGAGTGTGGGAACTGGGGAGTGATGGCAAACACATTCTCAATGAGCGACGACACAGGCGACACCTCGTTGGGGAAGTTGTGGAACTCGGACGATACGAGCTTGTCGCCACGGGCGAGCGAGTCGTCGTGGAAGAGCCACTCGATCAAGTCGGAGGGTGACAACGGCTTGGTCAACGGCGTCATGGACTCCAACTGCAGCTCGCTGGGCGCCTCTGGCGCCACGACGTCCGCACTGGGCTTGGGCGCTGGTGGGCTCGCGAGCAACGAGATTACGGGAGCCAGGGCCCCCAAGTAGGGAGCCAGGCTCTGGCGCTGGTGAGGGTCCTCATGGAGCTTGTGGAGGCCTTGGTGGGATGCGCGCAGGGCGTAGTCCTGGGTGTGCTTGACCTCTGGGCTGACCAGCACGTTCTCGTGGTAAGTGGAGGAAGCGCCAGTGCCAGCCAGGGGGGCGTTCTCCTTGCTGTACTCGGGGTGGTCGTCGTCGTCGTCATCGTCGTCATCGCCAGCAGAGCCGTCGGCCTTTTTGACCCGTGCAGCGTGGCGCTGGATGTGCTTCTCCCGAACGTCGTTCCTGGAGAACACCAACTCACACCCTGGCCAGGTGCAAGCTAGCTTGCGGGACGGATCGTGGTTCTTTTGATGCCGGGACAAGTGGTCGGCACGGGTGAAGCTGCGGCCACACCCGTCGTAGTCGCAGCAGAAGGTGCCGTAGGTGCGTTTGCGCTTGTTGGGGGGGAAGCCGTGGTGTAGCATCTCGTTAGTGGTGGTGGGGTCCAAGTCCGTGACAGTCATCTCATTCTCTCAGGGTGGTGATAGGTAACGATCGGCGGCGACAAAAAAATAGTCTGGGGTAGGTAGTCCCGAGCGGTAGTACCGTGCGGCGGACGCGCGCGGGATAAGAGCGGGGTCTTATCAGCGGAACTGGCGGGCGCGCCCAGCATTTGCTGGGCATGCAGATGCGACGCATGCAAGCGGGTGCGCGGTTCCAGAGATCCTACAAGTCGGTTCCAGTCAGCCAACGGCTGGAGTGATCTATTGTGTCATATATATGTATAAATGCCGGCAGGGGCGTCTGAGCACCTACTCAACGGTGGCGATGACCTCCAATTCAACCTTGATACGGGGGTCCATGAATGCAGCAATGACACAGCTTCTAGCTGGCTTTTGTGGGAAGTATTGGCCGTAGATCTTGTTCATCTCGGTAGCGTAGCTGATGTCGGAAATGAACATCATCACCTTGAAAACCTTGCTGATGTCGGTGTTGGTCTTGGCCAACACGTTCTTGACGTTGGCAATGGCCAAGTGGGTTTGTTCCTCGAGAGTTTCAGGAATTTCGCCAGTGGTGTAGTTTTGACCCACGATACCCGAGGTGAAGACGTGACCGTTGGAGGTCCATGCAGGGGATAAGACTGGGTGTTCTTGTCCGTCAATAGCAGACCATTCTAATTTTTGTGCCATGGTGAAGTTGTAGTGAAAATTATTGACCGCTGTAATAGCGGAGGACCGGCACTAATAAGTAGTCGCGGCTCCGCAACACAAGCCGCCGATCAAACAGCAGGTGGTAGTGGGGTAGAGGGGTACGTTCCCGCCATGCCTGATGGAATACGTAAGGTGGTGGTGGAGGGAGTCACCACCACCCACCGGTGGAGGCACCGCTTGCAAGTGACCGTATTGAGGGTTTCGTTCCCTGGTGGTGGAGGGAGTCGGTGGGGCTGTGGCCGAGATCCCTTGCCAACACCACCAGGAAACCAGATCCCGGTGGGGAACCTGCATAAACTGTTGAGTATATTTTTTCCGTCGGTGGAGGGAGTTGGGGAAAATGTCATCAATGATATGTCCTTTGTGTGACAATTCCGTACCTCAAGGCAATTTTTCTGGCGCAAAACCCATATGGATCTCTGGTGAATCCCAATCCGGCAACTGCTGTGGGGAGAGATAAGGATGGTAGAACAGAAACCTTTTGATCTCTGTTCAAAACCTTCTATATATTTAGTCCAAAGTACCTCTGGTTTATGCCAACAAACAAAAATCTGTAAGATATTAACTAACAATGAACAAGGACGAGAAGGCAATTGAAATAAACCACGAGGTGAATCGTAAATCATCTGTGTTAAGTTTTGACACTGAAAATGCAAACCAAGATGCTCTGGTTGGTAGTGAGATCGCAGCAACACCTGAGATCGAAGAGATTTACTTCAACAAAACTTTAGAGAGACTGATTGTGAGAAAACTTGATTTCAAGATCTTGCCAGTTATTGCTGTTATGTACCTTTTCAACGCTTTGGACAAGGGAAATATTTCTAATGCTAAGACCGACCACATCGACAAGGATTTGGGTATTAAAGGTCAACAATGGAACTTGATGCTTTCTATTTTTTACATTCCATTTGTTTTATGTGGTTTGCCTTTCTCATTATTGGTGAGAAAGTATAATGCTGCGAATGCCATTCCAGTTTTGATGTTCACTTTTGGATGTATCACCTTGCTCGCCGTCTCAGCATTTAACTTCGGTTCCCTTTTGGTTGCTAGACTTTTCCTTGGTGCTTGTGAATCGTCTTTCCTTCCATCCATTATCTACTACCTTTCGACTTTCTACAGAAGAAGAGAACTTGCTACCCGTATCAGTATCTTTTATGCTGCTTCAGCTATTGCCAACGCATTCAGTGGGTTATTGGCTTTCGGATGCTTCCAAATTAATTCCAAGAAATTACACGGATGGCAAATCTTATTTTTGATTGAAGGTTCCTTGACTATTTCCTTCGCTGTTTTCGCATTTATTGTTCTTCCAAGAGACACCCAAACTACCTCTGTCTTGAATGACGAAGAAAAGGAATATGCTGCTTACAGAATCAAGACCGATTCTTCTGATGACACTTCCAAGAAGGTCTCCTTCAGAGATGCTATGAAGGTCTTCAAGCACCCAGTCGTTTTATTATGGATGCTTGTTGAAGTTTGTATTGGTGTTCCACTTAACTCTATTAACAACTGGTTCCCTCAAATTATCGGTGTCTTGGGTAAGTCCACTGTTCAAACCAACTTGTACACTGTTGCTCCAAATGTTTGGGGTGCTGTCGTTTTGGTTGTTTTAGCTGTTATTTCCGACAAGGTTAGAATCAGATCTATCTTCGTCTGCTTCGCCGTGTTGTGTACTTTGGTTGGTTTCGCTGTCTTCGGTGCTATTGATGTTCAAGCCCACCTTGGTGTTGCTTACTTTTCTTGTTTCTTGATGACCATGGGTGCTTCTGCCTCTTCTGTGTTGACTTCAACTTGGTACACTAACAACACTCCTGGTGCAAACAGAAGAGCTGTTATTTCTGCCGTTGGTGTTCCATTAGCTAACGCTGCTGGTCTTATCTCAACCAACATTTTCTTGCCAAAGGACGCTCCAAAGTATATTCCCGCTTTGGGTATCACCGCTGGTTTCGGTGGACTTGCTATTGTTGTCATTCTCTGCATTCTTTTGTTCATGATCTATGACAACAGAAGAAGAAATAAGGAGCAAGGTGTGAACAGAACTTTCGAAGATGTTCCAACCTACATCCTTAGTGAAGGTCCTAACAACATCAACTTTAGATGGATGTACTAATTTTATCTCGAGAGAGATTTACGTTTTTGAATTTTAATTAGAGTCACTATTAATAAACTCTATAATGACTTATCTGAAAAGTGGAAATGCTTCTTTGTTGACCTTTCCAATTTATTTCTACTATTATTTAACACCATCTGTTTGATTTTAATACATGGAGTTTTTTGCAATGTGCGCGTAAATCGTAATTTCACCATAGGTTGCAAAATTCGAAAATTGTTCAATCCATTTTCCACATACATCAACGTTATAATCTACCTTTTTCAAACTGGCATTTGGTGAGTGAAATCCTTTCAGGGGTGTTCCCTGAAGAAAGAAGATGAGAGTGTGCCCTCACTTCAAATTTTCTACTGCTCAAATGCGCACCTTAATGGTTAAGACGCATTTGACTACGATAGTTATGAAATGCAATAACCATCAGTGGTTCATTTTTTAATTCCTTTTGAGGAATAACTCACTAATTTTCAGCGAATCAAAGCTCGTTAATTGTCATACGATAGTTTGTTAGATTGTGCTCCTGCATATGTTGTATCTTTTGGTGCAATTGTCTACAATAATAGTTTCATTTTGGGTTCACCCACACCCAAAGTCAGATATCAAATACCACTACACGGGGGCTTGATAACTTCAAAGGTTGCAAAATGTTGAGTCCTTTGAAAATTTGGGACTACTTAAAGCCCTAGGTTTAGCTTCAATCACTTTTTTCACTAAAGTAGTCTGTGCAAAAATGCCGATTCATCATTCTAAATCAGTAAAAAAATCCCACAAACTGCCAATTCCAATAACACTTCTCTCAGGGTTTCTTGGTTCAGGTAAAACAACATTATTAGAGAGAATCTTAACAACTGATCATGGCCTCAAGGTAGCAGTCATTATCAATGATGTCTCTCAACTAAATATTGATGCTGCTTTAATTCAAGACCATAAGGTAACAAAGAAGGAGGAGAAATTGATCCAACTACAGAATGGATGCATTTGCTGTACACTTAGAGGTGATTTACTAGAGGAGTTCTTATCTTTGGCTAAGAATGGCGACTTTCAGTATATTATTATTGAATCAACTGGAATATCAGAGCCAATGCAGGTGGCTGAAACTTTTACCACTGAATTCACAGAGATGCTTTTACAAACTCAAGGGTCCATTCCAAAAGATGAAGAGAAGATTCTCAATGAGATTGTTGAACTAGGTGGACTTACTAAGTTAACTAAACTTGACACATGTGTTACGGTGGTTGACTCAGTCAACTTCATGTCAAACTTTGAGACTACTGATTTCTTGGTAGATAGATTTGGAGATAACGGCCAAGGTGAAAGGGAGCGCACTATAACTGACTTGATGGTAGACCAGATTGAATTTGCTGATGTTATAATTGTTAATAAGGTCTCATCTATGAAAAAGAAGAATCGTAAAAAGATCTCCAAAATCATCAAATCTTTAAACCCCATAGCTAAGGTTATTCATGCTGATTACTGCAATGTTGACATTAAAGATGTGGTCAACACCAAAAGATTTGATTTCGAGAAGGCCTCAACATCTGCTGGCTGGTTACAAAGTATTAATGAGATGACTATCAGGGAAGGTTTTGGTAATAAAAATCAATCCACATTGACCCCTAAACCGGAAACTGAAGAATATGGTATCACTAATTTTGTCTACAAATCTAGACGTCCTTTTCATCCTGAAAGATTATATAAGATGATGTATGACAAGTTTGTGATTATAGAACAGTCTGGAATTGACGAATCTGAGAACACAAATGAAAGTGGTGAACAATTCGAACAATTGCTGGATGAAGAACAAGAAGACGAAGGCGAAGATGAGGAACTTGAAAACGACAGCCAGAGTGAAGATGGAGATACTGATGATGACAGCGACTTAGAATTGCCAGAGTTAACAGAGAAGCAACTTCTAAAGAACAAGAAAAGATCTGCATTTGGACCCATGTTGCGCTCAAAGGGATTCTTTTGGATAGCATCTAGGCATATCATTAGAGGAGAGTGGTCATCAGCTGGTTCAATGCTACATATGAAAGGAGGAATTCCATGGTTCGCGGTTACCGGACCATCATACTTTCCCCCAGAGGCGAGAAAGCTAATCGAAAAGGATATGCAGGGTGAATATGGTGATCGAAGAAACGAACTTGTGTTCATTGGTGTTAACATCGACAAACGCAGAATAAGTTCTGCATTGGATTCGTGCTTACTTACTGATGAGGAGTTTGCCGAATTTGAAAGTGTTGTGAAGGATGGGAAGAACTTGTATCATATTGAGAAATCATTGCAGGCAACGTTTAACGATGGGTTTGAAAGCTGGATTAAATTTGACGATGACGAGGATGATACGCCAACACTTCAAAATACAGATGGGCCAGCCAAACAAGTAGAAGAAGAAAAGAAAGATGCCAAAGATAATTCTTCCAAAAGGAAGAAGGCTAAAGCTCACAACGAGAAACGTATCGAGTCAAAGTCGAGCAAAAATTCAGTTAATGGAGTTTCCGATCACTTTGATACTTCCATTAATGGAATAGAAATTCAAAGAGAAAAACATGGGAATCATAGCCATGTGAGGGTTAAAGCTGTGAAGACATAATCGCCTCTATCGCTTAGAATAAATGACTGCAATCAATAAGTAGAAAAAAAATTGCGATTTCTGTGGATCGAACACAGGACCTTCAGATTAACTGTGACTGAATCTCTTCAGTCTGACGCTCTCCCAACTGAGCTAAAACCGCTTACGTTATGTTTTTCCATGGGCGAGAACATAATCCGTACTCAGTAGTATTTATTACATAAGCAGAACTTTGTAGCCCTTGCCAGTCACTAGAGTCAATTGTTTCACATAGAACTTAATACTAACCTGTTGCAGTTGATGGCTACTCATCGCTCAAGGCTAGGGTAAACAAGAAACAAGATGCCATCCATAAACTAGAGAGCAACAACCCAAACGCACGCACCAGGACACCACTAAGGCCATGGTGAACCATTGTATTATGAGATTCAAGGACCTTTTCTGCCAAGAAAAAATTGAGATGATTCTTTACGCTTTTCTAACTAGTATAGAAACAAGAATTTCTCGCCTTGGAGTAGACTTTGAACCATTCAGGGTTGCCAATTAGGTTTTCACCCAAATGGATTCTGGGAAAGAAAAACTGTGGTTAGGAAATCATTTCGATAGATACGATAAACAGTATGCAAACAATAGAGAAGATTACAGATTGTTCCGGCTCTTTATTTAAACCATACGCAGAACGCTTGAGAGCTACAGCAGATACCACAAACCAGTAATTCAGCTTACAACAACGAAAAGAGTCCGTTTTGGTCTTCAATGAGAAGTTCAATAAATTACTAGGCTCCTCTGATCTTGCTGAATAGTCAGGTAAAACTAAGGCATAGTTTTACCCCAGTAAGTTGAATAAGACCACGGGGCTCTATTTTTGTAACAAGAATCTCAAGTCCTTAAAGGAAACCGTGAAAGCAGTAGTTGATCACGAGTCAATCGAATACAGTTAAGCCTCCCAGAGAAAAGAAGATTAAAGCCCCAGAAAATCGGCTGTCAACACACTATAAACAGCGATGGAGTAAATAGACTAGATGAGCTCAAGCCCTGTTTAATTGCATTCCATGATTTCCAAAACCAGAGGCAGCTGTAGGGATATTTGGGATGTTTGGGATGTTTGACAATGAGATAAACTATTTGTAACACCACTGCTGTTCGCGGATACTAAAAATGTCTTTAACTCCATACGAATGTTTACACACCTCATATTCTTTACTGTTATAAGTATTAGCGTGGAAACTGTCCATGCTGAAGGATCGAACAAGCATGAGTTCCCGTTATACAGTGTTTGAAACCAATTATTAGCGAAAAGGACATTGAGCTACTATATTGCTGAAATTTGAATACACAAGAGAAGGCTTCCAACTATGTATCCCATGTACTCCCAATCCTCTGTGGTCTGTGATTCCTAACTTACCAACTCAACATTGACCAGGTCCTTTATCTGATCTGATCACGTGATACTTTTCGCAGCCAACAGAAGCCACAAGGATCTGTAAGAGGTATATCGTTTACAAGTTTGACTGCTTCGGAGAGCAGTTTGAGCTTCGATTAACAGTAAAGCCTAACAGAAGTACTCATTTGTATTCGTTGTACTATCATTTTCTATTCGCCTGTAGCAAATCAGTAGTTTCTCTACTCGTATTCTCACATTGCAACTTTTCCTTTTGTACACTAGGTATAAATTTTGTCTCGCCCTCCTAGAGATTTGGATTCTTTTCTTCATACTATCTTTAGTATAAANTCGAACAAGCTCAAGTAAGAAGTCTACGAAATCAATTAACCGATTACTCAAGCATGTTCCGTTACCGTCTTTCCAAGCTCAAGGCAAGTGTTCGTGCCAAAAAGAAAGATGAAGGCCCATTTGTGGCAGTTATTGAGAACCCGTTATTCGTCGACGATTTAATCCTTGACGAGCTTCGTGAGTTCCCAGAAGATAAAT